GCCCTTGTGGCAGGCTTTTTATGTGGGATCATTTGTGCAGGTCACAAAAGCAGACTTGCCCTTAATTGGGTTAAGTGCTTTGGTGCTTTGTGACACCAGAGCAAAATTGTTGTCTCATCCTGGTGTCTTTCTGAATAATATCACTATTATTCCACAATGTGCTCACTCGAAATAATTCAAATCATTCCATGATGTTTACATCAGTAACATTAGAGTTACATTGTGACTGTTATTGTGATGTGTCCAAAATGTTCCCAGCAGAATCATGGGCTCATGCCCCCAGTGCCTTTACAGACGTGTTCTGTACAACGCGATCACATGGTGTGTCCGACCAGCGCCAAAGCTTCGAGCGTCGAATTGCCGTCGGCACGTTGAAACTCCGCGTTCCCCACGGGGGGTCTTCCCTTTGGACCTCGAGTTACGATCTCAGCCTGAGTATAAGGAACGAGTGTGTCTTCCTGTACGAAGGCTGATTTATGAGCCTAGGGGAGAGCATTCTGCGTGTATGATGGACATCATGGCCATGATTGTAGCAATGTGGCCCATATCCAGGCCGAACGGCGAGCGGAGAACATCATGCTCTTCCCAGAGCCGTGCGGACAGCCTAGGATTCATCTCTTCCAATTGGTTTGATTTGCGTAGACAGAATTGCGGGTCCAAGCCAGACACAAGCCACGAAGGCGAGGCGTAAGAAAAGCGACGGAAAGTGACGGACCGGAGTCCGGGCAGCGCTGTCCGCGAGAAACGCGATCACGTGCTCGGGGCCGCGTCACGATGGGACTGGAGCTCGGTAAAATGGAAGTGTTCGCTATGATGGCCAAATGCGACCGCTAGTGCTTCAGGAATTTCTTGACACTATATATGCTTAGTGTCAAGAAACTAAGCAGTATCAAGCATAAATATCAAGAAAAGTTGGAAAGCTGACAACGTATGTGATGACTCGCAAATAATTCAGATCGTATATGACCATCGAGTCCATCAGTACTATCTGCCGGTAGCTCAAACCGAAACCCATGTCGCGCGCGATACCCGACCGAATAACAGGTCCAACCTGTGGAATGTCTCCGCCCCAGGACGTGATTGATGTTGTCGCCGTCCAATAGTCATGACCAGGACCATCATCCGCGTCTCTTTCAACCCACACTGCGGTGAACACGACGACGGGGAAGCACTTGAGCACGATGAGTTCTGCAATGGCGAAGACGTCCTTGACATTGATGATGGAGAATTCTTTCAAGTTCGAGCCTGTTAAAGGCTGCATAGGGCCCAATCAAGAGTGTAGATCAGATAGCATCGGCTGCTGTCAAGTACTCATGGTCCGCGTACCATGAACGGAACGCTACCTAGTGGCATTTTCACGATCGCAGCGATGGTCTTCCAACTGCTCCTCATCATCTGCCAGCGTCCGATCCACCAAGCTTGTTTTGATGTCCTTTCGATCAGCATTGCTCTCACAGCCTTGCATCTATCTCGCCAGAGAACAGTCGGAGCGCCGATCGCATGATACTATCTCTGCGGCAATGATATGCGGTGCAGTGGACATCCACCTTTGCTGGGATGTCAATATAAACTGAACTTCCCGCCGAAGTACAACAAGACTTGTGCGACACACACCCTATGGACGACTTCCGCATACCATTTGTCATCCTGTGCTCCAGTCCTGCGTATCAGAAACCGGTCGTGCACTAGGACAGAGGGCTTCCGCTCCGCAAGGCCGGAATGGACGATTTTAGGAAGAAATACTTGGATAGTGAGCGTGCAGAGTCGGCGCAGGGAAACTTCGTTCACACTTTGGAGGCTCTCCGGAGTCAAAAGCACGTCATACATATTGAAGCACGCCAGATCAACACTGCACAGATACGTGAGCTATACAACCTTCAATCAGGACCTGAAGGTATCGCTACTGCCTACCTTTCCTGCCACTCGTTATGATGAAGGGACGATGCAAAGAGCTGCCGTATGTCGCTTCCGCAAGCACCTCTGGTATGAAAGCTGCCCCAATCTCTCCAATATGATTCCACTGGTTCGCGATATCCAGCGGTCGCTCCAGATCGGACGGGTGCTTGTGTCCCGGCAGTTGCATCTCACACTTGACTTTGCTCCAAGTGGGCGGACGAGCTATGCTAATCACTTTGGGTCCAGGCTCGTGGGACATGAAGTCAGGAAGGACACTATTAGTCGGACAATGTCGTGTAGGAGAATGTTGTGGTCGAAAGAGGTCGTTGTGGCGGTCGCCACTACCACGGCGATTAGCCAACGGAAAATGCGAATCGCTGATGACGGCGGATGTCACGGAACTCGAATTCCAGTGAGTTCTCGGAACGGTCAGCGTAGAAGGAATGGGAAATGACTACGATCGTGAGCGGTTGGCCTACGTTGATGCATCGAGGCGCACTGGAAGGCTGAGGCGCTGAAAATGTCTAGTGAGGTGATTTCATGGGGCTTTTGAGGCTGGTCTCTTACCTGGTACCCTGAACGTCTCCGCGATGCGGCGACGACAAAGTGACGCGCGCAAGAGGGACGAGACTATCCTGCTTCCCATTTGACACGACAAGGTCCATCACGCGCTCTGTCGAGAAAGCGCACGCCACATCCACGATCCCAAAGTCGATCCTGTCTTTTCCGGCGGCCACGATCCCGTTCCTATTCCGAGCCGCCGTAGCTGGACAGCAGCTCATCAAGAGCCGCTGCAGGGTTGCGCGTCGCCTGTGCGCACCGTAAACTAGACAGAACAGACATCAGGGCCGGTGAAAGCGAACATACACGCATATAGTCACGTGTTATTGGCTGCAGACACATGGGAGAATCAACTGAAGAAGTGGATATATGCGCCCTTCATCGAGCATATGGGTACACTTTATCGAAGGAAGTATCGACCGCGAGAGATGCACATAGAATGGGCATGGAAGCGATGAAGTGAGAAACGCATGCTGGAATGACGAAAAACTCACGGTATGCGCTCGGTGGTGCATGCACAGCCACACATTGGGACAATGTAAGCACGAATATGCCTAGTACGTCGCTGCATGTTCGAGCGGTCGTTTCCGGAAACGATGCCTCGTATGTACAGCAGATCAAAGCACACAGCAGCAGAGAATCTAGGACACTCACGAATTACGAATGACTCAAAATCTCCTCCTAAGACCCTCCATCGAGGACCCTACCAGACCTCATGAAGGTACGTCCAGAAAATTGTGACATGCGACACATTCACTGAGGATAGTACACAGAATGACGTGCAGACTTTCCTCTTGTCCTTTAGGGGTATCCAACTTGTCATAGACAAGCTGGAGACACCCTACAGCACAAGAGTTCAACTGCACAGCTGCGATGTTGTGCTTCTAGAAGAGGACGGATGGACTAGACCGTTGATGCGTCAAGACTTTCCACTCGTCATTGAGGGCCAGCCAAGTGGCACGGTCAAGTTGTAGAAGTCCTACAGCACAAAGGTTCGACTTTGCGCGATCAGCCTTCATGTACCTGAAAGGACGCGCATGGAGTGGACCTTTGATGCGTCGAGACCGGCGACATTGGGTCTTGGATTGTGACAGCGGCCTGGAATGACTTGCCCATCTACGCCGGACTTCCGATCACGTAGGTCAGTATAAAAGCCAACTCCTTTGTCCACAATGAAAGCTACTGGACGACGGTACCGGATTTCGTCCGCCATTGGGCTGCATCACGGGCAATTCGGAGACCGAAAGCTTCAACAGCTAGAATGATGTAGTCATCATCTCCGTGGTCGACGGTTTTACGCCGCTCACTGTCACCGTGTGGGAAATATGTACGACAGCAATAGACGAGATGACTCGAGTCCGGAAACGAAGTGTGCCTGAGCACATAGGCAGCGCATATAGACGCCAAATTCAGTTATGAGCAGCTGGCAACCTGAGAAACAATGATAGCCAGAGTGACCAAGAAACTGAAGGAAATGCTATGCTCTGCGAGAGAATGGTTTGCAAATGACAGTAACCTCCGTGAACGAGTTCACAACAATCCAACGAGCCATCTCTCGGGAGCTTCTCTCTCCGTCACAACCTTATCATGACCAATGTGTAAATCAGGAAGCGTTGCATGACAGGAATCAGTTGGCACCTCGGCTTGACACATCCAGGTCCGCGGGGTCGGTCAAGTCTCAATGAAGAAAACATCCAGCGATGCGTCGCCGAATAGCTGAACAACCGGACCCCAGTATTGTAAGGACGAACACGGATGCGGATTTGTATGACAATATTCATACCTTCCAGAGTGGAAGACGGTACAAACCATAGCATATTTCGAAGGAAAAGATGAAGGAGGAGGTCAAGATGAACTCTTTCAACGCCAGCGCCTAGAGAAGTTGTGCGCCGCGCCCTGTGATTGGCCGCCACCAGATCCGAACAAAAGACGACTTGCATGTTTGTGTCCAGGGGCCCCGCTGTCCTTCAGGCTCTCGCTGACATTCTCGGTCAAAAACAGTCCGTCTCTGCATTCAGTTTTAAACTCTCCCATGCTATTGTAGCTTTTCATGAAAGCCGAAAGCAGAAGAAGACAAAGCTCAGCACCGGCGGCGGTCCGTTGCCAGGGGCGGGACACATGCGCCCTTGGCAGCGACGTGCATCGAGTCGGAGTCAGAAATCAACGTTGAAACTGATCCCGTCACGTGCGCGATCGAGCCGGCGCCAGCTGCCGGACACCCACGCGGAACGATCGCGTATATACCCTTGGGCTCCCCGCGCGTACCTCTTGCCAGCGACCGCTCTCGCGTAACCTTCCCAACGCTCCCAAGCAGCTGCCCGCTCCTCCTCCTCCTTCTCCACCTTCATCTACACCCCTCTGCCAGTGTCGCTCGTCGCCTGGCACTTCCGCTCGTTCAGCACCACATTCATTCGCTTTATCAGTAAAAAGAATCCATACCCTCTTCATCTTCGACAATGTTCGCCCGCTCAGCATCTGCCATTTTCGCCCTCACGTACCTCGCACAGTCCGCCCTCGGGACCGTCTACGTACGTTGTTCCGTCACTTGTCCTCTAAACCCTAAGCACTGAACACGCCACACCTGCACAGGTGAACTCCCCCGTGAGCGGCGACACCTGGGCCGCCGGCCAGAACTGGACCGTCTCCTGGCTGGACGACGGCAACAAGCCCTCGCTCGCCGACTTCGGCGACGCTGAGGTCGCCATCTACGTCGGAACTGAGACCGCGCAGGTGGGTCCTGCGCCACACCTCGCGCCGTATTCGGTTGCTCGGTCGCGCTAACATTCTCGCACAGACCTCCGTCCAGACGATTGTCGCCAGCGTCAACGTCGCCTCGACCGCTTCAATCGTGTTCACGCCTGACCCTGCCGCAGGGCCCGACGGCGAGTATTAGTGCGTCTCCCACTCTGTCATGCTTACATGCTGTCTCACCTGCCTGTACGTTCCAGTTTCATCCGCTTCCAGTCGCTCTCTGCCAAGGACCCGAACAACACCGCCTACCCTGCCGAGGCGTTCTCCGCGCTCTTCACGTGGGTACCTTTGAACTCTCCTGTTAACGTGAACTGACCTGCTTTCTGCGCTTTCAGGCTGACCGACATGACCGGCACCTTCTCCACCGCCATCTGGGACCAGATTAACGGCACCACGCCCGCGTCCTCCAGCGTCGCCTCCTCCTCAAACGGCCCCACCTCCACCTCCATCGGCTCAGCGAGCTCAGTGGGCTCTGTGGGCTCTTCTGCCCCTGCGTCCACAGCGTCTGGGATGGTGAAGAGCTCCAGCGGCAGCGAGTCGTCCGTCGCGACCTCGAGCTCGAGCTCGAGCTCTAGCTCGAGCGAGCCGTCGACTACAGCGGTGGGCCAGAGCAGCACCTCGGGCTCGAGTACGAGCGGCGCCGCGGGCATGCACGTCGGCAACGGGCTCATGATGGGCGCACTGGGTATGCTCGCCGCAGCAGTCCTCCTTTAAATGTGCAAAAACCTGGGATCGTTTGTTCAGTGTTACGTTATCTGGGTTGCTGTCTGTTCGTCGATTCGTAATTCCTAGTTCAGTGTGTCAACTGGTTCCCCTTGTCCTTCGTCTTCCACAGATCACGCTATAACCAGCAAGCTCCATGTACAGTACACCTCACGCGCGTATACCCGCATGCGCTGTACCCGGTAGCCTCTCATGCTGAGTCCTGACGCACGATGCACGTACGAGCACTAGTGATGTTGACGGCTGGCAATACATACCTAATCATTTCGTCATTTCGTGGCAGCATAATGGTGACTGAGCCATAACAGACTTGGCTTGGACGGAAGGTAAGGCTCGACTAGGCGCCAATTTCTCTGCAGTGTCTGCACGCTCTGAGACGCTGCCCTAAACTGCCGCAATGGCTGGACGAGTCACGTGGCGAACTATGGTTAAGCTAGTGCACGTGGCCGCGTACTGTGAGAAGAGGCCCCGGCAAATTCCCATGTACTATGAGAGTCGCAAACATTTACCCTGGGTCCCTGGCTGTTTGGTGCAAAACGTCATGCTTGGGCACTACATTGACCAATTTCGGTGGTACAGTGGATCAAAAACTAGGAACCTTATTCTATTTCGCACTGGCATTCAACAGGTGAGTCGAATTGATAAATCAGCCGCTTTTTGAGAAGGTTGAGATCGATTCCTGCATCATCATACAACAAGATTATTAACGCTCAATGCCCGGGAGGGTCTGAAATGCGCATTGAGTGACGAACCAGGTTTGGAGCCCTCATATTTCGCGATACGCATAGAGGACGGGTCTCCCGGAGCCTGTGAGAGCTTCTTTCCAAGACGAATGGCGAAGAGTACGCGGTAAGCCTCATCAAACCAATGCTACGGAATCGTCAATTGCTGCCAACATCCTGCTGAGGACCACATCACATCTGCAAGCGTAGTTGCGCTAAATCACTACATAATATCATGTAACGCAATATAATTGCTGGAAGCAATGATGGCGCAATCCTGACTTGCTGCCACCTGGGCCATGGCCATAGACCTCGCTAGCCTGGGTGCAAGGTATGGTGTTAATTATACAGTCTCGCATTCACTGTGATGCTCACGCTCTGCAGCGCATTGTGCTTTCAGTGCGTCCGCTTCTGCGCAATTCCTCTCTCCCGCGCAATTGGTCGGGTGAATTCAACAAACGAAATGATGAGCTGCGTTGGGCTCCTCTGAGTGACCAGCCCAATACTACGAGGCCTCGCAGCCGCATGCGCCTTCCTCTGATGACGCAACTCGCGTTGATGAGACACAGTCAGTCATCACAACTGTGGTTCGGACTATGCGTCTTACGATTTCTCTGGAACGACCGACATCAAACGAAGAGTTAGCTTTGAGGTCTGACAGCCTATAGGCTAGGTTCTGTCGCGACAACGATCGCCGGGCCTACGTGTTCATGTCTCCAACTCTGCCTATGAATGTGATAGGACGTTAAGCGTCGGTACCACCCCGACTGTGGATATACCCGTGCGCTAGCATCTCGGACGACGATCGTTATGAGACCTGGGGCCGCCATGCGTAACCACGACAGAACTGGAATCCCGCGGAGGAGCCCCCACCGATGTCGATATCGATACGAGGCGATGTTCTGAGGACTAGACTGTGCGAACTCCCAAACACTTAGGTTATAGGTGTCGAGTTGATGTCCAGAGCGGTACATTATGCGTCGGATCGAGACTCAGACCGGGACGGATGGGTGGCACCACTGGCATAGTCCTCAGCATAAACGGCGGTGGACTGGTCACTTTACCGATCACCCCTTAGAGCAATCCCGGTCTGTATGCATTCGATATTAGACATCAACGATGCGGTTTGCCATTTATTCGCATCGTGGATGGAACCGAACAAATATTTCTGCACCAGGTCGGATGACACCAGCATACGCCACAATATATCTACCATAGAGAATTACGCGTGATATAACACTCTATCGACTGTCTAATGCACGTTATCCGACGAATCGAAAACTTAACATCAAGACGACTCGGAGTCCGGCTATGGTACGACATTGTGCAAACGAACGTGAACGTGAAAACGTGAATGCGCCTAGAACTAATCAGCGCAGGAGCCATTACGTCGGATTATACAATAAAATCAAATAAAATAAACCACACATCGCCTCCCACATCGCCACCACGGTGCCCCCTCCCACCTTCACTTGGTGTACTTGCTGCCCTGCCTGATCTTCTCTCCTCGGAAGTACAGGTAAATGGGGAACGGGACCCCGATCACGATACTGAGACCTGTAGGCAGAGAGCGTTAGCTCGGCTTATTTTCGCTGCATCCGCAGCCAGGTGGCGGCGGAAAAAGGTTAGGAGGGAAGGGGGACCGTACGTCACAGACGAGGACGCGCAGACATACCTGCAAGCAGAGAATTGCCCGGTCCGTCTCCTAGGGCAGCGAACATCGGACCTGGAAGCACACACATGAATTCAGGATCAACCGGACGAAAAGAAGGGGTTAAAAAGGCAGCAGGGCCCGACGTACCTGCAAACAGAGGGAATCCAAATCCAAAGAGACTCCTGCAACGAACAATACGAATCAGCTCCGGCATAACTCGGGTGCATAAGGAATGTCGTCTTACCGCAAGACCTATCGGACACACGCCCGCAGTCAGTGGTCAGCATGGAGCACGCGGCGCAGAAGGGGGAGAAAAGACGCACGGATGCAGCAGCGAGCGCGCTCGCCGCATACTCGAACGCATCGACGAGGTACAACTGCAACCGAGCCAAGCCGTAACGTAAGCACGTGTATGGCCCGGGGGATTTTGTCGCGAGTGCTTACCTGAATGGAGAGATACGCCATCATCAACCCGAGCCCGAAGAACCCTGTGCAGCACAAGCAGGTCTCCAGTCAGCTACGCGATCGACACGCACGCACGCATGCTCGATCTCTCACCGGTCCCGATAATCTGCAGTGCCCCCAAGCTCAGCATCCACTACTCAAAATGCGATCTAAAACGGAAATTTCTCCGTGACGTACCGGTAAAATCCAATGCGTCCTCGCCTGCGCAGACCAGCCGTACCAACTAGATAATGAAGCATCAACATCAATAACTAGGACGACGCGTGCTCCCCAGCGTGTAGAACACTCACAACAGTCCGATGGGAACGAAGACGGAGCACATGACCAACCCCGGTATGCGCATCTCCGGCTTACCAACGCCATTGTTCGTCCTATTCGCGATCTGCAGCAACATCAGTGAGCCAAGCGTTGCCAAAAAGGGGGGAAGGTAACGAGCGTACGTATCGGTACAGCGCATCCCCGTACCGTGCACCGAGGAAACTCCCAAGGATGAACCCGATGCCCAACCCGAGGTACGTCAGCCCGCCGATCCCAGGCCCGAACCCATACACAGACGAGAACAGCTCTGGGAACGTCGCAAACATCAAATAGTACGTCCCTGCGGGGCGCAAGGTCTGATCAGCGTCCAATCACCACACACCCGTGAAAGGCAGAGACGGGCCGCACCGTAGATGAACGCGAGGTACATGGAGAGCATGAAGCAGATGCTCGAGCGCGTGAGGAGCACCGCGGGCCGGCTGAAGTTGGTCCAGAGCATGCGCGCGCGCTCGCGGGCGCTGGTGGGGACGGCGGCAGCGGCGCCGGGGAGCTCTGCGGTCGAGTCTTTCGTGGAGCTGAGGCGGCGGCGTAGAACGACTGGCCCGTACGATTCTCGGAGGAACGGGATTCCGATGAGGCTCGCGACGCCGCACTGGAAGGTGGGGCGAGGGATAGTGAGTGCGAAGTGCGGATTTTATGGGATGAAGAGAGTGACTACGTACGACGGCGGCGATCACGACGAAGACCCATTTGAACCCGATGGTAGCGGTGATGAAGCCACCTAGGGGAGGATGTTGTATTTAGGTCAGCCACGAGTTTGACGACTAGAGGGGGGGAGCAGACCTGCGACAGGTCCGACAGTGGGTCCTACCAGAGGGCCGATAGCTGTGGATGTTCGGGAGAGTCAGGACGTCGGTTAGAAAATAAAATAATGCTTATAATGATAGTTGCGCACTCATGATAGCCATGGCAGAACCGCGATCACGCTCTGCGAATATGTCAGAGACAACTGAGCCGCCGATACCGCTGTCCGTGTGTGATTCGCGTCAGCATATCCAGGAGCTGGCGGATGCGAGCGGCAGGTGCCAGTGAAGTGACACGTACACGGATGCGGAGCCGCCCAATCCTGCGAAGAAACGGAAGATGATGAGTGCGGCCGTCGATGGTGCGAACGCGCATCCGATGCTATGAAGAATGCGATCAAAGTCGAGCAGATACACATTATCAGGAGAGTCAGTAAGTGATGAACTATGCAGGAGACGGATGCGCTCACTTGCACCCGAGAAGGAGGATGTTGGCGAGATGGAGAACCTGTGGAATGGTGTGAGCCACATGCCGCATATATGGTAGCTGTAGGCGGACGAAATACGGTTTCTGCGGAGCAATGAGCTTACCCATGCGCGGCCGTACATTTCGCTGAGGGGGCCAAAGAATAATGGGCCTAAGTATGAGCGATACGTAGGGCAGTGAGAATTTAAATTTTCAGAATGGTGTAAGAAGAGCCCTCGTAAGTCAGCAAAAACATTATGAGTACAATATGAACTGCCTTACCTATTGCGAAGGAGAGGAGGAAGATAGAGAGCGTCAGAGCTTGGACGGAAGAACTCGTGATTCCATAGTGTTTGGAAATGTCGGGAAGTCTGTATACAATAATGAGTGAGAGTAACAGCCGCAAGTAGCCAGATGTACTTGCGCAGGTGCCATCATGGAACTGCTCAACGGTGATACGAAGGAGTAAAGGCTAATAAATACGCAAACCGATCGCTGAGTACTGCGCCACAGCATAGAACGACGAGCATACCTGACAATAGCCGTGCAAACCCATTTGCGTGTGAGAGACCAATTACGGGGGTTAGCTCGGTCGATAGACCAGTCGTCCTGTTCTTCGGACACCACCAAACCCTCTTGCTTGTCCTGCCATACTTGAGAGGCGGTTATGTCTTCGGGGTTGCTGAGCACGACAAGGGGCTCTGGGATGTTGTCGGTAGAGTCGGTGGGATACACGACGATATGGGCCTGAGACACTGGCCGAATTTCCAGCGAGACGTGCGGGGACGAAGGCATGGATGGAGGAAGTGGAGAAGTTGTTGGCAGACGCCTGTGAACAGAACGCGGCAGAATAGCATTCTGAAGGAGGCCATTCGTCTGCCATGATGACTGGTGTATGCTAATTTATGTTCAGTCAGACCCGTGGCGTGCGCGCGAAACCGTTATCTGGATCAGAGATGAGTGAAACGCTATTACAGGCCATCACGGGTTACTATTAGTAGGGTTACGGGCACGGAGACACGCAGTGCTGGGTGGACGTGCCAAGACCTTGCGGGACACGCCATGGCCGAGGATGTGACAGAGCTTTCCCCGCACGCTAGCCTGAATGGATGTACAGCGGCCGTCCACAATTTCCACGAATGGCAATTCAGATCGTGTGAGGCTGCTGACTCAGCGAATAAGCGCGGCCACACATACGCTGTTGCATTTCAGTGATCCTGCTACTCATAGCTGACACATTAATTTCCGGTGTCGGCGTATTATACAGAGCTGGACCACTACACAAAATGGATGGTCCTCAGTCTCCTATGCCCAAGTTGCTGCGACTCCTCCCACGCAATCTCTACCCTTGTACTCTCTCATCGCATCACATTCCATAGCAATGGCTCCGCGCGTCTGGCTCAGTGAGTAGCCTAATTAACATGCGTATCCCTTGATGCTCAGTCTATTGCAGTCACTGGTGCCTCTTCTGGCATGGGTCGCGCCATGACCGAGCGCGTGAGTTTACATCACCGATCGAGCCCCCGCCCTAGAACACACCCGCTAACCCACACTCAGGTCCTCTCCGAAGGCGACATCGCGGTCGCCACCCTCCGCAAGCCCCAAGTCCTGTCCTCCCTCTCCGAGCAGTATCCCGCCTCCCAGCTGCTCGTGCTCAAGCTCGACGTCACCCAGCCACAAGAGATTTCTGCCGCGTTCGAAGCCGCCACCGGCGCGTTCGGCCGCGTCGACGTCGTGTTCAGCAATGCCGGATACGCCATCCTCGGCGAGGTCGAGAGCGTTCCCGACGCGGAGGCCCGCCGCCTCTTTGATACTAATTTCTGGGGCGCTATGAACGTCGCTCGCGAAGCCGTGCGGCAGTTCCGTGAGGTGAACAAGCCCATAGGCGGGAGGCTTATCACCATCGTCAGCGCGCTTGGGGTTGCGACCAGCCCTGCGTTTGCGTATTACAGCGCCAGCAAGCATGGTGAATTGCTGTTCTTTGCTATGCGCGTTTAAAGCGGCTGCTCATTGACTCTGCCAACCTTCTAACTACAGCGCTGGAAAGCGGTCTCGAATGTCTCTCCAAGGTTCGTGCTCCCGCATCAATCCTCGTCCATCCTGATGATCTCACACTGTACTTCCAGGAATTGAATCCAGCGTGGAACATCAAGGTGCGATCCACTGATCGTCCCGTCCATTAAATCGCACGCACGCTCACAGTACCAAAGATGACCAACATCCTCCCGGGTGGCTTCGCGACGCGCGGCGCGCAGCCCGAGTCGCTCGTCCAGACGCCTCCGCACCCGGCCTACAGCTACCCCGACTCGGCCGTCCAACAGCTCCGCGTGTACATCCCCAACGCGCCTCTCCCGGGGGACACCGTCAAAGGTACGTCCTGCCGCTACTTGTGCCCGCGCACACGTATACGATGACGATGACGCTGACGCCGACGTTCACGCCGACAGCGATGAAGATGATTTACCACAAGCTTTCGAAGGACCCGAACCCGCCGCTGCGCGTGCCGCTGGGCAAAGACGCGGTCACGGGCTTCCGAGCGAGAGGAAAGCTCCTGCTGGACGACGCGACGAGCACTGAGGTGCTTTCGGAGGATTTGCTCATTGAGGGGAAGGAGCTCATGACTAATTTGGATGAGCAGTGAGAGGAAGGGCATGCTGCGCGATTTATTGTGTGGACGTGGGAATTTTGCCGTGAAGTAGCGTCTCGTCTCGTTCTCGGCGGTTCATGAGAGCTCCATATCTATTGTCAGCCTCTTCGTATTTTTCTCGTAGTGATGTTTGTGCTGATAGAAGCCTCTACACCATGCGTCAGCGACCGCGTTGCTCATGTGAATAGAAGACTATGTCGTTGATTCTGGATCTAAACCTTCCTCGCCGTAGACCACATGATGACCATCGTGCGAAAGACAGATGTACCCGTCAGCTGTGAATTGCATAACCCTCGAGGCGTCCGTACAAGCTGGCATGTCGTGCCATTCGGGTGACAGACCTATAGGAATAATCGCTGCGAATAGTTCCCCAATAAGAACATAAATGTAAGCAACAACTCCGATCGCTTGGCACATCATCGTACGGGTGGCATGGCAGTTGCTGATGTGTTTCTACAGCCTTAGCTCGAACAGACACGCCCGTGTGCATCGCATCGGCTTCGGCGGCCTCGAACAACTCCGCCGATACGCTGCTTGCTTGTGGGGATAGAAGCGGTATGCTGTGAACTCCGAACAAGTTGAACTTGGCTGGCTGTGCCTGATCTCTCGGCTCCGGTGAGAGCGTAGGAGAGTTAGTATTATGGAAGCTTGGCTGATAGTGCGTTTCAGCATCGAGAGTTCACCTCGTTCTGCGGCGGTTGGTTATGTCCGTCATCCGATCTTGATCGTAGGGACTCGCTAGGTGGGTGTTTGCTCAATGGTTCTCTCACGTCACTCATAGGTGATGAACCTTCCTCGACGTAGACTGCTTATGACGATTTCGTGGAACACAGATACATCTGTCAGTTGTAGATGACCATCGGAACATCAAAAAGCCATGTGGTGCCATTCCGATGAACCACCGTATAGGAATAGTCGCTGCGAATGATTTCCTAATAGGAATGTAAATGTAAGCAACGGCTGCGACCCCCTTGATGCATCATCGAACGGATGGCATGGCAATTGCTGATATGTCTCTACAGCCTTAGCTCGAACAGACACGCCCATATGCATCGGATCGGCTTAGGCGGCCTCCGAACATCTCCGCCCACGCTGCTTGTGCGAATAGAAGGGTTTGCTGTGAATGGTTTGCTGTGAACTTGAAACTTGATAGAGCTGCTAGAACTACCCGCGTTGATCGTCACCGGGCTGTCAACGAGTTGGCTGTGCCTGGTCTCTTAGCTCCAGAATGTGCGTGTATTGGTTTGTATGAAAGCCTTGGCTGATGCGTTGTAGTGCGTTTCAGTGTCGGGAGGTCACCTCATTCTGCAGCGGTTGATTATGTCCGTCATCAAATCTTGATCTTAGGGAGACTCTAGGTGGGTTTCTACTCATCGTGTCCGTCATCGAATCTTGATCTTAGCGACTCTCTAGGTGGGTTTTGCTCATTGGTTCTCACGTCACTTACAGGTGACGAACCATTTTCGACGTAGACTGCTCAATGATCATTGCGCGAAAGATGAAATACGTCTGTCAGCTGTAGATGGCCCTTGAAACATCAGCAACCCATATCGTGCGTTAACCATCGTGCAAGAATATTTCGCTCTCCTGCCTCAACGTAAGCACAAACTACGGCAACTTGACACATCGACGCACTGGAATGACATTGTTTAGTAGTATCTTTCCACAGCCTTAACTCTAACAGATACGCCCATGTGCACCGCATCTGCTTCGGCGCTCTCCAAGAGTTTCATTCTGTGGATTTGGCGAGGGCCATTCTTATTGTCAGCCTGTTAGTATCCTTCTTGTAGCATTGCACAACCAAGCTGCTTATACGGACAGAAGAGTACGTTGCCGACTCCGGATTCGGAAGAGCTGCTCGAACTACCCGCGTTGAGCGTCACTGCACTGTCAACGACCTGGCTGTGCCTGGTTCCTCTGCTCCGGTAAGTACGTGAGTGCGTGATTGTGTATATGAAATCCTCGGCTGATGCATACTAGGACGCGTTTCAGCCTCAACAGGTTTCTCATCCTGCAACGGTTGATGCGTTTCTGATTATCACATGTCTGTCAACAAGTTTTGATCTCAGGGACTCTATTTGGACTTTTGCTCACTGGTTCTCATGTCATTCGCAGGGGACGATGTCCTCTCGACGTATACCGTCATGACCGTCAGGTACAAGACAAATATACCTGTTGGCCATGGATGACCCGCGAGGCATCGAATAGCGATGCGTGCGATGCTGGTGAACTATCGTGCAGGCACAAATCACTTCGAACGGCTTCCCTGTACCAGTGTAGGCAGCGGCTGCGGCCTCTTTGCACATCAATGTATTTGGATGGCGTTGCTGATACGTCTCTACAGCCTCAGCTCATAGACACGCCCATATGCATCCCATTGGCTTCGGCGGCTCCGATGTACTCATGTAACACGTTTGACGAACCTGAGCCGCGTACATCATACGTTCAGGGGTGGTAAGCGTGAAGGTGGCGTTCATCCCGGACAGGTCGCGCCCGTCGTAGGCATCGCTATAAGACAAGCTGACATCTGGACTGCTTGGCTCCTCTCTAGGCATACTATGGCTATTCCTTCTCTCCCCCTAGCATTTCTTTTGTCTCTTGCGGGAACCGTGCTGTCAACACGGCTGTCCTCAAGTCAATGTGTACGCACTCCCGTCTCGTTCCCTCGCACCCTCTGATTTCCATCAACAGTGCGACTCACTGAACGGACTCTTCCCTTCCAACGTATACTATCCGAACAGCACCGTCTACGCGCAGGAAGAGTCCACGTACTACTCTTTGCAGCAGGCCGAGCAGGTCCCCGCATGCCGGGTTGTGCCAACGAGTGCAGAAGATGTCGCCAAAGTGGTGCAACTGGCTACGGAGAATGAGTGCATCTTCGCAGTGCGCTCTGGAGGGCATATGAACTGGAAGGGCTCCTCGAATGTCGGCCCTGCGGGATTTACGATCGATCTGCAGCAGCTCAACCAGCTTTCGCTCTCGTCCGATCATAGCACGCTCTCTATTGGCCCGGGTAACCCTTGGGTGTGTATCATGGTGTCATCCTGCGTTTTCTTAACTCAAAGAGTGCTCTTCTCAGGCGGATGTGTACGAGTTTATAGCTCCGCTGAACTTGACTGTGACGGGAGGCAGAGCTTCTACCGTCGGCGTGGGCGGCTTCCTCATGGGCGGTATGCAATCCCCTCCTTATACACATCGACATTACTTACTGGTCTTCATTCGTCCTTGTAGGTGGCATAAGCTTCTTCAGTTATCAATATGGCCTCGGAGCCGGGTACATCACGCAGTACGGTGCGACTTTCCGCGTCTTCTCCCTCTGCTCCAATGTTAAGTCTGTTGTAGAGATCGCCCTCGCCAATGGGACTCTCGTGAATGCATCCAGCGAAGACAATGCTCCCCTTCACTGGGCACTTGCCTTAGGTGCGTTCTGATGTGGTATACAGTAGACAATCTAATGATTTCCTCGTACGATGCACTCACAGGCTCTACCAACTTCGGTGTCGTGACGCAATTTACAATGGAAACGTTTGCTCTCGACGGCATGTGGGGAGGCACTTTGTCTCTCGACATACAGCAAGCGCCGGCAGTCATGGATTACTTCCTGACGTTCATCAACAAGCTTGTGGTCAGTATTGTGCTCTCATGTAGTCGTTTTTTTGGGGGGGTCTCACATGGATTTAATGATGAATCCACAGGACGATCCCAAGGGCCTCTCTGCAATTACCATGGCATGGAACCCAACTGCGCAGGACTATGATATGTTGTGAGTATGCAGTCCCTCTGTCGTGGTCGTGTTTCAAACATAGGTGCCCACTGCAGCCTCTCGATTGCATATCTGGAGCCTGTCAGCTATCCGCCTCTCTTTTCCGGTCTGGAGCAGTTTACTTCCAATGCGACGGAGAACACGCTCGAAATCACCAACCTGACGGCCATCACTGCAGCGTTCGCCGCCGGGGACCCGTCTGGGACTCGTACCGCGTGGTGGACGCTGACATTTGAGGCAGATAAACAGCTTGTCCTGGATGTTCAGCAGTACGGCCAAGAGCTGTTCTCGGACCTGGTTGCGGTGAACGGGACGGCTTGGAGTCTGAATATTCAGCCTATCAATAACCAAATGATTACCGCGACGCAGGCAGCGCATAATCCGGCTGGTTTGCAGGGAAGCAATCTCTTCTGTAAGTCGCACGAGCATTCCCTGACGAACGAAACACTCATTGACGTTTGACATAGTGATTCTTCAAGAAGTGACCTGGGAGGATGCTACTCTAGATGAAGTGATCGAAGACCGATCAAGAGACTACCTGGCATGGGCAGAAGCCCTTGCGCGCGAACGCGGGCTCCTCAACCGTAAGCGTTTCACTGATGTATCCTGATCATCGTGTTGAATACATGCGCACTCCAGGCTTCCTGTATCTGAACTATGCAGATGGAAGTCAGCCGGTCTATGCTCAGATTGGTCTCGACAACCTAGAGAAGCTTCAAGCAGTCAAGAGTGCCTACGATCCGGATAATGCGCTGGGCAGATTGTGGCATGGAGGATTTAAGTTCTGAGTTTGCTAACGTAGCATGCTAGACTCGAACGCGGCATACTACTTTCAATGGACTCTCAGAGCGCTTTCTTCCAGGGTTTGGCATCCTTTTTTCTTCTTAGTGATTGAAAACCTCTCGTAGATTTTATCCTTAGAAAGCTTAGCTTCTTTAAATCCCTAATTAATATCTACAAGTGACCATGGCACAAAGTCAATAACATACTATAACACTAGTACTTGTCTTTATGATACCATGTTCTGTCGTACGAGCAAGTGAAAGCCGGCAAACCGTCGCAAGGGCTCTTCCTTGGAAGTGTACGTACCGCGTGCTAGTCATGCATCGAGTCAAAATTTTAAGTATGCAGCCTTGGTCATGATACATCATTAATCTGTCCGGGCATGGCATGTACTAGTGTGGCCCCTACTGTGATCACAACAGTGATACAGTTACACCTTCGCCGTACAAATACCATCGCTTTCGAACATACTATGTATATAGAGCCCCAGTTTAGTCAAGCATAGTGATGTGTGCAGCCTTTCTCTCCGAAGGTGACCACTGACATTGTGGTGGCCAACAGGACCTAGCTTCCTTATCTGGAAAGGTCCGATAATATAAAGCGCTCATCAAGAAGAACCGAGCTGCGCTCGCCTCAAGTTTCAACGGACATCTCTCGCTGAATTCTTCGACGTTGTCGCTCATTATCCAGTGAAGGTGGTCACCGTGAGTATGTAAGGCAATTTTAAGGTGGAGATATCTGAGTTTAGGCCTTCGGAGACTCCCAGCCCTACACTGGCAGCCATAGTCGAAGCCGCCGCTCGTGCGCTCGGTCCTACGCCATCCTCGGCGAGATCGAGAGCGTTCCCGACGCGGAGGTCCACCGCCGCTTCGAGACCAATATCTGAGGCGCTATGAGCGTCGTCGGCGTAGCCGTGCGACAGTTCCATGAGGTGAACAACCTCGTTCAAGTTATCACCATCATCTAATTAGCGCTCTCGGGGTTGCGACCAGCGCTGCGTTTGCTTGTTACAGTGCTTTGCGTATTACAGTGCGAGCAAATACGGCGGACCGCTGTTCATTGCTGTGCATGATGCAGCTGCCCATTGACTCTGCCACCGGCCTTTAACCACAACGCTGGAGGGCAGTCTCGAGTGTCTTTCCGAGGCTCATAAGCTAGCATTTAGGCTCCCCTTTCTGATAAACCATGCCGTAATCTCAGGAACTGGATCTATGGTGGAGCATCACGATACGATTTGCTGGCCCTCCTGTCTATTCCAATTCGCGTACAAAGCTCACAGCGCCAAAGATGACCAATGTCCTTGCTGGCGGCTTCGCAACGCGCAGCGCGCAGCCCGAGTCTCTTGTCCAGATGCCTCCGTACCCACCTGCGACTACCCCGACTCGGTCATCCAACAGCTCCGTGCATTCACACCTAACGCGGCCCTCCCCGGCGCCACCGTCAAAGATACATTGTGCCGCGGATCCTGCCACTGTTGTCCGCGTTAAGATCGCACACGCCGACCGCAATGAAAGTGATCTACTCCAAGCTCTCGAAGGACGCGAACGCCCCTCTGCGCGTGCCACTGGGCAAGGATGTGTTCGTGAGCTTTCAAGCCCAGGGCCAGTTGCTGCTTGATGACACAGCGCGCAATGAGGCGCTTTCAAAGGCTCCGCTTGTTGAGGGGACGTAGCTCATGACTAATTTAGCTTAGCAGTGAGAGAGCGGGTGAACGTTTTCGCTGTGCGTCGCAGAACGTGCGCAATCCTCCGAGCGACGATTGGGATGAAGCAGCATTTGTTTCATAGGATTCTGTGAGAGCCCCACCTTTGTTGTCGCTCTCTCCGTGGCCCTTATAGAAGTCACTGACCACGCTGCTTATGCTTACAGAAGAACACATTGTTGGCTCTGAATTTGGTAGAGCTGCTAGTATCACTCGTGCTGAGCGTCATCGTACTGTCGACGATGTGGCTGTGCCTAGCCCTTCGGCACCGATGAGTATGAGACTTGTATATATGAAATGTTTGGCCGATACATTGGATGCGTTTCAGCCTCAAGATGCCTCCTCGTTCTACAATGGCTAATGCGTTTCTTGACATCATATGTCCGTCATCAAATATTAGTTTCAGGGACTTCATGTGGACTTCCGCACATTGGTTCTCACGTCACTCGCCGATGGCGAAGCCTCATCGATGTAGACTGCAAAATGGCCTTCGAGTGAAGAAATAAATATACCTATCAGCCGTGAACGGACCTCAAGAACTCAACAAGCGATGCCATGCAATTCTCGTGAACTATCTTGTGGAAACGGGTCGCTCTAAATGGCTTTCCCGTACCAATGTAAGCAATGGCTGCGGCCCCTTTGTACTTTGTACATCATCATACGGGATGGCATGTTTCTACAGCCTTGACTCGAACAGGTACGGCCATATGCGCCACATACATTTCAGCGGCCTCCGATGTACTCCTGTAACACGTTTGACGAACCCGAGCCGCGTAGATGATGCGCTCAGGCATGGTAAGCATGAAGGTCCGGACAGGTCGCGCCCGTTATAGGCATCGCTATAAGACAAGCTAACATCCGGACTGCTTGGCTCCTCTCCAGGCATACCATGGCTATTCCTTCTCTCCCCCTAGCATTTATGTTATCCCTTGCGGGCACCGTGCTATCAATACGGCTGTCCTCAACACAATGTGTACGCAGTGCCGTCTCGTTCCCTCGCACCCTCTGATTTCCATCAACAGTGCGCCGCCCTGAGCGGACTCTTCCCTGCCAATGTATACTATCCTAATAGCACCGTCTACGTGCAGGAAGAGTCTACGTACTACTCTGCGCTGCAGGCCGAGCAGGACCCCGCATGCCGGGTTGTGCCAACGAGTGCAGAGAAGGTCGCCCAAGTTGTGCAACTGGCTACGGAGAATAACTGCATATTCGCTGTGCGCTCGGGAGGACATATGAACTGGAAGGGCTCCTCGAATGTCGGCCCTGCGGGATTTACGATCGACCTGCAGCAGCTCAACCAGATTTCGCTCTCATCCGATCATAGCACTCTCTCCGTTGGCCCGGGTGCTCTTTGGGTGTGTATTGTGGTGCCGTCCTGGATATTCTTAACTCACAGAATGTATTTCTCAGGGGCAAGTGTACGACTTGGCGTCTCCGCTGAACTTGACTGTGCTTGGAGGCAGAGTTTCTACCGTCGGCGTGGGCGGCTTTCTTGTGGGCGGTATGCATCATTTCCTCCCCCATACCCGTTATTAGGACGTTTCAGTCCTCATTCGTTGAACCAGGCGGCATAGGCTACCTCAGTTATCAATATGGCCTCGCACCCGCGTACATCACGGAATACGGTATGTATTCCACGCGTTTTGCTTTCTGGTTCAATGGTAAAGTCTGTTATAGAGATTGTCCTGGCCAATGGAACCTTCGTCAATGCATCTAGTGAAAACAACGCTGCCCTTCACTGGGCACTTGCTTTAGGTACGCTGTCATCTGCTGCATGGTAGATTATATAATGTATTCCTCCTCCGGTGCATTCACAGGGTCCACCAACTTTGGTGTCGTGACACAGTATACATTGGAAACATTTGCTCTTGGCGGCATGTGGGGAGGAGCTCTGTCTCTTGGCATACAGGAAGCGCCGGCAGTCATGGATTACTTCCTTGCCTATGTCAACAAGCTTGCTGTCGGTATTCTTCTCTCGTATAGGTTCTGCTCATGTGTATGACCTTACGTTGAACCGACAGGACGACCCCAAGGGACTCTCGTCCGTGACGATGGCGTGGAATTCAACAGCACAGGACTATGGTATATTGTGAGTATGCAATCCCTCTGTCATAGTTGTGTCTTAAACATGTATGACCGCCGTAGCATCGGGATTGCATACCTGCTACCTGTCAGCTTTCCCCCTCTGTTCTCCGGGCTGGAGCAGTTGATCCCCAATGCAACTGAGAACACACTTGAAATCACCAACCTAACGGCCATCGCTACTTCGTTTGCCGACGCAGATCCATCTGGCTATCGTCAAGCGTGGTGGACGTTGACGTTTGAGGCGGATACGCAGCTCGTCCTGGATGTTCAGCAATATGGCCGAGCGCTGTTCGCAGACCTACTTGCGGTGAACGGGACGCAGTGGAGCCTGAATGTACAACCCATTAATCACCAAATGATCACCGCGACGCAGGCAGCGAATAATCCAGCCGGCCTGGAGGGAGAAAATCTCTTCTGTATGTTACACGATTACCACCTTTGACGAACGATGCATTCATTGACGTTTAACGTAGTGATCTTGGAACATTTGACCTGGGAGGATCCTACATTAGACGAAGTAATGGAAGACCGGTCAAGAGACTACCTGGCATGGGCGGAAGCGCTTGCGCGTGAACGTGGACTGCTCAACCGTATGTTTCTCATCGCATGCATCCCGATGGTCGTATTGAACACATGCACACTTCAGGCTTCCTGTACCTGAACTACGCCGATGGACATCAGCCGATCTATGCTCAGATTGGCCTTGACAATCTAGAGAAGCTTCAGGCAGTCAAGAACGACTACGATCCGGATAATGCGATGGGCAGATTGTGGTTGGGAGGATTCAAGTTCTGAGTATGCTTACGCATGCTTGCTGGACTTGAACACGAAATACGATCACCGGCATCTTACGAGCGATTTTCCTTTGCTGGAGTTCGGTGTCCTATTCTTTTCTTAATTGTTGAAACCTCTTGAAGACTGTACTTTTAGAAAGCATAATTTCTTCAGCAAATTGGTGAGGTTTTACAAATGAACACGGCAAAAAATCAGTGAACTTCAAAGTGAATTTTGACTGCAATATGAATGCAATCAGCAGCCGCGGCATGGAAGCGCCTTCTTTCGACGGTCACGTACAATTCGTTGAGAATTTCACGAGACCATGTTCTGCCGTATGAGCAAACGACACGTAGGAAAGCATCGGATTGAAGCTCTGTACTGGAAATATTCATACTACATGTCCGCAACGCACCAAGAGTATGCATTTTTGACCGTGATACTTCCACGTACATTCTATGGACGTATCAGATATTTGACGTGGTATTGAACGGAAAAGACGCAAATTGTATTGCTGTTACGATTACAGTGAGGGACCCATAATAGTAGATACTGTCGTTGGCTTCAAGCGTATGTATCTAGGGCCCCTTCAATCAGGCATACTTTCGACTAATCCAGTGACAATTGGTCAGCTTTGATAAGATCCGCCGCCTGAGGGAGTTTGCACCAGATCAGTTCGGTAGGACGCAGAGAATTCAGAATAAGCCCACCTTCTCCGCGATTGCATATACGGTGGCTTGCAAATGTGTAGTCGACACCAGCGGCATGATGGATGCATCCACCACTCTCAGTCCCTTCACGCCGTACACAGCCAACCGTTCATCAACGACGCCGCCCAACCTACGCGGCTGCATCGCACACGTCCCGCTGATGTGCCCAAACGTGGGCTCCCCAATGCGGCTCTGGATGGCAGCCTCGATGTCCTCGTCGCTGAGCACTGCGGGCCCGGGAGAGATTTCCGTGGCGCCCAGTTTTTGCATCGCGGCGGACAGCATGAAGGAGCGCGCGGCACGCACCACAGCGATTGCCACGCGCATGTCCGTCGGATGGCTATAGACACGATAGTCGATCAGTGGGGCAGATAATGGATCCGTTGAATCGATGAGGAGTGTTCCGCGCGAGAGAGGCTTCTGTAGGGCAGCGTCGAACTCGGCGCGTCCCTCGTACGTGATTTCCATGGCCGAAGCATGACATGATTCCAGATGCTCGATAAGAATCTCACGTTGCTGCACATTCAATGAGCCACACATAAGATTTGTGAACGCGAGATCTCAACGTACCGCTTTGAACCCTTCCAGCACCGTAGAATCCACGTCAGGAGGTAGATGCGCCACAGGATCGGTATTCTTCAATTCCCTGACAATCGCCTCATAATCTGTGGTGACGTTTCGTAGAGGTAACATTGCAAGTGCAATGCCACGATTGTTTGTGAACAGGCCCGTACGGTTCTTATAGTACAATGCCAGCTGCTCGGCGGCATACTTCGGGTCCGATAACATCAACGGATTCGGATTAAGGTCTTCGCGAACTGCGAGCCTGATGTCAGAGATGGACGCAGCAGGAGCTATGTGGCTCACATTCGAATACGAAATGCAGAGCCGGATGGTCTTGCAGGTTTTGACCGACCCCAGGAAGATCCACCACTGTCTCGATACCCAGTGAGTTCACATGCTCGCGAGCACCTATTCCACTTCTCTGCAGTATTCCCGGCGAGTGTACGGTTCCGGAAGCCAGTATCACTTCGCGTGTAGCATACGCGACTCCGGCGAACGACCCATCTCTCGATATGACCTGGCGATGTTTAAGAAAGAGGTAGGATGAGCTCAACAGCAGGTGTTTACCTTCACTCCGACTGCTTTGAGATCATCGTTGAAAAGTACTCGATCCACGACATGGCCCGTAACGAGATGCAAATTCGACCGGCTTCGTATATTGTCATAATACCTCTAGAATTCGCGGTATACAGATTCAGCTCGCATGGCCAGCCATACAAGTGATCTTACCGGCCGTGCATATGAGCGCGATTGGTTTCGAGGATGCAGTGAGTTCGGCATCCAGTAAGCCCCGATTGCATTTCCGTCATTCCCATCTTGAGATATGGAGACATCTAATTCCTCCCATGCTCGGAAGAAGTTCTCTATAAAGATATCTTGTTAGAGTGTCTTGACTTTGTTAGCAGAAACTTACTCATGGACGGCCACAGAAATTTGGGATAGCTGGAATAAATAGGACCCTCTGTTCCATGCGCACTAGCATTGTACTTTATGGAAAACTCTTCCGCGACTCCCTTAGGGGGCATAGTGAAGGTCTCGCTCTGATGCTCACGTAAGACTCGCAGACGACTTGGCGTATACTACGAATGGCGCACCTTACGAAAGTATGGTAGAATATCATCCCAAGACCATCCTGGATTGCCCAACTGCGCCCATGCATCGTAGTCAGCGGCAGCTCCTCGGGGGAACACCATTCCATTGACCGCGGAGCCTCCTCCCACGACGGTGGCCGCCCAGATGTGAGCTGTGCGGTTGTTCAATCCGGACTGCGGAGTTGTCGTGTAGTTGAACATATGCTTCGCGTTGGTAACACCCAAATTCATACGGGCAAGACCAGGGACCAGAACGTCAGGATCTTGGTCGTCGAAGTAACCATGCTCGATTACGAGTACCGTTTCTGAGCAAGGTAATGAGTGTCTATGGCTGTATTTATACAGACATATGAAAAGCTTTACTTTGAGGATCCTCCGAGAGCCGGTTCGCTACCACTAGGCCGCTCACGCCTCCCCCAGCAATGATATAGTCATATGAAACAGCTGGAAGCGTTTGCTGGAGGACGGTCTGGGAGTCGCTAGCGGCATGGGTGAAGGGGATTACGAGCGAAAGTGCAATCACTGGAAGAATCGGATAACCTCTCATGACAGAGGACGAGTGATGGAGGGGGACATACCAACACCACGCGATGTTTAATGGAAGCGTTTCTCAAGTACTGCTTGCGGCCGTCATAGAACTGTCCAACACAGCGCTGAAAAGAAGCCAGCCTTCATCAGAACACGTAGGCGTCTTTCGTTCTTCTTAGCGGCTAATTGTGTGATATTTCCCGAGAGGCGGAGATGAGTTATGGTCGAATTTGGAGGCCGATTCTCGTAATCTGTCCGAGTTCTCGTATTTTATATCTTTGTAGCGTGAGCCTGAAACTGATGGCCTTTTTTCTGCCAAGGCCAGGTTCCTCCACCAAAGTCGCGGTAGCCATATTCGAGAGGTGGAGGGATGGTGGATGAAAGCTAGCATTGGATGGGCACCACGTTTAACTACTTCTTCAGCATGCGGTAAAGACTTAACGATTTGTGGGACGTTCGGCCATCAGAGACATGGGCCAGGACTGCTGAACATAGAAGGTACGACTAGTAGGTACGATCAACGAGTCTGTGACCACCAATTAATGGGCGTCTAATCTCAGCGCGCGCCGCTCTGTCACGGTCCCACGATTCTCAGGAACGTTCCTGGCAGTGAGCGTTCGCGATTCAACTTCGTCAAAAATTCTACCGGAAGATGTCCCCTTTGATGTCTCGCATGAAACACCACTGAGCGTCGCTCCTGAACGAGGAGATGGAGCTGCCTGAGTTCTCTAAACCCATTAGCTTAGCGCACAAGTGGTGCTCGCTGCTCGCACAATCACCTCCGGAGAGTCAGCGGCGCATAAGGTAGGGTCGCTCAGTTGCACTGAGCAGTTAGGTTAGGTGACTAAATGAGATGTCTTCCCGTTCTCCTGCGCCCTGACGGCATTAGGCTCTCATGGCAAGTACGTTGGGCATAGATGCCGCGAGAATGGTGATGCCTGCATAGACCCATTCTCACTGAACATGGAACTCCTTCTACTCGGTAGCATATGGCCTACAGGGCATTTCAGACTCCGTCTCATGGCGAATATCTCGCTCTAAAGTTGCCCCCGGAGTCTCGCAGCAGTGTCGCCTATTGCATCATTGTACGTGTTTATGCCGAGAAAGCGGTCAAATTCTCGCTCACAACAATTGGAGCAATCTGATCCTTCAGGTGTTTGCGAAACCACTGACAATGAGGTGCCATCACATATCACTTTGGATCCTCACACTCCCGCATTGAACGCAGTCCTTATGCGGATACGTCAGCTCAGAGTTTGGCCACTATTGCCTAGCAGCTCTCACACCAACCTCTCTGCTGCCCGCACCCTTGGTCCTACCACTGTTCTGGGTAACTGATGGCGATTATCATCACGATGCGAGCGGAGACCGTAGTACACAACGGCCGTTAGGCAAGAAAATGCGGCCGCTTTAGGTGAAGGGTCGCCGACCGAACAATTTCCTACAGTCCGTGCATTCACTAATTCTTAGATAAGAAGCGCACTTCTGTCCGGTCTCGCCCTGTTCCATCGCTCGTGTCGACATTCCCTTCTCAGCCATGATCACATCCATCGTATTCGACCTCGGGGATGTCCTTTTCACGTGGTCTTCGCATACCGAGACCAGCATATCCTCCAAGATCCTGCGCGAGATGCTCTCCGTCCCAACATGGTTTGATTACGAATGCGGCCGGTGCGGAGAGGACGAATGCTATGATCGTCTGGCCGCCGAATTTTCACTCGACCCTCGAGAAGTCGCGACCGCGCTTCGATGCGCACGCGAATCTCTCCGACCTAACGATCAGCTCGTCTCCCTCATTCACGAATTGAAAGCCCAGTCGCACGGCTCTCTTCGGGTCTACGCTATGTCGAACATCTCCGCGCCCGATTACGAATTTCTTCGTACTACAAAGCACGTGGAATGGACGCTCTTCGATAGAGTCTTCACCTCAGCGGCGGCCAGAGAGCGGAAGCCGAACCTTGCATTCTACACCCACGTCATCTCGGAGACGGGACTAGATCCTCGTCGAAGCGTGTTCGTCGATGACAAGATCGAGAATGTGCTTTCCGCCCGTTCTCTTGGGTTCCATGGAATCATCTTTGATAGTGCGGATAATGTTGCACGTCAACTTCGCAACCTCTGCGGGGACCCCATCAAGCGCGGAATGGACTTCTTGCGCAAAAACGCCGGGAACCTTCACTCAGTCACGGATAGCGGAGTAGTGATTTACGAGAACTTCGCGCAGCTTCTCACCTTCGAGGCAACTGGTGATCGGTATGTCCCTACCCTTGTCACTGCAAGTCTTTTTTACGACCCGCGAGAGCAGCTCACTCGTTTCTCTCACTGACCCCCCTCGGACTTGGAATTTCTTCCACGGTACGCAACTTTGTACAGGTCAGCGTAAATGAGATCTGACAACTGGCTTCAGGCAAGGGAGTGCTCACGAAGGAGGAATTTCCCGATGATCTTGACACGACTTCTTTGGGGCTTACCATGCTCCCTCGCGAACCCGACGTCATCCATTCAGTGCTTGATCAAATGCTGAAGAATGTCAACGCTGATGGAATTGTCCAGGTAAGCCACAAGGGTATTCCGCAGTCAGTGTCAGAGTTGACCGTGGACCTCTAGACCTACTTCGATGACACTCGTCCTCGGATCGACGCGTGCGTATGCGTCAACGTCTGCACCCTCTTTTATAGAAACGGGCGTGACGCGGAAATCCAACGCACCCTTGAATGGGTGTATCAAGTGCTGGTTAACCGTGCTTACGTGGACGGCACGCGATACTACTCTACAGCCGAATGCTTCCTCTTCTTCATCGGCCGCTTCCTCACCATGTGTCCGAATCCCGAGATTCACAGGAGGTTTGCATCCATATTCAAGGAACGCGTACAGGAGCGCATCGGCGTCCCAGGTGATGCGCTCGCCCTCGGAATGCGCCTTGTAGCATGCAGCGTAGCGGGAATTTCGAACCCCGTCGACATGCGCACGCTGCTGTCGCTTCAGTGCGACGATGGTGGTTGGGAGATCGGCTGGGTCTATCGACTCGTCGCGGCTAAAGTTATGATCGGGAGCAGGGGTATGACCACGGCGATTGCCCTACAAGCTATCTCCAACTTCGTCTCTACTCCCCCGCCTCCTGCAGCCCCCTTGACATCGATGAGTCGCGCTCAGGTAGAGAGCAAGTCCGGAGTGGCTAGGGTCACCCTTTCCGACGAGGGCGAATCTCGACCGCCATCATTCTTGCAATCGCTCCGCCAGCTGGTTCTCCCGACGTATTGAGCATGTCCCTCGTTTCGTTTGGTGCGAACGCCGAAGAGATAGCAGAGGGCTGATGGAATTCTGCGTCGTGTTCGTTGCAAGTATTACGTGCTGTCGCTCATTCGTTCTCCCGGCGGGATCGTTATTCGTCTTCGTCCTTTATGTTCTGACACGTGTAGAATGCGCAGCTATGGCTTTCCTCGACCCTTATTGTGCGCACTACTCAGAAACTGCTATAGACCTTTGTAAAATTCCACTGTAGATCATCCACAATTTGCTGAATTTGTTGGTCATTTGGTAAGAATCTGAGAAAAAGGCTCAGGAAATCAAAAACCCCACTTTAGGGTTGATTTTTCATGTTATAGTCGGGGCGTCTAAGTGACTCGCCCATCGACTCGCACGTCTATGTCACTCGCGATCTCTCACATGCAAAGCGCTACCTATCCATGAGAGCATCCGTCGCGCTTTGTGATGCACAGATTTTGCCGCGCACCGATGGGGTCGGCGGTCTCGCGCGAATTTCACTGCTTGGCGGCTCTGATGAGAATTACTGTCCATTAAAGGTACTGGACTGCCCCATGTACAGCCCGGCTTCTTCGACGCAGTACGTCCGACTCAATCATACCTCATCATGCACGGTATCTCAAGCGGCCGCTATTGATGCCATGGCATATCGTTTGCGGCCGGTGCGTCCAACGTTGCGGTTCTGCGGTTGATGAGTCCAAGCTCCACCGTCGGAGTAACATAAGTGGGTGAAACACCCGTGTGGAGCCTCTCATTCGATCCATCTTCTTCGCTCAGCATCTCTCCGATGTTCGCAATAATCACATCCGCGTCCCTATGTTTCATTTGCTTCGCCTTAGTATTGAGATCAATCCTGTCGAAAGGCATGCCGTCTCGCCATAAACTGCCCCCGGGACCTCCTGGATGGCCTTTGCTAGGTAACATTAGTGATATCCCGATCGTCTCGCCGTGGCTAGGGTACACCGAGTTGGCCAAGAAATACGGTGCGCAGAAATCGATGAGCGATGTCCAGCGCTGTTGAAATATTGTTTCAGGTGGAATTGTGGGTTTCAAGGTTCTTGGCCAGAATTTGGTCGTCATCAACGACATCGAGATCGCTCGCCAAATCCTGGACAAGAAGTCGAGTATTACTTCCGACAGACCGGCAAACAAACTACTCGATTTGTGAGTTGAATCCAATCTGCGAGCTGGGCGGCAGGTTTTAAAAGACACGCTAGCCTTGGCTGGGAGTTTTCCTTGGTCATACTGCGTTACGGCCAGAGATGGAGAGCTCAACGGCGGCTCTTCCACCAAGCGTTCCGACCGGAGGCCGTTCTCTCATACAGGCCTGTCATTGCAAGCAAGGCGAAACAGTTGCTGCTTAACTTGCTCCAAAGCCCGGAAGCGTTCATAGATCACGCCAGAAAGTAAGCTTCGAACCCTTCCCAAGAGGGCAAATCGCACTGATAGACAACACCCCATAGTTATCCGGCGTCGATCGTCATGCAGCTAGTGTATGGACATCAGATCGCGCCACGGAACGACCGCTTAGTATACCTGGCGGACAAAGCCGGAGAGATGGTAATGCTGTTGCTTCTTCCTGATCGCGATATCATCAAGATCTTCCCATTTCGTGGGTACACATTTCTTCAGTTTCTTTTGTAATGTTCACTCATAGTTCCAATTTTTCACTCAGTGCGGCTCCTGCCAGAATGGTTTCCCTTTATCTCTTTCCCTCGGAAGGCTCGCACGTCTCGGGAGATGGTGAAGGAGATGAGGGACGTTCCATGGGATATGGTCAAGAACGGCATTGTAAGCGCATTTAGCAAATGCGGCGCGCTTTTCTTAGTCATGGCATTCATTTCGAAGGCCGCGGGCACAGCTTCACCGTCGATGGCTGCAGATTTGCTGGCGAGGAGCTCAAAGACGGATGAGGATATCAATGAGCGAGAAGATACTATAAAAGATACGGTATCAATCGCTTTCGCAGGTTTGCCTTACTTCTCAGGTGGAACCAGTTACCTGCGACTAATTGCATGTGTTTACAGCCGGTACTGACACTGTATGGGTCTATGTTCGCTGCTTGCAGGTTGTCAAGCTGAAATCGAGAATAGACTGCTGCTACGCTGAAGACCTTCATGCTGGCCATGCTCCTCTTCCCTGACGTCCAGTGAGTCATCCATTCATACAGAGGTATCCCCAAAACATGATGGGTCGCCTGGCATTCAGGAGAAAGGCTCAAGATGAGATTGATCGTGTCATAGGCCGCGGTCGTCTGCCGACATTTGAAGACCGGGACTCTTTGCCATACATACAAGCAATCCATCACGAAACGCAACGTTGGCATCCCAGTGTTCTGCTGAGTAAATTATCAGAATCTGCTGTCTCACTGGAAAGTTCATACCCAGTCCTGCCAGGTTTTCCTCATGTTGCCACCGAGGATGTCTCCTATGATGGATACACTCTTCCGAAAGGTGGGACAAGCTATTCACAGATAGTTGCTTATCTTGAATTACTTCGCCTTACCTAGGGACCATTATTCTACCGAATGTCTGGTACACAGAATCTCACCTTCTTTCGGATCATCACACCTTACATGTGCTCGAACAGGGCGATGTCTCGCAACGAAAACACCTATTTTGATGCAGAGAAATTTGATCCGGGTCGATATCTCTCCCCTTCGGGAGAACTCACCGATGCCAACGCTGAGTTTACGTTCGGCTTCGGACGACGGTACGAAGTCCGCTTGATCATGCCACACGATAATTCTCATCAGCTGCCTAAGGATCTGCCCTGGAAGACATGCCGCAGATGCTACGCTTTGGCTTGCAATCAGTACGATATTAGCAGTTTTTAGAATTGAGAAAGCCAAAGACGAGAACGGTTGCGAGATACCCGTGACGGGCGACTACGGCGGCGAAGGTCTCGTAGGGTACGTGTGAATTTATACCATTTCGAACATTAATGACTTACGTTTAATGTACGTAGGCATGGTGAGTTGTCGGCGACTTCTCGATATCTCTGCGACCACATGCTCACTGATGGATCATTGATAGTCGTTCCGTACAAGTGCGTCTTCGCGCCTCGTCACGAAGATGCAGCCAAACTTGTTTCGTCTATGTGAACACCTAGAATGCTCTTATGGCCATGATATTGATCGTCTCATGCTTGGTAACTAGGATTAACTTCTGGGATGGGTTTCTGAATTCTCTCTAGTGAATGGGTGCCACTATGTCGTTCCATATAAACCAAGTCAAATCTATCGTATCATTGTGCAATAGTCAAGTTGCAAATTGGCCAATCTCCCATCGATTGCAGTGGGCTGTAGTGCTGCTCTTATTTGTGAGATGCCATCGTGCCGCGAATAGATAGAGCCGAAGTCGTCCATATACCTACGGCTCTTTTCGGAAGCCCATACAGGCTGGTTAACTTCCCCGTCAATACTGACATCGTCGATCAGAGTCTAAGGGGATAAATGATGCACTCCTTCCTTGTCGACGTCATGCCACTTTCCTTCGGGAAAGCCAGCTTCTCCAGCGTCTTCCTCTGCCATGGTGATGCGGCCGCACGCCATGCTGCAATAGAAATACCGAGCGATCCAGTCTGTTATAACGGCCCTTTGTCTCCTGCTTACTTGGTTCCCCTCTCGTCAGCTTGCTGGTCCATTGAACAATGGATACGGTCTATGCCATTGTTACCGTTGCGGCATTATTGATATCATTCGCAGTCTACAGAAGCAATGATTCACGCAACCGGCGTCTCCCTCCAGGTCCCAAGAGGCACCCTCTCATAGGCAACTTAATGGATATGCCTCGTGGCTTAGCCTGGATACAGTACGCGAAGTGGTGTCGCGAACTCTGTAGGTCTCACGAACCCCTCTTTTAGGATCGTCTCATCTTTGCATGTTAGCGTCCGATATCATTCATCTTAGCGTGGGCGGCCAGTCAATCGTTATTCTGGACTCTGCGGAAGTTGTTCATGAGCTGTTGGAAAAGAAGTCGGCGATCTACTCTAGCAGGGCTCAATTAACAATGTTGCACGACTTGATAGGGTATGCCCGGTTTTCTTGAAAGAAATTGCTGATCCCATCATGTACAGGTGGAAATATACCTTTTCATTTGCACCCTACGATGCGATCTGGAGAGAACAGCGGAAGATTTTCACAAAAGTCATCAACCCGTCCAATCCGACACTTTTCCATTCAAAGCAACTGGCTGCAGCGCATGATCTGCTCGAGCGACTTGCAGGCACCTCAGATGTTATGGAGGCCCTACATCAGCTGCGTATCTATTCGACGACTGCAATACGCACATAAACAGTTCTCTAACGTCGTCTGATTAGTTGGTCAGCAGTCCTGATCATGGACATTACATATGGGATCAGCGGCGATGCTGCCGACCCCTACATTGCCACTGCCATACAGGCGCTCGACTCTTTGGCAATCGCTGGCACGCCTGGTGAATTTCTTGTAGATACCATCCCTCTCTGTGAGTTCAATTCCGACGATGAATGTCATCGCGTTCACATGCGACATCGCCGTGCATAGTACGTTACGTGCCAGAGTGGTTTCCAGGTGCCACTTTCAAGAAAAAGGCGCGTGTATGGTACAAGCTGCGACAGGACATGACAGACAAGCCTTATCTGACTGCGAAGAAACTTATTGTACGTCATCACAAGTCAAAGATCAAATTGATTTGCTGACAGGGACATCAGGCATCCGGCACATATGCTCCCTCATTAGTGTCTTATGCTTTGGAGACTCTGGATCATGCTTCAGATGTTACAATGCAGGAAGATGTGATAAAGGGGGCTGCGGTGACCAGCTACGGAGGTCCGTGCGTATGCGATTTCAGAAGAATTGACTGCTGACAGCATTTCTAGGTGGCTCTGATACCGTATGTTCAATATCTATTCCTTTGAACGTTGTTTCAGATGACTTTTGTGTATTTACAGGTCGTAGCAGCCATGTCTGCGTTCATTCTTGCTATGCTCCTTCATCCCGATATTCAGGCTCGGGCACACCATGAATTGGATACAGCTCTAGGACCAGATGATTTACCAACATTTGACGACGAATTCCGTCTACCTTACATCTCCGCATTGGTGAAAGAGGTCTTAAGGCACAATCCAGTAACACCGTTAGGTACGTCGACTTGCGTCTCCGTTGAGCCAGGTTTGGTAAATTAGTTCAACAGCTATCCCCCATTATCTCATCGATGATGATACACATGCCGGATATTGGCTACCGAAGGGCTCCATCGTGATCGCAAATGCATGGTATGTGTTTGCGCGTATGCGTCAGGCTCTCATCAAAGACACGATATCCAGGTCTATCCTACATGACGAGAAAACATATCCCGATCCCTTCGCGTTCAATCCTGGACGCTTTCTAGATGCCGACGGTCAGTTGGACCCCGCAGTAAAGGATCCTGCAACAGTGAGCTTCGGGTTCGGTAGGCGAGTATGTGTGCGTATAGCAGGGAACGTCTCTTTCATGGTTCTCCAGAGCTAATCGGCGTTCTTATAGCCTGGCCGGCATGTTGCCATCGCGTCGATCTGGATCACTGTGGCAAGCATCCTAGCAAGATATGAAATTACGAGAGCTACGGATTCCAACGGAAAACCAGTGGAGGTTTCTGGAGAATGGTATACGGGCTCCACTCTCTTCAATCGCCCTCTGCCGTTCACGTGCGCGTTCAAACGTCGCCATTCCTCTCCAATGACTGTGGCGTAGGTCGCAATAGATGCAACGCGAGCCTGCCGCTCAGCGGTCTCTCTTACTTAGACCAATTGTACATCAACGATATTCTGAGCAATTGAGTCAGCGTCGAGGTCGATATGTAGCCAACGTTGTTAAGGTCTATGTCTTTTTGTTGGTTGCTCTTTCGAGCGTCACCATCATCTCTCAACAGTACGTCTCAGCAATTCAAACGGCCAGAAATGAATGCATCCTTGATACGGTGTTTGTACATTCTAAAGTGTTCCTGATACTTCCTGCCCCGACAATAGTTGTTACACGAATCAAGTCTACCATCGGAACGTTCTAACATTTCCATATATATACGAGCGGCAGCTATACCTCCCAACGCGTAGGCCCTACAGTCCGGCATGCATGGTTGGAGAGTGTCCTTTCGGTGGAGAAGAACCTTCTGCACGACTGACAGACCCACTCGCACACTCGCCCGTGCTGCATGACTTCGTGACGCAGACGATCATGCTGACGCGAGAAGCGCTCACTGCACCCCATCGTGCATGGCAACGATTTAGGAGCCTTCGGTCTGTGGGAGCGAACATGGGTTTGGAGAGTGTACTCGCTTGTGCAACGGCGCGCACAGTGCGGACACTGGTGATTGCGCCTTCCCCCCTTGTGTGATGTACGAGACACGCCTTCACAATCGCTCTCCTTGAACGAGGTCGAGCGCTCCGTTGCAGGAGAGGATGGCGACGCAGGAGTAGAAACCAATGTAGTCGCCGACGATCTGGCGCTCGACTCTTGTGACGCGAGCACTTCACCGTATGTTGCAGCGCCCACGTCTCGACGATCGGGGTCAGTAGCTCCGCACATGCTCTGAACAATCTGTTGCATTTCCACTAGGTAGTTTGAGTCGGACACAGATTGATTATGTGATAAATGAGTGATGCTTACGATCTGTGAATGACCAATCATCATGGGGGAGAAGTTGTGCGTAGAGTGTGTCCTGAGTCGTCGTTACGTTGCGAGCATGACCATCATCTAATAGACTCAGGTTCGCGGTCACAAACATACAGGTTTTCCCTCACCAGATAAAGTAGTGCCATTGTCTGGCCGTTCTCCTAACGGGAGTCCATTTGTGGTGCATACGGTATTTCCGTATGTTTCGCGTAGGCCTGCAAGTAATCTTCCATGACATGTATTGGACGTTCCCAGGAATAGAGGACTTGCCGGACGTTGTGCTCTCAAAGGGACTCTTATTAGATAAGGGATCCTGGTTTTGCGGCGAGGTGACATCGCAGACGGCGAAAATACGCAGAACATGCCCATCCTTGTCCTCTGATGCCTCAATCTTGACTGAGTACGAGGGCTGGAGAACGCGACTCTTGTCGTCTGTATGAATTCATTGTGGATCTTTCCTGAAGGATCGAGAGACAATACATACGCTCACCATTCCCCGTCTGATCACTGGATGAGGGTTGAAGGTTGAAGGCGAATCCGCCAGATTCAAGGACTCTGATGGAGACCCGTAGCCGGATGAGCTCCTCGATAGGCAGACTGAGATAAGACATTCGGAAACTGACCAACGAAGGGTCTGCCCCTTGCTAGAGATATGGGTTTCGAGTACATGCGAGCGGTGGCAGTAGTCTATACGAACATGGCATAGCAGTACGAGAGGCCGCGGTGTCGATCATCAACGAAACAACAGTCGAGTTGGAGAGCTTGGCTGTCCATGACAATGCTAGATCCGACAGCCCGGGCAAAAATCCACGGACCCGAGCAACTTCCCTGTATGTCTAGTCCTAAATCCGAGCCCGAGCCATGCAACCCCGAGGCGTTAAATACCGTGTTACGCGTAATGGAGACTGTGGTCTCAGGCTGGGTACGAGACCAAAAGACTGGATTTTCCAATGCGTATTCTCCGACGAGAATCGGCCCAGGCACTCAACCTCAGTGGCTTGAATTATGCCATCTCGTGTGCTCTCACAACTATGCTGTTCGATGAACAAAGGTTTGGTGATTGAAGGGGGCCTCATCGGACGCGCCGGTGTTCTCAGTTGAACTTTATGCATGATGGGCATTGCCCGGGTCCTGCAGCAAAGCGCAATGACATTCCGTCATTCAGATGGAACCAATGAACGATGCTCGTGATGGAGCGATACCTCCTGGAGAAAACGAAGAATTTGATCGTGGCAAGCGTATTACCTCACGGCGTTGTGTGCCTAACCGCATCGGTTCTCTTGAGATGCCTCGGGGATCGCCGGCGGTATTCCTTGTGGCAGCACGCGGCGATTCTTTTGATGTGAATGTGCGCACTTGCAGGAATTGTATCTAATGATATCTGTTCTAGATATCACCGATGTCACTCTATGTGAACACCTTCAAGTAATGCGTTGACAGTTTACAACTATCACAGCCAAGAACGTGTAGCTTGCTCTCACAGCATTGAACGCTTTGAATTGATACAGAAAGACGCCACCGCGTTAATTGGTCTCCTGGATATATATGAATGTGATCGGAACCTTGGAGACATAGGACGCAGTTGGACAAGGTACGCAGCTGAGCCTGCGATCTCGAATTACCCCTTATACACCGTTCCCATTGACAGGCGGGTGAACGAGTCGAGGCCACGATTGGCTGTTCCACTTGCTTTTCAAACAAGAAAGTGATTGCGTTGTCATTTGAAAATTTCTCCACAATCAGTAGGACTTGACACTGAAGCTTGTTTCAAGATGTTCTGCATCAGCTCTCGCAACGAAATTGGCAAATGACCTCGGATATCGCAGAGCATCATCCCCATTATTACTGAATCGTGCCGCCGGTCAGTGAAACTGTTAAGGTCGCACTAGCGTCAGATCCGGAGGTTGAAGGAATTGTCTCGTCTGCCCACGGGAGACTAGCACTAGCTGCCGCAGTCTCCGCTGATGTTTGTTGATGTATATGACAAGAGACGGTTGTAGTCATACTGATGTTTTCCGCTGAGTAATCTCATTTCATGCTCCAGTGCCTCATGAGGTGCCTCATGAGGTGCCTCATGAGAACTATGCTTCCTGATCGAGTTAGTTGCGCAGCTGGCCTTTGGGACTCACTGTGGCATGTAGACGGGGTCTCGTTGAATTTGGAGGTGGAGAGCGGTTCTTAGCGAAGGAGTATTTAGCTCGAAATGGGTGTGTGAACGTCACCTGCCAGTGTATCATTTGCGTTGCTAGCAAGCCCCAAAACTCTCCTCGGCCAACGCGAACACGACTTTGAATGCTGAGGCTGCGAGAACGCCCGAACTGCAGCTGCATTATTAGACGACTTTCTGATGAAATAATTTCATCTGCTTTATTGTGCGGGCAGAACGTGTGCAGGCCAGAGCGCTCTGCAGATCAATCACATCTTGGCATGAGCGCTCGTCGCCGAAGGCTGTTTTGCCATTTAGTTAGCCTTCTTTTTGACGCGGTGGCCTTAGCTAGGCTCATTCCCAGCCATTTTGGACACCGACGTCGAGCGGCCGGACAAATTGGATGCCCGGTACACCCATCGGCCTGTGGAATTAGGCACTGTGAAATCGCGCGAGACACAAGCAGCAAGGTGAAAGCAGGGGCCACAGAGAGCGGTACAAGTATCCCAGCACATTTAATACTACGTGAAAGCAAAACATTGTATACTGGCATTCCTGAAGTCATACAAATGCAAATTTGTCACCCTGTGGATTCACATCAAGGGCAATGTCAGCCGCAAACTACAGTGACAATGCCTCTGTCGACATCTTCATCTGCATTTGACATCTTGCTCTCTGAGTCGGGCCTCACATCATTTTTATGAGCCTCGTGTCCCCGCTGCACTGGCCTGCCATCAGTCTGTCCTAGCCTGCAGTAAGTGATTTTATATTCAGCGCTGCCGTTAGAAAACACCGAACTGATCGGATATCATATCAGCTCCGTGCCCTGAAATCTACTGCTCATATCCTAAAGCAGCATGCTTTGCAGATGAGCCACCTTGTGCCGTCGACCGCCGTGCATTTGTAACGACAAGCGCATACAGCCTGGTCCTGTCCGAACTAGCGTCAATCAACGCGCGCAACGCTCCAGTCCCATCACTGAGCAGGTCGTCGGGCTTCAGAAACCGACCTAATGACGTTCGGAATCGTCAGAACTAAGATTAGGGGCGAAGTAATGGGGCCGGACTGCTCACAATACACCCAGTGTCAAGAACAATCTGTGCACAGTGCCAGATCTTTGAAAGCCTGCGGCCGAGGAGTACGGAACAGCATACAGTCTCACCCACGTTCGTAACAGTCTGCTATTGGTGTGCTACCACGAGGAGGGTCTCACGGTATTCGGTAAGTGACGTTTGTATAAAAGGGTTGGTCGCGTAATCTGTTCCGGCCATGAGCCCAATAGCACCTCAACATTTGTCAGTCATCGCAATGTCGCTGTTTGAAAAAAAAAAGGCACGACAGAAACACTTAGGCAGAGCTCAACTGTAATGGAAGTAATAGACACGCCCTCATCATGATCAACAGCTTGCTTTGATGCACGATAGCACGAGCGAGGGCGACTGGCAGGCATTGTCCAGAGATGAGTTCACATCTCCGCCAAAGATCATACTGTCAAGCGCGACCTTGTTTCCAGATATGCTCCTGTTATTGTTTTCTGCAGAATACAGACTCGCGATGAGCAGAGCTTCATACGGCACAGTATCATGATACTTCTCGAACGGACCAAGGTTTTGTCTCAGTGTACCGCCCAGTAGATTAGGCTGGACGCTTGAACAGACCAGCGAAGGTCGGGAGACTGGGAAATATAGTCGCAGGGGCGACATACAATTTGCTCGAAGGGCATCCAGGTCGATGCTTATTGGAAGGGATGCCGTCGGTCCCTTTTGTCAACGCAGAAGCGTCAAGACTAAGGAACTCTAACGCATGCATTCAGGACACACACAATATTACCCCGTCCCCAGCACTCACCTTTCCGCTCTTTGTTCGACCTTTGTTCGACCAACTGAGGCTAGATATAGATCAATTGCAAGCCATAACCTTACCAATCTCCACGAGTTCCCCGCTTGACTTCAAAAGAGACCCCACGCAGGACCGCTGGGCCATCCTGATGTGCATCAGCAGCGCGCTTTTGTGGCAGCTCAGCTAATACCTCACAGCATGGTGGCGCGCGGACAGCTCTACTATCCCATCCAGACATACATGTCACAAATAGAGGCCGTCAACTCCAGATGTGGTGTCGACGGATCCTGCAAAGGTCGTGATAGTTCTTGTGAGTGACAAGCCACAGGAAACTTACGCGCAGAATGCTTGCCTGGAAATCTGCGGGAACATGTCCACGAGGGGTGCACCACGTACTATCACAGCGGTGAGCGCGAGGAGGATAAGCTTTGTTCACAGCCGACCTCCCTCCGCAGCGCCAACTGGCGTTAGTGTGGACATCGCAAGAGGCCACACGCTACGGAACATGTACATACCCCAGGTAATGAGAAGCACTATTGTGCAGTGTCTAAATATGATACGGATCACGTCAGGCGATGGAAATATGGAGAGAAGCACCAGCAGTGACGCGTACGGCTATGGCACTTGGTGAGCTTACGAATTTTGGAGGCACGTTGGCCGGAACGAACGTCCGCAGCTGATAAGACGAGCAGGCACAAGCAAGAGCAGTCTGACGAAGTCAAATGCGAATATTCCAAAGGTTACATGGCGCAGGACGAGCTGTTGAACGATAGCAGTCTGGACCCTCCAGAGTCTGTATGTTGGTACAAATTCCCCAATGGTGCCCCAGGAGAAGGAGCAATTTCGGGAGCAAGACAAGAAGGGACAACACAGTGACGTATCGTGGAAAGCTGAATATGCTAGTTATCTGGCATGGACCTGTGAAGGAGGTCAATTGAGGAAGGAAATGGACGAGTCCCTCCTACCTGTCAGAATGGCCGACGATGCGGGAGCCAAAATGACCTGCGCTTCCGAAGCCTGAGATGCAGCAACTTGAATGCGGCTCATGATTGCGATATTAGACGTCAATTAATCTCCATCCAAGCAGATGGGAGATTTGAGTACGTTCCTGATGCGCCTCAGGTATCTACATATACCCTGATACAGGGTCCATGATGATCCTGGCTTGCGCGTCCCTCGTGAATTCCGCGTCCCATCAAGTTCCTGCGCTGAACTCTGCATTGACTGACTGGCAGAATCATTGGTCGTTTCGCCCACATGGATAGTGGCAGGCTCGACTCGCCGATTAGGGCACCAACCGAATATCGAGCGACTTTTAACATCAGCATTTCAGAGTCTAGATACGCAGACTCTTAGTGTTCACAAGTTTAATATGATAATTGAGGACATTACCAGAAGGTGAGGAACTGGCGATTATCCGCACATGCTTGGCTAGCTCCGAGGAGTCGCGTTTGACATTAATGGGCTCCGCACACTGAATGCCGCGCAACCAACTTGGCCAGAAAAATCTGCAGCAGAGCGCAGCATAGCAATGTCTTGGATCATTGTTGTAACGGCGATGCGTATGTACGGGTTAATGTTCCATTCCACGTCTACGTTCAGCTCCTGGCTGGCTGAGACTCTAGCCGCGGTGCAGTGATAAGCGCCCTTGCGTGACGATGTGGCGTGGGAATATACCATCATTCGTGGGTCAGGGCGCTTTCCACCTCGGCTAACTGTAGCTCGCACACATCGGTTGTCTCTTCCATTAGCTTTTCCATCAGTCATGTCTCAAGATACACAAGAAGGGAACAGCTTGCTTCAGAAAGTGACAGAAGCTGCGGAAGAGTTTGTCGAGAAGTTGACTGGGACGGAAGATGATACGGAGCAGAATGAGAATGAACGCAAGATGACCATGGAGGAGCGGAAAGCTAAGATGGAGGAGCTAAGGCAGAAGATGGTGCGCTTTTCCGATGATCTACGCTTCCTTGCTGAGATTTATACTGTCTGTATAGCATTCTTCTGCGTTGGCGAACAGAAAGTCTGTCATCGAGGAAAGTGCCAAGGCAAAGATCACCGCCCGAGATGCTGCACGTCTAGAGAGACAGCGAAAGCTCGTCGAAATACTGCGACAGAAGGCAGACGCGGAGGAACGCGGCGAGGACGTCGAGCGGCAGAAGAATTGGGAGTGGACGATTGAGGAGAACGAGGAGTGGGAGAAGAAGAAGGCACGGAAGGCGCGGAGAGCGAACTTCGAATTCAATAGTACGTCGGTTTTCCTCTCCATTCCTTTTTGTTGTTATTGGCTTGGGACAGTGGTTCTGATATGAGATGCGCTTTTCAGACGACGCAGATGCGGCACGGAGACGGTACAAGAAGGATCTTGACCTAATCAAGCCCGATCTCCTCACATACAACAAACAGAAAGAGCTCGCGCTGGGGTTGTTGCCCGGAACACTCGTTAAAGCAGGCAACAGCTCGTCTGCGGTCAATGAATTCGACCCCAAGGCAAGCACATCGTTGCAGGTGCGTTATTCGTGTTCTGGAATGATAGGAGTCATCTCATTGTTGTGCTGCAGATCGTCCCGACAAGTGAGCAGCAACGAATAGCAGCAGAGAATCTGTATCGCGACGCGAACAGTCTGCTTTACGCAGACAACAAGCCGAGTGAAGACGCCATCGACCGGGTGGTCAGCAAGATCAACCGGGAGTACGTTTCCTATTCAACTCTTGTCACATGGTATTTCTAATCATTTGTTGCAGTATTGACAAGAAGAGCAAGTTCTCGAGGAAGCGGCACAACGAGGACGAAGGCGATATCACGTACATCAACGAGCGGAATCGCGTGTTCAACAGGAAGGTGCGCAGAGCCGGGATTGATATATTATTTTCTCGATGTTCTGAGTATTCTGTCCGCAGATTGCACGTTATTACGATAAGTACACCGCGGAAATCCGTGCAAGCTTCGAGCGGGGTACTGCACTGTAGAGTTATAACATTTTCGATCGCGCGTCTGCATACTACTTGTAATCTACATTTTTCCAGGACATTAATACATGCTTGTACTACCATTCTCACAGCGTCCCAGCTGAGAAGTCCACGGTGCACCGGTGGTCGGAGAGTATCCCACCTGAAATCATGAAAACCGAGCACACGATCTCCTGCGAATAGAGTCATCCCGAAATTCGAGTCCAAGGACGGGGGAACGCATGGCCCATCGCTATAGTTCCCAGCAACTGAACGTAGGTGGAGTGGATGCCGCCTTCCGAAGCGAGCGGCCAGACACCATCTCCCAACGTCAATCCCGGCAAAGTCTGATGCCAGTGAAAACCAGTGAAAACCGACATGCCACAGACTCCGCTCAGCCTCCACCACGCATCCCGCCCCTGCCCGACCGACCCCGGCCCCTAGACCTCCGGCTCGCCCCATCCTCCTGCGCCGATGCTTGTCCCAGAGCTGCATCCCCTTGCCCCGCACCAGCCTCCCTCGGCAATACCTTTGGCACCGCAGACGCCTGCTCCCGCTGCAAGATCTTCGGTGCACGCTGCTGTGCCGGTGCGGCCGCAGCGCGCTTCTCTTTTGCCTTCTCCTCGCGCGCCTTGCCTTTCGCCGTGGCATCTGGAGCGAAGGCGGCGAACGCAGGCGCAGCATCACCAACAGCCTGACGCTCCCTGCGTGCGCGTCGCTCGACGCCCGCCTCGCTAAGCGCCGCCTCGAACGTGCGCGATGCGAGCCCAAGCACAGGCCGTCTGCGCGTCGGGGCGGCTTCGGCCTGAGCGGGCGCTCCAGCGTCTGTATGTGTACTGGAAGCCGGAGTGGTCGGGCGGCCAGCGGAGGGCGCGGGTGGAGCTGTGAGCACTGAGACAGGCGCGGCGGGAGCTGTGGACGTGGACGCCTTTGCGTGCCGTTCGCGTGGAGGACGGGGCGCCTTGGGTGCAGGCTGTGCTTGTGCCTGCTTCGCGGGCGCCTTTGTCGAGGCCGACGGGGCGGACGGCGGGGGCTGCTGATTCTGCTGCTGTTGAGCAGCCTTGGCTGCTGCCGCTGCCTTCTTTGCGGCCTTCTTGCTCACCTGTGGTGGCTGCTCTGCGGGTTTCTGAGCGGCAGCTGCCGCTGCCGCACCGCCCGTCTTTTTCGACTCCTTGGTGGGTGCAGGGGCGCTCGGGCCCGCAATGACATTCACATTTTTGTAGTGCGCGTGATTGCGAAGGATGGCTTCCTTATCTTTCTGCGCCGATTTCTCCGCCTTGAGTGCCTCGAGGAGGGGAGTGGTCGTGGGTGGGGGTGGAGGCTGTGACGCCGCGACTATTAAGGCGTTAGATGATTGCGAAAGGAGGAAACTGTAAGGAAACGCACCCAATGCATCATAATTCTCTGCCTCAACAGGCTTGGGTCCCTCCTTCAGCGATTCCAGGGCCGAGATATAATCCTCGTCTAAAGAGCCTGTGTCAATATGAAGGAACGGTCGGCATGGCGAGCTGCCAACCTTTCTCGATTGTCCCCTGACGGCTGTCTGTCTTCTTCTTCTCTGCGGGAATCTTTTGGAATGGCGCGAACTCAACAACCGCCATTGACTCGTTGCCTGGCGGCATTACAATCTTCTATAGGACTATCGCGAAAGTAATGTATGACGGGCGTACGCACCAGCCTTGTCTCTGAATAAGTGTCCATCATATTCTCGACTGAAGATGGCCAACATCTCTTCATCCTTGAACGCGATATATGCCCGAGACGGAATGTTTTCCTTGTTCAATCTACCCGCACACATTCACTGTCCGCGCCACGCCTAAGACGATGGCCACACTCACCGCTTTCTAAACTTGCCCTGGTAGTACGCCTTCCATGTCGCTGTCTCGTCGGTGACCCATTGCTGTACACTTTGCCAAAAGATGTCCTCCGGAAGGTTTGGAGGGAGTCTCCGGACCACGATCTTGAGTCGGTCTGTCTGTGGCTTGCTCGCGGACTTGGCTTTCTTCTCCCGCTCTTTCTCTTTCAGTTTCGCCTTTGCGTTCGGACTACTCAATACTTTCGTGGGTTCGCTCGGAGACATGAAGGATTGGAATATAGAATGTAGTTGATAGCCTTGATGTCCAGGTGCGATGGAGAGAAGTTGCGGGTCGCACCACCCCGTTACGTAATCAGACGAGCAGCGAGCGGCCACAAACTGAACGTCGCACGTTCTTGCCATCTGCATCTGTCTGCGACTGCAACGACATGCACTCAGCATATAACTCTATAGCCCACGATGTACCAAGACGGTTCACGAATAAAACATTATTTTGCTCAGTGTGCGTACATATCCTGACACGTCGACCGGGATTTCGGAAAAATTGTTTTGTACGTTGCTTGGCCAAGGCTTTGCGGGGCGCCCCAGTGTGCTCTCACGGACCCGAGTCAACATACCCTCTAACATAACTTCACGGTGGCGAACGGACGACCTTGAGAGTTGTCTGCATTGGTGCGACCAGTCTAAGGTTTATCTAGAGCATCCTTCAGGACGTGCCGAGATGGATATTGAACAGTAAATCATCCATGAATCTTTCTTAGATCTTCCTGACGTCCCCCTTCTCCATCTTATATCAGGTTCCGCAAAGCTGGATATCAAGCAGTTGACAGGATCTGCGAATATTATTATTCGCTCCAGAGTCGCCCAGTCGTCCCACCGGTCCAGCCGGGTTATCTCATCAAGGCTCTCCCAGGTTCGTTTACACCACTCTCCTGCCTAGATCTACAATGCTGATATTGCCGGGCATGCGACATCAGACAGTCCTCCTGATACAGGAGAGGACTTCACTGCAATCGCCGATGACTATCAGAAACTCATCATGCCTGGTCCGTGTGGATTTGAACTGCGACATAGGCCCAAATTATTGAGTGTATCTGACATACTGAAGGACTTACACACTGGCAGCATCCTTCATTCTTCGCATATTTTCCTACAGCTTGCACCTTCGAGGGAATGCTCGGCGATCTCTATGCGAGCAGCGCTTCCAACCCCGGATTCAATGTGAGTTGGACGTTGATTATTATATTTATACCCTCATGTGACGAATTCATTCAAGTGGGCAAGCAGTCCGGCATGCACTGAGCTCGAGATGGTCATGATGGACTGGTCTGCAAAGCTGCTCGGGCTCGGCAACCAGTTCCTCAACAGCTCTGGAACGGGAGGCGGAGTCATACAGGTGAGTACTATACATTCACAGAAATCCGCCGATGTTGAAATCTTTTATAGACAACCTCCTCCGACTCTGCACTGGTCGTAACTGTCGCAGCACGTTCGTTGTACACGCGAAACCACCCTGGGACGCCTTTGGAGGACCTCGTTATGTACGTGACCAGCCAGACGCATTCCCTCGGTGTCAAGGCCAGTCTCGTGCTAGGGCTGGAATGCCGCATTGTGGATGTTCGGGCTGAAGACAACTATGCTTTGCGAGGCGACACATTGCGAGCCGCATTGGAAGAGGACAAGGCTAAGGGCAAGCGGCCGTTCTTGCTGAGTAGGCAATTGCTCCCCTTCAACCCATGAGCACGACTGATTCCTACTATAGTTGCCACTGTTGGCACGACGTCCTCCGGTGCTGTTGACAGGTTGGAGGAGATTGGGCAAGTGGGTAAGTCTGAGATATTCCCATTAAACGGTACCCGTGTACAAGCCCCTTCCAGTGCAAGATCATCCGCTGTGGATCCACGTTGACGGCGCGTGGGCGGGGTCCGCACTGGCGTGCCCTGAATACCGCGACATCGTCCAGCTTGACAATATCAATAAGTATGCCACGTCGTTCGGCATGAACCTCCATAAGGTACGTTGTCATGATGAACGATTGAAACCGACAATTTATATCATCAATCCACAGTGGGGCCTCGTCAACTTTGATGCCGCGCTCCTCTGGGTGAGAAGCCGCAAAGACTTCACCGACGCTCTTGACGTTACTCCCGAGTTTCTGAGAACGAAGGAAGGTGATGCTGGTGCGTACTGAGTACACATCGCCTGCAGTACCCGTTAATCAATCTCTCGATACAGGGACGGTCATCGACTATCGCAACTGGCATCTTGGGCTTGGCCGCAGATTCCGCTCGCTCAAGATCTGGTTCGTCCTCCGAAGCTACGGAGTGCAAGGCTTTCAGGAGTACATTCGCAGGGTGCATCTACCCAAATCTCTCGTTACATTGCGACTGACAACTGACCGACTGTACAGTGCATCAAACTAAACGAATACTTTGTCTCGCTCCTGCAACGCTCTTCCGACTTTTCTCTAGTTACCCCACCGTCTTTAGCTCTTAGCGTCTTCCGCCTCACCCCGCCTGGCCTGAAGTCGCTCGACGTCTCAGCGCTCAACGACCTGAACAGGTCGTTCTATGCTCGAGTTTCTGTGCGGCCAGACATCTTGGTAACGAAGACGATGCTCAATGACACGTTCTGCGTGAGGTTCGCGGTTGGCGCTGCGAGGACGAGGAAGGAGCACGTTGATAAGGCTTGGGAGTTGTTCCAAGAGGAGGCTGCAGTGACGATCAAAGAATGGGAATCTAAGGTGGCAGGCAATTGAGGTTAAAGCATTCAATGCGCGGCAGGCCTTGATGATAGAATAATACTGTGCGTTGCCATGCTAAATTCGTGTCATGCAACTTCACTGCTACTATCGATGCATACCGGTGTCGCATCTTGGGATCACCCAGGGCTATATATTCGATAAAATGGTTACATCCGGCATAGAAGACCTCAGTGATGTCCGTAATCCCAAGACAGCCCTATTCATCATCATTTCCAGCGAAAGCAAAACAAGCTATCGACAGTTATGTCAAATCAGACATCGACAACATCCCATACCGTCCGCATGACATGATCTGCCTTACGGCCAGTATGCTTGATAAGCCCGAGCAAGTCGAGCGTATGCAAAGCGCGGATGAAGCGTGCCTGCAACTCGAGTTGCCATGCCTCTGCCTGTTCCTCGTCTCCACTTTCTTCATCCTCCACATCCTCATCGTTACCTTCATCCTCATCATCTGCATTGGCGATAGGCATAGCACGCGCCCTGCCTTTCCCTTTTCCACTCGCACGACTTTCTGCTTGCACTCTCGCCTGTAGGCACAGGTGCCGCTTCTGGTTGTCTAGGACCTGCGCAAACGCCTCGTACCAATCGTATGCATTGATGAGCCGCCCTGCCTCAAGATAGCGTCGGAAGAGAATCGTCGTGTCGGGAAGCTGCCAAAGCGCGGGCACCTGCTCCGTTTCGTCGCCGTACTCTTCTTCAGAGGCATCGTGGTCATAGGTGGGCTTCACGTTCGGAGCGTCATGTGCGGGAGGAGCATTGTGGGTGGCATTGACAAGGTCTGTGTGAGCTCGCGCGAAATCGTAAGGATGCACGAGAGCCGAGACTATTGTCGCTCGAGGGACAGGGTTAATAAGCTGTGCGCACAGCAGAAGTGAGAAATTGCTGTCAATGAGCAAGCATGAAAGAACATTGCTTGTCTAACGCACCTCGTCCGGGAAAGGCGTCAGCCCGGTGTACCAGATATCCCACAGCGGGCCTTCATCTAGCCGGACGAAACATCCTCTACGGGAATGATGAGTATACAAGCTCTGGCAAGAGGTGAAAGAGGGACGTACTCAAGGTAATTTACGAGCCACTCCCCTAGCGCCTCTGCAATCTGTACGACCGCAGGGTCTCTTCGAGCTGATGTGATCTCTTCCGCGTCCACCATACTCATCCGCGCGTCGTCGTCATTCATCTCCTCTTGTTCTGGCGGCAGTTCCGCGAGCGCACCTTCCAGCCAGACGAGCGCCTCCTCATGTTCGGGAAGGACAAGGGCGTCAGAGTCCCGAAGTGATTGGAAGAACGCGCAAAGTTCCTCAATAAGAATTCGCAGAGAGTTTGAGGACAGCTTTCTGAAATGAGAAGGGATTGGTGAGCGGCCACGCTGTATGAGGTGTAGACTCACTTCAAAACGAGCCCCTGAAACCGCACGTCCCGGCTCGCACGTCCTCTCAGCACCGCATTTGCGAAGGCCAGACCATCTGCGTCTTCTTCCCTCTTACCCGCTAGCGCACTGAATGTGCCTGCCTCCAGGCCAACCTTCCGGACAATTCGTGTCATGTGGAGGCCCATACGCACTCTGCAGGCATTCCTGTAGAAGCTCTCTCGCGCAGCATCGACAGTTTCGAGCAAAACCTGGGAATCTGCCTCTTCAACTTCAGGGTCCACAATAGCGAGTCGCGCGCGTAGGGCCTCCAGGAAAGGGCGACAGGACGGATGGGCAAGTCTTTCGGCGGCAGTAGCTGTGTTGTGACTGCCAAGCAGTGAAGAATGCGTGAGAGCCGTGAGAGGTTCGGCGAAGTGCTTCATGTGGGCTATCTACTCCATACGCCGTAAATAACATAGCCATACTCAAGGGCGAGTGATGAATACGAACCTGTAACATGGTCAGCAGAGCATCGAGCGAGGCAGTGTTCCGGGACGCGAAGTCGGCAATGAACTGCGTTGTTCCTGGGCCTATCATTACATCCGGCTGGAATCCCGCATCAAAAAAGATCTGGCAAGGTCATTATAATGGAGCCGGACTGAAGAACGGCAACAAATCATACTTTATTGATCAACTCTTCGACGATGACCCATCCAGACGGTGCGGAGATTGTCCGCATCCGAAGAAGAGCCAAGGTGGAACGAGGGTATGTCGCGTGGACGTACGATGGAAAAGGCGGGGAGGAAAGACCGAGGATGAAGACTATCGGAAGTCGTGGGATGTGTAGACTGGATGCCAGCGTCAGTGAGTTCGAAATGGAACGTCGCTCCGATGTCCTACCTACAGATATAAAACACGTCCTGCATGACAACGGGGTCATACTGCTCGAAATCGTGCAAGACGATAACGAGGTGGGGTGTGGTTCCTACCAGCAGAAGTGAGAGAGCGTAAAGGATGATGATCGTGTGTCCTTACCCAAGGCATCATACCACGCCCCCAGTAGGTTGATATCGTAAGTGGCGAGAGACGTTGCAGGCCTGCGCTTCATGCTGCCTATCAACGAATACTAATTACATGAAGTCACTAATGGAAAGGCACATGTTGAGAGAAAGTCCGCACGTTCAGGGCCATCGTGCTGGTCCACAAAACCAGTCACAATGGCTTTCATGGCCGTCATGAGGTTTGGACAGTCGGCAGGGTATAGGTGCACCTGCACGGTTTCATTGACATATGTGGATAGTCCGAATTCATCAGACGCGGTTTCTCTTGGAGCTCCAGGATCGTCATGCTCGAGTCGACGTAGAATTTCCGTGTATAGGGAGAAGCTCCCTGACTCAGCTAAAGCATTCATATTCGTAAGAAATTGTCAAATAATGATAAAAGATAACAGTACCTGATATAGCTATGACTGGGAGCTCCACAAAGGGAAGACCGGGGAGTATATCTGAATAAGCATTGTAAACACGCTTGACGACTTCGGCGGCCACTGGTTCATGGAGAGCGCGGACGACTGACTAGGTCATGTCAGCGGTAGAGATGGGGATAGAGGCGCATATATATACCTGAACCCTGGTCAGACATCTCGTCCAAGCCTTTTGGTACGCTTCCATCCGGAGATCATGTCCATTTGGTAGATCGCGCCAGCTGTGAGGCGAGTACGGCGTAGGGAATGGTTCATCCTCTTCATCTTCACGAAAGTGGAAGTTAACAGAGAGGCGCCGTGTTTCTGACAATTTCCTTGTCAACGCACCTGACTCATTTTCAGAGACGATGTAGACACAGTTCTGTTTAATGTCAACTTCGCATAAACCACGTTACGCATTCCTAACATACCTTCGTGGGATTGTCGAGGTCTCGCAGTGTTCGCTCCATCATCAGAAAGTTCAGTCACTGAGTGGTTGCCAAAGTATGGCAGGATGTGAAAAGTGGTCCGCAAGCCACTCCGAACTTGCAGTAATTGTGGCAGAAATCAAGACGCGTCGACTTGCGCGTTGATCTCGCGTTTCTGAGACGCGCACACGTGATCCTTAACACGCCGGCCGCCAAAGACTAAGCCAACCCCCACGCAACTCATCATCATGCCACTACCATGGTACAGTGACCATCGTGATATCGCACGTTCAGCGTTCATCATTTAGGTCATGCGCTATATTTCCTGCACTAACATGCTACTCAAAGTATGACTGGCAAGCCGAGGTGTGGTGCCAAGCGCTCCCTGACGAAGTCGTCCACATCGTGGAACTTCACTCCCAGCTTCAATATATTCTCATCCGGAATCTCCTTCTTGCCGTACATTCCCATCTCGTTGTATAGCTGGAACATAATGTCGCGATCTGGGACGCCCGTCGTTGGCAAGACGGTGTATGTGCATTCCTTGCCTGTCACTATAAATTGAAGTATATCAGCGCCACCAGAGTCTCAGTTGAAGATGTCGCCCTACCTTTCTTGACGCTCGCCGCGATATCCATTGGAGCGATTCGCGCGTTCGTCACATACAAGTACTGATGACTGAGTTCATCCTTCTTCTCTTCCCACTGGTCGAAGACTGCCTTGGCAACTGCAGAAAGGTCTTTCTCGACGTACAGCATCGCCACTATGACTTGGATCAGTATTCTTGCATCAGCTCTCAACTCCTGGAATCGTTCTCACACTTTGTGGTCTCCTTCACGATTGGCTGGCGAAACTCTACCAGGTCTTTCTCGCGATCATACTGCATGTGGGAACGGTAGACCATGTTCTCGTAGAAATTTCCAGTGTAGAGGAAGCTTGCTGGCAGGCCCTTCTCTCGGATGTAGTCATCGACCTGGTACTTCCCTTGGCACAGCAACTGCGTCAGTCTCACGTTAGGCAAGAACTCAAGTCCTACCTTCATAAATTCGTGAAACAAGACGACCGCCAGATATCTTCCTGGAACTCGGAAGTGTGCTCCAAAGCAAGCATTGAATGTTCGCAGCTAGTGCAGCATCGACGAGGTTTTTCCCTTGCCTCTCCTCGCTTCCTGGATCATCCTTGATTTTCTGTGCCGAGAATGAGAAAATTGGTCGACAATAATGGGCGCAACGGCACTGTGTTGCTTACGGGATCGTAGAAGTTGGTGACGCCAAATACTCCCCAGCAATCTTTTAATGCCTCTGTGACGTCCGAAGGAATGGTCAGGTCTGCTTTGACGACTTCTGCTCCCTGCTTCGCTAGTTCTTGCGCTGCTGTCGACTCAGGGTTCCTGGTCAGAGCCCGTACCCTATACTGATCTGGGTACTGCAGAAGCAACCTGGCGACAGATCCGCCTGCGGATATTTTGTGAGCATTACGATATATGTTCGGAACCAGAGAGTACTGACCTTGATTTCCTGTGGCACCGCAGATCGCAATGAGCTTTGTCATTGGGGTAATGTCACACAACGAGAAGTCAGGTTCCCGCAATGCTCATCCGTTGCTATCTTTTATGTACCGAGTGGAAGCAGGTCACATGCAGAAGGAAGCAAGATGGCCATGAATAAAACTAACCGCTCTATGGCCCTCGTAATGATGCATCATACCAAGATCGTGTCATAGACGTGCATCTGAGCAGGCTCTCAGTCAGCATGAGGGCACAGGAGGTGCTAAAGCGTAGCACTGACCAAGTGTCATAGTCATAGAGCGTCACATCGGCTTTCTTCGAACGGACATCACTGGCGAATCAAAAACATCCCATTGTTAAAGAAGTCATCCTCCACACCGGCTTGGAGTAAGCAAACTCTAATTATGAGCATGGGTCAACATTATATGCCTACCCTTTCCGAACTCAGGGGTGAGTCTCCCATATTTTCAAAAAGCCCGTATTCTGATCTGCAATACGTGGGACAGCGAGCTACATTAGAGGAAGAATGCTGCACACGAACACTCGCCCTATGATTATCATATCTGACGAACGGCGGCCGCAGAATCATGGCAGCTGACACCTGATTAGATCACGGACTGCATATAGCCCTCAAGCGGACTCCATTGTCTTAGCGCCATTTCCACATCCCCATTCTGCACATATCAAGATGGTGCTCAAGTTGCACGGCTCTCCGATGTCGACATGCACGCGACGCGTCGCGGTCGTGCTCAAGGAGAAAAACGTGCCGTATGAGCTCGTCAAGGTCGACCTTATGAAAGACGAGCAGAAGAGTGCGGCGTTCATGGCGAACCAGCCGTTTGGGCAGGTGCCGTATATCGTTGAAGAGGACGGCTTTCAACTGTTCGAGAGCCGCGCGATTGGGCGCTACATCGCACTCAAGTATGCCGGGCAGGGAAACGACGTCATTCCGAGCCCAGCCGACCTGAAGAGGACGGCACTCTTTGAGCAGGCGGCTAGCATCGAGTTGACGAATTTTGATCCCTTCGCGAGTGGTCTTGCTTTCGAGAAGGTCTTCAAGCCGTAAGCGCGGATTCACGTTGGTTGACATGTGCATTGACTCATACGCCCATTGCTTTATAGAAACAAGAAGCTAGGGCAGACGGAAGAGCGTGTTGTTTCGGCGTTACTCCAACAGTTGAATGTCAAAATGGATGCGTATGAAGCGATGCTCTCAAAATCTAAGTATCTCGCTGGTGATGTCAGTGGCATATTCCTCAGCGAAGTGAAATACGGACTGATGTATCACAATCATTCGTTTAGGATGTCACTCTCGCAGACCTGTTCCACCTGACGTATGGCAGTATGCTCTGTTCGATTGGCATCGACGTTTTGGAATCGCCGAAGAGACCAAACGTTGTTAGGCGAGTATAGTCTTATCTTTCGATCATGTTTCCGTCGATCTGTCTGCATTACGTTCTTCATCGTTTTGATATCGATGCTTAAATAGCACCTATCACTCTCGGAACTACAACAAGGCACTGTCGCTGGGTGCAACCAGGGAACGTGCCACCGTCGCACATTAACATATTATGCCTCTCCGCAACGCCGCCTTCTTTGGCCTGTGGCAATTTCGCTAATTCTTTGTTGATTCCTTACAGATGGTGGAAAGACCTCACGTCGCGCCCGTCATGGCAAGCTGTCAAGGATGGTGCTTAATGTGGTGGTCTGGTTGAGTAGTGTCAAGATAAGCAGCCACATGTTTATGTAAAAAAAGCAATGGAAACGCGCTTGTTCTTGAGCCTCTCTGGACGCGAACTGCTAACTGGAGCCGACATAAGACGCGACGCTGAGCGTTCTCGTAGTGTCTGAGCTGCAGAATGCAGGCAAGCAGGCGACGGTCTCGGAGTTGGGACCACGACGCTGGCGCGTGATAATCAACCTCTATACTGCTTCTGAAAGTATAAGAGGAATTGAATTAATATCAGAAGAGCACAGATTGAAATGGGCATGGTGCAGCATGAAGAACACGTTTGCGCACCATAATCGGCTCAGCGAAGTCCAATACGGACAGTGGCAAGAATTAGCTACCTCGATGAAGGCAAGATACGAGCCAACTACTTCGTATATGTGCTCGGCTGGTTCAAATCGGCGCCGCGCGTATGTAATTGTGGAGTCGAACAAACGATCAAGCGTCCATCCCCAGGCTCTCTATTCGGAACTCTCAGAAGGAAAACAAGTATGCTGTAATGCGCTTTTTGGATTGTCCAAGAGACGGGTAACCCTGTCGCTTTAACGCAAATGCTAAACAGGACGCGCACCCTGTCTTCTGGATCCATTTAAGGCTGCTGCATAGCTTGAACGCGACAGGCGTGACACGCAAAGTTCCATGTATAGCCTCACATGTAGACTGAACGTGAAGTTGCGCAGAGTGGCAAAAGACGAGCACAACACGAGAAAGCCATGAAGCTGTAATCCCTTGCTCTTATATGGAATGACTCGAGGAACACACCTGCTACTAGTCATAGTTACTCAGTATAGGTTACGGACCGAGGAGGAAGCCTTTAGGCGGCTATTGATCGTTACCGCAGACGAGTCTATTGCAACCGCCACCATAAGATACATCCACCTAGTGTGCCCCATGTCCAGCAAGGTGAGCCGCCTTGCTGTTGATATAAGTGTCGTAACGCTTCGCCCATGTGTAGACGCCGTATCCTGGATCATTGCAACAAGTCAATGACGAGTTAGAAATGTGACAGCCGTCAGAGGGGGTAAAACTAAGATGCATGGCATAGATGGCAGGACAGAAGCCGGAAAACATACCAAAGCCGATCGGAATAATCCAATAGCCAAATTGACCGGACAGACGACGGTAGCCGTTGTAAAGGTAGTTGCGGAAGATGTGGCCCAAGGCACGCTGCCTCACCGGCGACATACCTGGATGTTTAAGTCGATACATACGAGTCAGACGCAGATGGAGGTAGGCCGGACAAGGAACGACACGCGAAATCGGGCGCATCCGTTAGTATATCACCCTATAGGATCAGAAGAAGCTACGCACTGTACTGGATTATGCCCTTCTGCTTGGGAAGCTCTCGGTCACCCCACCACATGTTCTGGTATCAAGGAACGGGTCAGTAAGCTTATCCACTCACACGATGCTTCGCAGGGCCTCATCCACGAATCCTTCTCGATAAGGAGACATCGACAAGGCGCATGCCGCCTCCGAAACGCGGGCGTATGAACGTATGGAATATACTCACATACGCCTTAGCTGGTTCATAATGAGCATAAAGGGGGAAAGGTATATGATCTTATGGCACGTACGCCCAGGCATGTCGCTTCGTCGAATATCAGTTGCCCTCATCTTGTCTAGATTTTACGGGAAGAGCGCAGCAAGTTTGTGCAGAAGATAGTTGGCGGTCTCGGAAGTCGCAGGGAACTTCAGTGACGCTGCTGCCAAACGTGCACAAACACACACCTGGCAGCCACTACTACGAGGTCGGTCTCCATCTGTAGCATACTCGCCATCGTTGCGCACTATGATCACCCACAACGAGCTGTACAATCTCGCCAACTCTCTCGGTGCGCTCGCCATGCTCACCGTGGTGGCGTATCACATCGTTGCGGTCAACGCACGATACGTTGAAGCTAGACACCAGGAGGGACGTCCTGCGTCAACCTAGAGTCGCTTCGGTGTTGTAGACCGTGAGTGTGTTCAGCCTCTCTACTCCAATTCTTCGCCAAATTGTCCTTCACAGTGTGGTATCCACCGCTACCTGACGCAGCACGTCCTACCATTCTCCCATTCTACATCATATTCTCGTGATGTGTGGGTGCTCTCTGTAATTTTGAGATGTTTTGCAGACAGGCTTTGAGTAGGGGGCCCCATGGTTCAATGTCGACGGATAGTCGGAACACTTTTATCACTTTTGCATCGCTCGCTCGTGTGTGCAAGTTGCTACTTGCTCGATCGGCCGTAGATATGGGAAGACATCCGCTTACCACTTGCTCATTAATACACATCAGACTTTTCGCTGTCGGTAACATTTCTCATCCAACGTTCTGGCCAGGCTTATGTTTTCCCCGATGGCCGTGTAGAAGGTCAGAGATAACTTCTCGCTCCATGGTACGTGCATTGGCTTTACTTCATCGTATGTCTAATCGACGTCACGAAGGGTCAGGTCGTGTAAATTTCGCACAATACACGTTTAGAATCGATGTGATGCAAGCTCGTTGTCCATGGAATGCTCGTCTGGGGCATCTGATTGCCTCTGAGTTTCCCTGGTATCAAAAGGGCGCTTGCACGGGCCCCAGTCATCATTATCACACCCAGAGTCTCCTTTCACGCAAGCAGACGAGTAGATGATGTTTTATGCCAGGACTCGAGTTTAGCAAATGCCATCTCTCTTCGGTCGAGAGGCTTGTCTATGAGCATCGCGGACACTGATACACATATGTAGTGTTCTCTTCAACCTGTTGATCATTCGTCTTGCAGACCACGCAACTCGTCTCCCTGCTCGTTGACGAATCATAGTCTTGCATGGATATCTCGTTGATGGTTCACTGTCAACGTGGGGAAAGCCTCGCGACTCGTATTGGTGCTGTTCGGGTCGGAGAGAAAGGACTTCCACAAGGACAATAGATCTTGAACAGTCAAAGCGGATGTTACTCGGAAAATTACTCAAATGTGCATCTCATGAATTGAATCCCTTCAGAGGGCAGAGGGCTCCTCGCCATCATGCCTTTTGAAAGCTTCTGCGATCAGACGACGTCGTCACGGGAATGCAGACATTGCTACGCATGCACCGCGAACCACTTCTAGCGGGCCGGTATCTGCGCTACAGCCTATGCTGAGAAGCTGTTCAGCAGCATAATATCCGCCACATACAGAGGACGATTCTCAGGTTACGGCAGTATATAAGGCCGCAGTCGTGGAGCCCATGCAAGGTTGCGCCCAATTTTTGAGCCTAAAGCGATGATGATGTTCCTCGCAGGCACTGTCGCAAGCATTCTCGCAGGCGTCACCGTTGTCCATGCGTTGAATAATGGCGTGGCTCGCCTGCCTGGTGAGTGTAGTTGCGTAATTCACGGAGTAATACCTCAAATCTTACTCGCTTTAGCGCTGGGTTATAACAGTAAGCAACTGTGCAGAGCTTCGCAACTTGCTCTGACGTCTGCACCGCGTAAGCCTGGAATGCATATGCCGTGCGTACACCTGTCTCCTGCGAAGGACACCATGCTTAACCGGGAACAGTGCAACATCGATGAAAATATTATCCTTGAGACAGCGAGTTTGATGAAGTCGCTCGGTCTCCAAGTATGTATGAAGGTCAGTCATGTATTCTACCCAGCTAAGCATGCGTGTGGATAGGATGTTGGTTATAACCACGTCAATCTGGATGACTGCTGGGCCGAGAAGAATCGCAGCGCAGAAGGGCTGCTTGTTCCCAGTCGGTAGCCTTCCTATCTATTATCGCAATGCGCGACGCCATTGAATGTTGCAGATACCGAGAGGTTTCCAAGTGGCTTCAACAATTTGACAGCACAACTGCATGATATGGGATTGTTGGTCTTAAACTTATCTGTTAGCAAAATCTGAAGACACTCACAAACGTTTGTGGTCGCTATAGTCAGGCTGGCATCGTGCGTGCGCCAACTGGTATCTTCCACGGCGAACACTAACCAAACGACACATAAGTATGGTGATTCCGGCTGGTTCACCTGCGCTGGATATGCGGGATCGTTCGATCATGAATCCATCGATGCCCAGACGTTCCAGGACTGGGGATTCGATTACCTCAAGTAAGAGGTTTGTTCAGGTATGAATGCGTTCGTAGCTGATGAGAAGCGTCTAGATACGACAACTGCTACAGTGAGTTGGGAAAATCGCCGCCGTCGAATATCGTTTGATAGCGCCTTCTGCAGTCCCGTTTGATGACATCATACGCGAGGGAACGTATGGAAGTAGGTAAGTTGTATAGTCAAAGCGTGCAATCTAACTCTCGTCTGTTAGAATACCAACGCATGGCCGATGCAATCGCCAACCTATCGGTGACTACAGGGAAGGAGCCGCTGATCTACTCCCTGTGCGAGTGGGGATGGGTAAGTAATAGATGACGTCGGCAGTCGATGCTTACTTACTGTTTCCGTAGAGTCAAGTTTGGATGTAGGTTTCTGTTTAATATGAGGATTCGCGACGCTGACAGTGTGAGTAGATGGGGATCTTCCGTGGGCAACAGCTGGCGGGTGAGCGTGCAACGCAACTCGTCATGATGTCCTGCTCGTGGCTGACGGGTTGTGCAGATCGATGGTGACATTGCGGCAAACTGGGACTCGATCGCAAGCATAATCAACTTGTGCGTTCTTGCATCATTTATGTCTTAGTAAAGCTTACCTGGTGCTACCGACAGTGATTCCTTCATCACCCAGAGCAGCAACTTCTATGGTCACAACGATATGGATATCGTGCGCTCCCTCTAGACCATGTCACTCTGCGACTCACACTCACGAGACCATTCCATGAGCACAGCTCGAAGTGTACGTAACATAGCCGGTCAGGCTTGACAGTGGACCTAATCAGAAGTTGCAGTGGAAATGGAGATCTGACCTATGAGGAAAACAAGTCCCATTTCACTGCATGGGCTCTGATGAAGTCGCCGTTGTTGATTGGCACGAATGTGAGTGCTCTGTTTCCGACGCTCATTGCAATGGATATTGAACGACCTTGGTTCAAGCTTTCCGCTGCGTCTCCAGAGATCATCGAAATCCTGTCCAACAGGGAGATATTAGCGATCAGCCAAGACAACGTCGTCGGCACGAGCATCTCCCCCTTCAGATGGGGCATCAATGTGCGTCGGTCTCTATACACCCCTCTATTCTTCCGATGTACAATGTTTGCAGGCTGATTGGACGAGCAACTCCTCCTATCCTGCTCAATACTGGAGTGGACCTAGCGAGAACGGCACTGTGTTCATGCTGGTGAATAACCTTTATGCAATTGATTTGACACAGCTGCCAAACAACTTCTATCAGCTTAACACTCTCAACGAGTCCGCAAACTTGTTCTTCAATCTGACAGAATCGCCTTGGATCAGAGCTGGCAGGCAGTATTCCGTCCGCGTACGCCGCGTTTGACTATCGTCGCTTCTGCTTTTCTATCTGACTGTGTTGTGCGTAGGACCTCTGGACGCACACGGACAACGGTACCGCGGTGCGCAACTTCACTGCCACAGACGTCCTTGCGCACGGCGTGGTCGCTTTGTTACTACGAGACGCGGGCGATGAGCCAGCGGAAATCTATCCACCGTGTTCGGTATGGTATGATTGCGCAGCGGAGAACGGCACTGATCCGGATACTTGATGCTTGAGGGATCAGTCGCGATAAATAGGAATGGCTGCCAGCTTGTAGTATTGAGGAGGCATGGCGATGACAACTTCTCTATCTGTCCCTAATCTGATGTATTTTTCTGCATCGTTGTGAAAAATACGAACTCTGTCATCGTATTGCAACTGTGCTGGCAGTAGCGATAAAACGTCCTCGAAAGTGACGTGTCGGAGACTGGAGTGTGTGCGATATGCTCGGTCAATCCAAGGAAAACAGAAGTTGCTTTCCAAAGCTATGACCATGTCTCTATTTAGGAAAGAATGCATGCGTACTACAGCCGGACAGCATCAAAACCTATTTCAAGCATCATGTTGGGTCGAATGGGCGAGCGCGGTCATCGAGGTGCGCGACGCGTTTGTGGCGCAGGATGCGTGACCCTGACGCGTGACATAACGCACGCTGTCATACTGATGCCAAGAACTCGTTCTATGTTGTCTTCGTCCATGCACAACTTTACGACGGTTTTTTGGCCGCAGCATTTGGTCTCTCATGGATATTTCTATGGATGGGGACAACAATCCTTGCTATGTGTAGCGGGTGTTCTGGATGGCGATACGGTACGAGATCATGCCATGGTTCAGCAACTCACGCGCAAATCACATTATGCGTACTTTTGAAACTAGGATGAGGATGCAGAAAGTGTACTCAAGGCCGCACTTCTGGATGATGAATGGAGCTCCATGCACTATCTATCCGCCGATTCGATCGTCTTCGGACGCTGTTCTTTCTCTCGAGAGGCTGTGGAACGTCGCCTAAATGCGATCCCAGTCGTTCATTTTCTTGTAGCTCAATTGAATCGACGTATGAAGTCGAATTTTCAAACTCTTTACATTATTCATACTATTGATAAGGTCATTTGCTCTTCGTGCACTACGAGCGACCAAGAAGAGAAGCCATGCAATTCTATTCCTTGGATTACAATGCAATGGACATCCTTCCGTCTCGCATATCCGGAGATACAGCTCAACTTGACTCACTACAAAACCCGGCTTTCCTAACTTGCGATTTTACCAGACCAGCTCTCCAGACTGGTCCTCAGTTAAACCAAGCAGTCATTGATCAGGTCTGCGCCAATCCGCCTTTCCATGTCTTATGCGATCTGATATCGCTGTTTAGCTCAACGTTGCACAATTATTAGCGGATGCCGTCGATCGAGCCTCGAAGGGCCGCATCATTGTCTCACATGTGTCTGCGTTTTCAGAGCCCGTCCAACCTCTCATCGCTTCAAACAGGAACCCTGCTGCATACACGAATCAGATGTTGGCGATCCTAAGGAACTTATCGACAACCGGTCTGTAACGCTCACCGTCTTAGACATAGCAGCATTCTAATCCGCAGTAGTCGAGCAGTTCGATATCCGCTTTGAGCAGGGGGCTTTCATGCTGGCGCAGGCACCTGTCATCTATCGTGGCCACAATTGGCGTACGACGGACTCGATCTCTCGATATGTCAAGTAAGCCCAGCCATCTGTCTTTGGGATATAAAGGTGACGTGCTACAGGTTCTATAACTGCCTGTGGCTCGTACTCAACGATATCATTATCGGTGTCGCATTGGGCTCATTCTTGTGTGAGAACGACCTGGCGCTTGCTCAATGGCTACAACATTACACTCAGGTCCTCCTTCCTTGAACGCCATGTGATGTAAATGCTAACATTTGTCGTAGTACTATCTCGTTGAATGTGCCCAACGGGCATTAATCTGGCTGAATAGCTGGCCAGCGGGGCTTAAGCTCAATACTGAATTGAGCCAATTCTATTGCCAAACTCTACTCGGGATTATCTTCGTATGGGGGAGTGAGTCATCCGCCGTTCATTGGGTTTCCTTTGCTGATCGGGTGTCGTGACTGTAGAAGTGCTGCAGGAGGCGGCGCCATACTTCCCGTGGCTGTTCTGGATGACGGGTGTCATGGGCAGCTGTGGCATGACGATGATCGTGTCTCTTTTGTCTGACACGCTCAGTCTTCTCACGTTGCACCTGAATGTCTGCTACCTGCTGTCTGCCACCGCATTCCGGCATGAGCTGCAACTGGCTGGTTCCCTTTGGAATCTCTTCCGCGGTACGTTCGCAAGTGGTGCTTTGTGCATGTCCGTCTGGATATCTGTCTCTGCAGGAAAGCGGTTCAACGTCCTTCGAAACCGGCTGGACTCGTGGGACTACGACCTTGACCAGTTACTCCTGGGAACGATCCTCTTCACCCTTGTGGCTTTTCTTTACCCGACGGTTTTGACATACTACGCGCTATTTGCGACTGTCCGTATCTAATCATTGCTGGTATCTGCGCATCTCCTGACGAGCGACGTTTTAGGTACACTTCGTGATTATCATGCTTCATGCATCGTTGGACACAATAACAGCACTGCTCAATCACTTTCCTCTATTTGCCCTCATGCTGCGCGTGAAGGATCCGATGCGCCTTCCAGGTCAGCACCGTGTTCTTCTCAGCTACTCCTTGCGATAACGGATTGGTGCTGGCGGTTTGCAGGACGCATCGCTTTTAGACCGTTAACTACACAACAAGGATCCTTGGTCCTGGAGGTATGTCTTCCCAATGCTATGTCTCACGAAGCGACATCATCGACAACCAACGTATCCGCAGAGCCAACCAGCTCCTCTCTCGTTGATCTTCATGCATTACGGTACGTCTCCCTCACTTCTCTCATAGTATGTTAGAGGGAAACGTAACATCCGGACCGTTAGCCCATCTCTGGTCGCGCCTATCATCGCATTACCATCCACTGAGGATCTTGCGCCTGCTCACGTCTGGGCAGAGACTCACGCTAATTCCTCGATCTTCGATACGATTCAGTATGATACCTACAAAAGGTGGCGGGGATGCAAGAGGTAATGGATGATGCCGCACTGCATAGATGAGATATAAATTGATGATGTAATGTCCATTGAGTGTACTTCCAGTGTCCGAAATGATGACCTTCGAGCAAGGTAGAGCAAATTGCGATGGCAGTGCAATATGTCTGAACATGTCCAGACTACATGAAAGAGCACCCGAGATTCCAATCTGCCGTTCCAACTGACTTACCTTTCCCATGTATAGTTGCATTGACCATCCCAATCACCGCCTCTTGTATCGTCCACCACGACTGCGCAAGCAGGATGTCAGACATGCCATTTTCCTCGAGACAGACACGTACCTCGCCTCAGCCTCAATCCGCGCTCGCTTTTGCTCGTGCATCTCCCTCGCCCGCGCATTGATCTCCGCGGCCTCCTGTGTGTCCGGGAACCCGATCTCCCAGTACCCCGGTGGGGTCAGCGGTCGTTCCCACCGTTGGCGATGCCGAGAAATTTCGCGCTTGTGCTCCTCGATGGCCTGCTGTCGTTCGTCATCCGAGTCAGGCGCGAGCACCGTCCGTGCGCTGGAGGTCGATGGGCCGTGCTCGTGCTTGCGCTTGGAGGGCGAGGGCGAACGCCATAACGGACGCTGGAGGCGGGGCGGCATTGGGTTGAGGCCCTCGTAATACTATGTTCCTTATCAGCTTGGATGACGACCAGCAATGCAGATGTCACTCACGCCTCTACAGCACTCGCAGTCGTCAGCGTGAAGATGCTTCCTGGACTCCTTATTCCGCACGACCTCGTCGAACTGGAACTCCACTCCGGCGTTGCGCGCGGTGTCCATCTTAAAGTCTGCGTTGATCGTCTTGGTAGCACTACGATGTTTCGTCAACGCGCTGGAATGAGGTCGCAGATGCAAGCAAAAACAGACCTTGCGTTGGAGGCATACCTGCCCCTTCCTTTATATACCGAGTAATCCACCGGACGCTTGCATGCCGTGTTCGGGGTATGGGCATTCTCCTTATCCGCACTGCTTTCCCTGGCCGGCGTCGAGTTCACGCGCTTCCGCGGGCTGACCGCAAGAGCAAGGTCGCGGGATCTTGGTGAGGTGACTGACGGTGAGTGCGGCTTCCTCGGCGACTTGCACACGGTAGCAGTGGGCTTAGTGGGCTCGCTCTTCCTTCTGCTGCTAGTGCGGACGGGCGACTCCAGGAAGCGTCGAACGAGCCCTGGCTGAGTCTCATATATCGGCGAAGGAGCTACATGTTCAGGACCCAATCAGCGAAGCTATCTGCGCCCATGTCAATTGACCCATACCCTGTGAGTCGTCTTCCGTTTCTGAAGATGACATTTCGTCCAGCTTGCGCTTCTGGCTTTTCGGTGGCATACAGATCAGAGCTTTTGGAGCCTTGGGCGGAAAAGCAGCAGGTGACTCTGCCTGTTTCTCCTCGTCCTGAGCTTTCATGAGATGGGACGTCAGCGAGCCAATGGGAGGCTCGCTTTCCGCGAGATCCTTTACACCTGCTTGCGCTAAAAAGCGCTGTTAATCAGCGGTAATCGTGGTTTAGAGTGCAAAGATGTACTTCTTAAGGAAGGGATGCGCGTGGTCGGAGAAGGTGCGTGTGTACTCGGCGAGGGTTTATGCGTGGCTGACGAAGATATGTTTGCGCTCAGCGAGGATATATGCGCACTCGTAGTTGCTTCCGGCGCCTTGGATGACTCCGGTGTATCCGTCTGAGGTCCAATCTTCATATACTTCTTCCGCAGCTTCAAGATGCGTTTCCAGTTGGGCGTCTTGCCCTCGACTAGGATGCTCGATAGAGAAGCCTCTTTCTCGTCAAACATCCATTGTTTGAAGTTCCGCCACTTCACATAATCGGCCATATGCTTCGCGTCGCTGCGCTCTTTTGCTTGGCGTAACGCATCGTAGCTCTTGCGCAGCTCCTGTAGTTCTGCTTTGATAGAAGCGAGGTCGCCTGTCGATGAGCTGACAGCGGTCAAGCTGGACAATGACGGTAAAGGCGCATATACTGAGGTATCATGAGAGCCGTGCGCGTTTACGGGCGTAACGTCCTGCAGCGGCCTGACACCATTGTCCTTGCGTTTTGTCGCCTTTAGCTCAGCACTCAGCCTCGCGTTCTCCTTCTTGAGCTCGTCTATTCGTCTGGATGCTTCTTGAAGAGCGTTGCATGACTCTATTTCCAAATTAACGTGCTTCTTCACTTGTGTCTCGAGGTCCAGCAGCTTAGACTCGGCTTGCTCGACAAACGCTCGATTGAAGATCGCTGGACGTGCGGCGATCGTCGCCTCCGCCTCGTCAATGGTCTTGAAGCCGAAACCTCTCGCAAGGTGGTCTCCACGCTGAGAAACTGCGAACAATTCAGTTCGAAGGTCATCATTCGCACGTCTGACGCGTCTGACCTGTCGACCGGAACTCGCCACATCAGAGCTGCCCAGGATATGCAGGACCACACGTCGTACCACGCCTTCCATAAGCTTTATTGGTTGTGCGGAAGTCAGCTCCCCTTCGTTATCGCGAGAGTTGGAGGGCATTGGTCCAGAAAGAATGTTGTGTGCGACCAATTCCATGGCGAGCGGTCGTCGCTGTGCTCAATGCCTTGGCGCCTCATCAGTTCAACGGCGACGCGATCATGTGATCTGTACGCCCACCAGGCGCTTACTTTCTTCGACGCGTGCGAATCGTGAAATGTGACGGACAGTCACGGACTGACATTCAAGCTCAAGGCTGATCTATTCCGAAATCCAAACGACGTTACCCCTCTATCGACCATAGCAGGAATAGTTCCTCCACATGTGTAGCAGGAGCAAATTAAAATTCATTGGTTCCCATGCAGCAAATTAATGGGACCATTTTCCTCAAACGGAAACCGCCTTGAGGTCTTCTCCAAATAAGCATCTAATAATAATACCGAGATCTAATGTAATGATTGACCTGTAAAGATGATAGCCATAGTGTATGGTTTCTTGTAGCCGGAAGTGGCCTCAAGTGTCTCGCCTTTCTTGCAAGTTGCAGAGTAGCCCAGCGCTATTTGTACAAGGACTTGTCTGGTTATTCAAGCAAGACTTTCGCTCGTGATGACAGAATTCGAGGAACATGAGTAGCAAGGTACTTATAGAGCTGAATATGGATGAATGATTGGAGCCATCTCATGAGCCATCAAGATGGCCTTCAGATGATCTCAATTGCTTGCACTCCGACTTCAGGAACCATCTTCTATTTGGGGAGGGGGGGGGGTGCTCGGACACAGGTATTATTACAATAGATCTCTCTCCCTCTCGATATCGTGCCTCACTCGGTGCTCGGCCTTATTCTCGATGGCGGGGAACGGAGAACCCACCTAAGGAACCCAAGGAATATCTTACGCGATAGCGGGTGCGCGAATTCTTAATATCTAATCAATAACAACGTCCATTAACAGCGACAGCTATTGACCGGGTCGTGGGTATACGCAATCGAATGATGGACGACTGAATAATTCGAATGTAAGTGCGACAAAACTCGACGTATGACCACCCAAAGCTATCCATCCGATCAGAAAAGAGTCAATACAAAGCGATGGCAAAAAAACTACAGATGCAAAAGACAAGTTAACATAAGGCCCGTGATCGCAATGAGAGACAATGCGCCTGAGGGACATTGTGCAGACCGTAGAGCAGATGAAGTGACAGTCGACGTCGACGGTGATGATTCAGATGCAGTCGAGCTCGCCGAATATGACCTGGACAGCCCAGAGGACGTCGACGATGCGGTATTGCTGCTCACGCTCGTCGCGACAGAGATGGACGGCAGCGAGATCGTTGTCGAGAACGAGTTCGTGATCGTAGCCGTAGACGAGACGGAGTCGACACCGGGGCTGAGAACGCTCGATGGGACAGGTATTGCGGCAGTGTCACTTGCAACGTGGGACGCGAGGTTGCCATACATCGACGACAGACTGGTTGGCCATGGATTGTATCTCAACATAGTGCAGGATAGAAATGCCTTTGTACGTACGCGAAGTCAACCGAATACTGCATGTAGTACGTAGAGTTTATTATGAGCTCCACGGAGGTGAAGTTGACGTAGCTATGAACGTAAAGAAAATTAAGAACATGATGACAGCACGCAAGTCAGGCCACGTACTACAAGCTCGAATCGGACCCCGCGGCTGAATCGGGCTAGATAACCGGTAAATCTGAGCTGACCCAGCCACAACGGCGTAACATGCGAGGAGACAGACCGTGAAACTGAGGGAATGTATTTCCGCAACATTGACCGGCTCGATTTCCTGGATCAGATCCTTGAAAGCGCCGTCGTAGAGTCAGCCTCATGAACGACGAGACACGAATGACGAGAAGCGTACGCCATTCCCGTAGTAGAGCCCAACGTAACAAGCACCGATGTCGCTTAATAATGGGCTCTCGCCGTCATCTACCCAAGCAATTGTGCACGGCTGCCCGCCGTAGCATGTCGAGCCTGAAAGAGGCTGATTAACCTGTCCTTGTGACGTCTCCTTTAGAGAGCGGTATGCATGTAGCACTAATCCAACGTACATAAAGAGCCGCACGTGCGACGAAAAAGAGTAATAGGAATATTAGGCCCAAGAGTGACAATGACATGTTGGTGTCCTCGAAATCGCTGGCGGTTGTAAGAGGTAATGGAGTCGGATAGCCGGTGAGAGAAAATACTAGAGTAGACGATTAAGCTAAGTTGAGGGCATACGCCGCCCGGCACGACGCAATGCACTGCGTGCGCGGCGACAGCCGAATAAAGGAGGAACTATGATGGCTTGTCGTGAGGCTGAACCACAGCCGCGACGATGTCGCCATGAAACGCGGTCACGTGATGCTGTATGCATTCAACGTGATAAAGAGGACGCCCCGAGCGGCGTATTCATGTAAACACATCAATATATACTAGCTTCAAGAGTCAAGAATATATTGATGCATGTTAGGCTTCCAGTCCCGAACACAACAACTCAAGACGTGACAGAGACATGTCACGGAGATCAAGTCAAATGAGCGACGAGAAAGTAAAAGAAACAATGTCATAGGAAGAGTAAAGATCGGTCGGCCTCGCTGAGACACGACTCAACATGTTCAAAGAATCTTAACATAGTAAGAAGCGCTCAGTCAACTGTATACTCCGGATTGGGTATGATATTGGGGATTGGTCGCTATGGGGCGTTGGCGGCACCATATGATAAAAGCGGTAACCAGAATCGACCGCGCGACCAGTATCTATGCCCATGTGAGGTGGTGATAGGGAGACAGTTTCCCCGTGTGCTGCATCAACTGCACGTCTGTCTGCTGAAGACATGATAGACGCAAAGCGATTCGTACTTGATGGAGGGTTTGGCAATAACATGAGGTCTTGTGTGATGAACTCTTCTTCAGTGAGGGTGGCGAAACGATTGAGGCCGGACGTTCCGAATCAACGCGAGTGCTTCTCCATGTAAGCAAGTGCTCCGCATTGTTATCGCCGGTATTCTTCAGCATATCCGAATCGAGTAACGGGAAAGGCGTCGAGGAAACAACGGCAGCAGATTCTAGAAGGGCAGACCAGCTCAGTGACTTGTAGGGGCCTGCAGTGTAGTATGGGAGCTCAGAGAATGAACCATACCAGATCTGACTATATCCTGAGAGGCGTCGCGGCGTTGTGACGGGTACGTTCTTGAACGCTTCGTTCGCAGGACGTAGAGGAAGATTGCACCTGCAAGAATGACTCCTCCGATCACTCCTCCCGCGATGTCTGCAATCCTGGCAACTGAGGTGTCATTGTGTGCGACCAGCAGACTCGACTGAGAACCCGTCGAAGGAGGCTTTTGGTTTCCGATGAAATGGTAGGAGTAGTCGAATTGACGGCAGGTACAGACTACTACCTGCAAGAACATAGCTCGGGGTGTTCGACTGAGAAGCCAATGTAGGAGGCGTTTGGGAACCAGTAGAATTGGTAAGAATAGTTGAATCAACGGCAGTCACGGAATTACTTGCGGTAGAATCGCCCCGGGTGGGTGCGCTAGAAGTGACACCAGTATCCGATGCCGGGGAGAAAGGCTCAACCACGATGACACTGATATCGGTTGCAGAGGGGATCACAGATGCCATCGCAATGAGGCTGACAGGTCGCGGACTGGCTAAGGAAGGAGGTAGATGGAGAATGGCTCCCGTCCAAGAAGCGGCAGAAGTAGTGACGACAGAACCAGAAGTGGTTTGCCAAGGTGGTCTGGGTTCCGCACAATTGCCCCACTAAGATTGCACACGAAATGGGACTGATGGTCGTCAACGATACTCCCGGCCAGTATGAGGGGAAGACAACAGAACCTCTCTTGATAGCGGCTCCATTATATGCACGTTACTTCGGGTACCTATCGTGCCTTGTCCCGAATCATTGTTTGAACAACGGGTCATGTACCATCAAATGCACCAACAAAACAAGATATGAAGTTCGCTCCTTGCAACACAGGTCTGAGTATGCATGATCGCATTGACCCTATTAAGGTAGTACCAGGTTTAAGTCAAGTCATGTTGACCGGAACATCATAAATGCATGCGTAATAAAATCGCACCGGGGGCATGAGCCCATGATTCCGCCGGGAACATTTTGGACACATCACGATAATAGTCACAATGTAACTCTAATGTTACTGATGTAAACACGGAATGATTTGAATTATTTTGAGTGAGCTCATTGTGGAATAATAGTGATTAGTATTCAGAAAGACACCAGGATGAGACAACAATTTTGCTCTGGCCAGCATTCATATAATATATTGGTATTATTTTGAATGGATCTTAAGGGTTCATTACAAATGTGATCAACGTGATGTTACGATGAGTACCAGAATGCTTTCCATCATGTGCCGGCTGGAATCATCTTGAACGCATCGGGGGTGTCCTAATATGGTTAGCACATCACTATATATAGTAATAACAATTATGCGATCACGATGAATCCATTGGGAACATCTTGAAAACATCATGGCCACTCACAGGTATCATTTGAGATCTTCTCCCAAGAAACATTTAGGATGCTATCGCAATAATGCTTAAATGCTGTCATCTGCAGCATTGGGGTCTCATTCTTGCATCTTTATGAATGCTATCAAAATTGTGCCGCAATGTTGATGCTTAACACATTTTAAAACATTCAAAATGATATCAAAATGTATGTGCTAAAAACATTGCATAATTATTTGGACTGTTATTACAATGTGTCCAAAATGTTTCGGGCAGAATCATGGGCCCGTGCCCCCGGTGTCGAGAAGCCACGACGACGATTAGGATCGATATTTCGCGATGAATGCACGGCCTGACCTGGCCCTAGCCTTGTTCTCGGTGCCTTGACAACGGTTCATTCAACTTCTCGCCGATACTGGTGATCGTAGTCGATAAGGATAGCAGCCTCTATTCAGCAGTATACGCAGGAGGTACATCAAGCAAGGCAGTCGTGGGCTGCGGCACGCTCTCGTATCGGAAACGGTAGCCCGAGTCTACTTGCAACCGTACTTGCGCGTGCTCAGGAGGCTCAAGCGACGCTGCCTCTGAGAGGGCTTGAACAACGACATGCTGCGGGAGGACGTGCAGGTTGGTTGCTGGGGCCTCAGCCTGCTGTCTCGTTCGAGTGTGCACTGATCGTCTCTTCTCCCATCCTTCCTCATCCTCTGAGGCGGTTGGGTCATCAACAGAAGACAGAGAGAATGCGGATGAGTTATCCGGCCGAGAGGCATGCGCGTTTCTCCATGCCAGCAAGCTGTTTCCATCTTGGATCCATGGAATGGACTGCCCTTTTGGATGAAACACGATCCTCGGCGCATTATGCAAAGACAAGGGGTCATCTATCGCATTGCATGTAGGGCATCAGTAATCAGAAGAAAGCTTATATACGAGCTGATAACTCACCGGCATTAGGTTCTTGAGATGAGGTGCGGTTATATGATGGCACTTGGCGACCTCTACAATGGCGGTAGATCATCAACGCCGTCATGGTCAGCACCAATACTCCAACGAGTACTCCAAGAACCGCTCCCGCAATCTGTGTCGAATGATTTGAATTGACTATGACAGATGAAGTCACGGTGATTGACTGTGTTTTAGTCATAGTCTTCGTCGTGGTCATGGTATGGTTGAGCATAGATGACTCCGAGAACGAAAAGGAGGCTGCGTGCGACGTTGAAACTGATCCTTGCGCATCGAGTGTAATATTATGATGAACGGCAGAAGCACTCGTTAATGACAACGATAATGTCGATGAGGTCGTCCTAGTCCGTCTAGTTGACGTCGGCGGTACTGCAAAGGAATGGGAGGGAACAGATATGTTGTGTACAAGAATAGACATGGTGGTATAAGCCTGAGATGCTGCAGAGGAGGGTATAGTGTCGACCGAGGAAGACAAGTGAATCAACGACTGAACAAGATGGTTCGACGACGGTCCTTGGCTAACCGCAAAGGATGACTGCTTTGATGAGGCTACAAGGCTGCTGAGACCTTCGGCAAGTGCAGTCTCAATGGTATAAACGGAGATCGTCGACCAAATCGAGGTCGACGTTGTTGAACACACCACAAAAAGCTCGGGTCTGGAAGGAGAGTAGTAGCCGTGGCCGGAGACGTGTAGCGACTGCATATTTGTGAGGAGGACATGAGATGGAAGAAATACGGTCGTCCAGGGAACTGCTGACATCAATCCAGACATCAGCATCCTCGGGGAAGGTGGATGCTTTTGGTACCTTCGATGCCGTCTAGCTACAATGCCGACACCACCTTGAACATGCAGCTTGATCAACAGATGAGCACTGTGACATGTTGGTGATATGCTGTGTTCCGTGGATTCCGTATGCAATATCCAAAGGTTGAGGATTAGTACATAAAGCGCAATAACAGGGTAAGGCATGAGCGTCGTCCCTCCATATGGAGGGTATAATATGAGTCCATCAAGGCTCTGGAAGACTGACTACCTGGCGGTACTGCCTGTTGCATGACAGCGTAGGAGAGATCTGATTGCCTAAAACGAACTTCAAGGGGGTGGCGTGTTGGCATCTGTCAAGACGAATGCTGGAACAACATTCATTGTCAAGCTCTTTTTTCAGTCAGTTTGATGCAACAGTCGCAAATGAACCGGTATTCACACCAGGAACCTACGTCTTGACAGTTGCAGGGTCGATGCGAACAGAATAAAGTGCAACATGCCGGATGTATTGAACTAAGGTCGAGGTTTGATGCCATGGAGGCCAAACTATGCCGTCACCTCCTATTCTGATTCTATAGAAACATGCCGAATGTCGCTAACACAGGCTTGGTAACGTAGGGCGTTCATCAAGCCTCCTCCGGAACGGAACGCATAATTTTGTTTTATTGCTCAGTACTGCCTTTCCCAGCCTGAGAAGTTCACGTACCGCATGCACTCGCCATCTGCCACTTTCCCTCCTTGCACTGTCGGCTAGTGTTATTCCTAAGGCTACTAAGTTACTGTCTCCTCGATAGCCGAAATATGAGAGTAAGAGAACTGGTCGATGCATGCCCATCAAGTTTTGTCTTGAGTGGCTCTACGCAGAAAAGACATGTGCCACTGTCTGAGTCAATTCTTTCAGGCTATAGTCGGCCAGTCCGAGAATCTTTCCTGAGGGCATGAACGTCAGCGGCGGATGAAGCAGATTGAACGTCCAGCGTCTATTTGGCGTCTATCGTACATCTCGATGCGGAAGTCTGCTGAACGCGGTCATGTGACCTTTTGGTGGGTGCCTCGTTCCGTCGTCTGAAGACTCCTTGCAAGTTCCCTCTGTGTCTTCCTATACTATGCTTATCCTAACGCCGCTCACATAACCCTGCTTTTTAGTTGGATGGAGTGTAAGTGCTGAAGTGCTGAAGTACTGAGACCTGCAGATAGCTTGCGAATATGCAAACTTTGCTTGACAAATCGCGCCGCTCACGCCGATTGGCTTCACTCACAATATTGGCCGAACATAATCAAGTTAGTACTCATTTCAGTTTAGTAATTCACTTTGTCATAAGTGTCTTTGTAAACGCGATGAGCTAGTTCAATGTGGATGGATTATCCACCGGATACCAATGCCAATGGTGTGCATTAAGTGTAGCTTACATAATTACTAGAACATTCTTCAATTGCGTGTGTACATCAAAATCAAGAGTAACGGTATCCTGAAGTAAACGAGCTCAGACTTCTCGCCGGGATTGAGTATCAGAGTACAACGTCAACATTTTGTCTCGTTCTCAGCCAACCATTTGTCCTCATATTTTATTTGGGGCATTCTGACAGTGCTGGTAGCTGCTGCCAGTAATCAATCAATGGATTGTGGCCGTAGACCTGAAGACGAGCTTAGTGGCGCGCGGATTCGATCATGTGCTCGTGTCTTGCGCCACCACGGTCATCGCACCGTACATTCCTTGAACTGTGTCTTACAAAGCTCAGAGCGCTGCTTTATATGTACTCGAGTGCGAGTCTTCGGTCGACTTTGCTGCCTCTTTCTCGCCATCCTTGCTTGTCGCTGCGTAGTTTCTCTCCTGTTCAACGGTGTCCTCGCTCTACTGTCTCTCCTGAGTCTCCTCTACCTAGACGCGGCATGTCTGGACCAGATGTTCCTGTTGCAACTCTATCTGGTAATGCGAGCGGGAACGCGGCAGAGCCGCAGCCTGCTCCTATGCAATGGAACTTCCCGACTTCTCCTATGCCGCCTAATCCTCTCGGAGAGGGTAGATACATCAAGACTGCGGCGGCTTTAGTTATTGGGTACGTTTTTGCAGACCGAGACCCAGGTACCTGCGATGCACACGTAGCAATACACAGTGACGAAATCTTGAATGGGAAAACTCTCGATCGCAACTCGAATTATTTCGCCGGATATTGTTTCGAGAACGGCATCAACCTGTCAGTATATGTTCGTAACGAGGAGTGATCGCATGCTGATACTCGTTTCAGGAAGCGCATCGAAGTCATTCCTGATAACGAGGACGATATGTGCGTCTTAGCACTTGACTGCGATGCGTTGGCTCGGGATTGAACCGTCGAATGGCCAGCATCGAAGCCAGCCGGCGTTTGGTGCAGACTCACGACTTTGTTATCACCTCCGGAGGAATTGGACCCACCCACGACGGTGAGCCACCTCTCTCTCGCCAGTCAACTCGATTGTTCATCATACAATATGCCACGGGATTTATCCCACATTAGACATCACGTACGCATCGCTAGCCAAGGCGTTCAACCAACCTCTCGCACATCACGCGGAGACGCTGTCACGTATGATGAAAATCAGCAAGCACCGCATGGACATCATGAACCAGACCGCAGAGCAGCGCGAGGCTCGCGAACGCATGGCACTCTTCCCAGCAAACGCGGAAGTATTGTTCATCGCGCCGGATGTTTGGGTGGTGCGTCTCGCGTAACTACGCTGACGTCGAATCTATGGTCAGACCCCGTGTACAGCCCGTCGTCCGCCTAGAGGGCAAACTCTGCGTATTCCCAGGCATCCCGAAACTCTTCCAGCGGATGCTCGAAGGATTGGTACCGTACCTCCCACTGCCTCCTCCTAGCGAGCGACCATTGCGGCTGCAGGTGTTCACAAGGTGCGTCGCCGATTTGACTTGGTGTTCCATTCGCCGATTTCGCTTGGGCAGCTTGCCGGAGTCGTCCATCGCACCGTACCTCACCGAGCTGCAGGCGCGCACGAAGGCCGATGGTATCCAGGTCGGGTCGTATCCGCTGCTCATGCGCGGCGTCTATGTGGCCCTCATCGGGCGCGGCGAGCAGGCTTTGCGCGCGCTGGCGGAGGAGGTGGCGGAGAAGCTGGAGGGACGCGTGCTCACGGAGGAGGAGGTGGCGAAGGAGAAGGCTGCGCTCTAGGCATGTTCTTGTGTTTCGAGCTGCGAAACAGATACAGAGGTGCTACGAATCACGAATTAAGAAGGACTTAACGAGTTTTGTGAATGCATCCATTGTACTTTACCTTATTGGTGAAGAGAATTTCTGGGACTCCCCTTCGATACGTCCGATGGATGAACGTGGCGTAGAACCCCTATCGGCAGACGTGCATGCCATCTAATCACAGCGAGGATCAGTGCACAAATGGCCTCATCTCGTACGCTATGGCGTCTCAAGACTCGCATTTGATGCCAGGTTACTTAGAGGAAGCTCTAGTATCTTATATGCACCGGAGAGCTGGTAGCAGCCTTCTGTCAGTCATGAAACGCTTCTACATCATCTCGTCTTCAGTCCCAGCCAAAAAGAGCAGACAACAGGAGGAACTAACCTATATGCGCTCCTATGCTCGACCTTCCGACTTGGAATAATGCCCTCGCGATGGGCAGCCAAATCATGAGAGCCTCCAGCTCGGCCCTCCCATAAATCCATTCTCCCTCAGCAACCCATTTTCTCTGTCGCTTGTGCCGCATATCGTAGGTCGCAGGTCTAACGAATCCCTCGTGTCGTGATTTAGGGCGGCCCTCGCTGCTCGCATTCTGTGAGATATCATCTGCCTTCCACATCCTACTTTTGGTTTTTGTAATCTTGGCTGATTTTAGTCGAATTCATTCTCGCGTTCAAAGCCTCAGCAGTGGTAATTAGTGCTCGCGGGTCGCGTCGACAAGCTTGAAGGCAAGTTGAAGCAGCAGCTCCGACCGTCTCTCCACGTGACAATATCACGGCCGGTGACAGTCCGTGACGTGTCGCGTTTAATTTTGTGACCGACGCGTTCCCGGCGTCCGAATCCACTTTTTGCACGTCGCCGCCATGTCGTCTCCCATCCGAGAATATCCTTCTTCCGATGCTGGCGACATCGACATGCAGGATGCCGCGGAGCAGTCCATGCCAGAGGCATTTGCCCCTCAGCAGCTCTTCTTTCCCTCGACACCGTCAGCAGCAGGCACTCCGACGCGTCGAAACCTAGCGACCCCGATGTCTAGCGTCATGGCTCGAAGGGCGCTGGGGATGGCTACACCCAGAGAACAACGTGCGTTACTCGTTGCATCAAATTAGCCCTGTCTAACGCGTTCACGAAGTGGACAGTTCACCCATATTAGCCTATCCGAGTTCTCCAAGCCAGCCTCGGACACCTGGAAAAATCCCTGCTCCTGTGTTTGTATCGGACGCACCAATGTCTGCCGCCGACTCTGAACCTCTAGCTTTTCCAACGTGAGTTACGCGCAAAAGCATCGTGTCATCTCGATGAATTAGTACCTAGCTCTTCAGCGTCCAATGTCAACCAAGGAAGCCGTCGCGGCGATATTCATTCCTCGTTGAACCTCACACCATCCACACGCCGCGCCAATGGGCCCAGCAGACTGCCCAATGACGACCGCAGCTCGGATGGAACGCAACTCGGACTGCCGTCTACGACAAACCTCACTGTGCCGACAGTTCCCTCAGACGAGCCTGACGAGATCCGTGTCATTTGGGGAACGACTGTCAGCCTCAACGAGACGATGCAGACATTCCGCGAGTTTTTGCTCGATTTTAAGATCAAGTATCGCGTTGCGCATGATCGGGCGCGTGGAGTGCGGACGCGCGCAATGGCAAGTCCCGAAGAGGGCGAGACGAAACTGTACGTAACCTACCTGCGACGGATGCGGCAAATTGGCGAGACAAATCTCAATCTGGACATGGTCAATCTGTTCGCCTACCCGCCAAGCCGGAAGTTGTACGGGCAGCTTGTCAAATACCCGCAGGAGGTAGTACCGGCGATGGATCAGGTGCTCAAGGACTTGATGCTGGAAATCGCCGACGAGGACCAGAGGGCAGGTATGGATGACATGCAAGGGCAGCAGGGGAATGAGGAGATCGCAGACATTATGAGCAGGGTGTACAAGATCAGACCATTCGGGCTGCCCGCGATCAACATGCGCGACCTCAACCCTACTGGTGCGTCCATTCACTGTCCTGAGTTTGCTTATTGACGCGGTGTCAGATACCGACAAACTCGTGTGCATCAAGGGCCTGGTCATCCGTGCGACGCCAGTCATCCCGGACATGAAAGTGGCGTTCTTCCGATGCCTCAGATGCAATCATACTGTGCAGGTCGAGATTGACCGCGGCAAGATTGACGAGCCGGCGCGTTGCCCGCGGACGGTATGCGGGTCGGTGGATTCGATGTCGCTCGTTCACAACCGGTGCGAGTTCGCGGACCGTCAAGTTATCCGCCTACAAGAAACCCCGGATGCCGTGCCCGACGGGCAGACCCCTCACACGGTCTCGCTGAGCGTGTATGACGAGCTCGTGGACGTTTCGAAGCCCGGTGACCGGCTCGTCGTCACGGGCATCTTCCGTAGCGTGCCTGTGCGGGTGAATCCGCGCCAGCGCACGCTGAAGAGTCTTTTCAAGACGTTCCTGGACGTTGTACATGTGCGACTGGGCGGCTCGGATCGGCTTGGTTTTGACAAGAGCACGCGTCCCGCGGGTGGTGACAGGATTCCTGGGGTGGGAGGCGTCGGTGGCTCTGCAGAGGATGAGGAGTCGGATGTGGGAGAGGCGCAGAGGCGGATGACGAAGCGAGAGGAGTTGGAGACCAAGCTGAGGGAACTCAGCCAGCGGCCAGATATCTATAGCCTCCTTGCACGGTCACTTGCACCTTCGATTTGGGCGATGGATGACGTCAAGAAGGGCATCTTATTGCAGCTTTTTGGAGGCACGAATAAAAGTATTGCTCGAGGAGGAGGCGCTGGTGGCCCGCGGTACCGAGGCGACATCAATGTATTGCTTGTCGGTGATCCTGGTGTCAGCAAGTCGCAGATCTTACAGGTAAGAATCACTTTCAAGCCATGTAAATGCGTAGTGAAATTAGCTCATACTCTTCTAGTATGTTCACAAGATTGCCCCTCGAGGTGTATATACGTCCGGAAAAGGATCCTCAGCTGTTGGTCTGACTGCCTACGTGACTCGTGATCCTGACTCCAAACAGCTCGTGCTAGAGAGGTATGTTGCTACGCTCTTGCAACGTTGGTCTCATGGCTTGACTTCCGTACAGTGGCGCACTCGTGCTCAGTGATGGAGGTGTTTGTTGTATCGATGAGTTCGACAAGATGTCCGATGCTACGCGCAGTGTCTTGCACGAAGTCATGGTACGTCTTCATTGGATTTTCTAATTCATTCGCCCATTCGTCCCGAATGGTAGGAACAACAAACTGTTTCAATAGCTAAAGCAGGTATTATTACCACCCTGAACGCACGCACGTCCATCCTGGCTGCGGCGAATCCAGTTGGCTCGAAATACAACAGAAACGAGACAATCACACGCAATATTGACCTACCTCCTACGCTGATCTCCCGTTTTGACCTCCTATACTTGGTCCTCGACCAAGTTGATGAAGCACTCGACAGGAAGCTTGCTCAGCACCTTGTCGGACTGTATCTTGAGGATGCGCCTGAGACTGGCGGGCAGGATATACTGGTACGTCGTCCCTCTGAAGCTCTTCGTGTGCCAGCAGCAAGCTAACAACTGCAGCTCAGCCACTGGACCAGCTGTCTGCTTACATCACATACGCCCGGTCACGCATAAACCCTATCATTACAGAAGATGCCTCCGAAGAGCTCGTACGGTGTTACGTGATCCTACGCAAAGCAGGCGAAGACCCGCGCTCAAACGAAAAGCGGATCACGGCGACGACGCGGCAGCTCGAGAGCATGATCCGACTCTCTGAGGCGCACGCGCGGATGCGTTTCTCGCCGTTCGTTGAGCTTGAGGACGTCAAGGAGGCATACCGTCTCATGCGCGAGGCGATCAATACCAGTGCGCGCGACCCGACCACGGGCGAGATCGACATGGGCCTGCTCGACACGGGCATAGGCAGGCAGCAGCGCAAGATGCGCAGTGATATGCGCAAGGCGATACTGGCGATGTTGGATGGCAGCGCGGGAAGCACGCGCGGCGTGCGCTGGATGGAGGCGCTGCAGCAGCTTGAGGGACAGAGCAGTGTCCGTATCAGCACGGCGGAGTTCCAGCAGGTCATTCGGGAGCTTGAGCAGGAGGGTATGGTGAAGGTCGTGGGCGAGCGAGAGAAGAGGATGATACGGCGCGTTGATGGAGCATAGGCGTGCCCATCCAATGGCCTGTTCACGAGTTTCTCTGCCTTCTTAACCTTTCGTATTTTTTTCGTTGTATACTAGAACGTAGTTCATGCTTTGCGCAAACCCTAGCATTCCAAGGAATGTATCGTCGCAAGGCCGTGTGTACGTGACATAGATCTAAAGCAGGACAAGTAGGACATGAGAAATTCGACGGTATATAATCATGACGAGCTTGCTTGCGGCCCTGATGAAGGCTGTATACCACCTGCCCTTGCGTCTTCCACGTACGACCGCATCAGGTTCACCACCTTCTGTAGGTTCATGCTGTACTTGGCTGATATAGGCACGACATCCAACGTGCGCTTATCCAAAACGCTGCCTTCTCCATCTTGCACTGGCGTCCGCATCTCCTTCTCCACGAACTCCTCCAGCTTCCGCAACTTTTCTTTCGCCTCCCGAACAGCTTCGGCATCCTCCTGCCCGGCTTGTCCGCCCAGCAAATCCGCCTTGTTCGCAAGCACGATGCGCGCCTTGGGACTCAGCCCGGGCTTGTACTTCTCGATCTCGTCTCGCAGCACGCTTAAATCATCCCATGGCGCGGGCGCAGATAGGTCGACGACGTATGCGAGCGCGTTCGAGCGCTCAATCGAGCGCAGGAACGAATGGCCGAGCCCGATATCTGCGGACGCCTCCGCGATGAGCCCTGGGTTGTCTGCGACGGTGAAACGGAACGACTCGAGCGTGTCCAGTGGGTCGGCGCCGGCGTCATCGCGCTGGTTCCTCGTGCGTGCATCTGCAAGGAGGCCCTGCTTTATGAGCGCCTGCTCACGCTGCTCCTCCAGCCACGTCTCCTCGTGCACGAGCCCGTTCGAGCCCTCGAAGCTGCCGTCGTCCGCGACGCGTATGACCGCCACGACCGGGTTCAACGTGGTGAACGCGTACCCCGCGATCTCGGTCTTAGCCCGCCCGCCCGAGAGCGCGCGCAGGAGTGTGCTCTTGCCGGCGTTCGGCATGCCCACGAGCGCGACATCAGCGAGAAGCTTGAGCTCGAGCGACAGCGTGACGCGCTCGCCCTCCCACCCGCGCGTCGCCCACTTGGGCGAGCGGTTGGTCAGGGTGAGGAAGTGTGTGTTGCCAACACCGCCACTGCCGCCCGACGCGATGAGGTGACCCAACGAGTCGGGGCGTCTCAGACCCAGCGGTGAGTTCGGATCTCTTTCTTCGAGCGAGCTGTCCGGCTTATCGAGGTCGAGATAGATGGTCTGCAGCAGACGTCGCTGCTGCATCAGCCGCCTCTCCCGCTCCTCTCGGTAGACGAGCCGCTCTGCGTCCTTGAAGTCCTGCCGCTCGACGTTATCGTCCTCAGCTCGTGGGTAGTGCACCCATCGCAGCTCGCGTAGCTTTGTTCTGCGTTCATCCGGGTCGAGTGCGTCGAGCATCTCCGCCTCCATGTCGATCTCGTCCTTGCTGCTCCGTGGGTCGTCGCGCGGGAGCTGGCGGACAATGGTGCCAACCGGCACCTTGATGACGAAGGGCGGCGCGTTCTTACCGTTCTGCCAGGAGCCCTGGCCGGTGCCGCCATTCGGGGCGTGCACGCGGGTGGGCACGGACGAGAGCGTGGTGAGGTGCGGCGTCGCCATGATGTAGACGTCGCCGCCGCGCCCGCCGCTTCCCCCAGATGGGGGGCCGTACGGTACGAACTTCTCGCGATGGAATGCGACGCAGCCATCGCCGCCTTTGCCTGGGTGTATATGGTAAGCCGGCTCTCGTATGGCTCTGGCGCGGTACGTACCTGCGCAGATGTGGACGACGGCGTGGTCGAGAAATGCCTGGCCCTATGTTTGAATACTCAGACAAACCCGGTCTGGCGACGTAGCGGTGAAGTCTGTCTTCAACCGCAGGCAGCAGCGCAAAACGATATGAGACTTACTCCTTGCCGCCTCTTCCATTCTGTCCTGCGTTTTCGTCTCATTATTTCCCGGAAATCTTCCTGGTCATCCTCCGTCGCTAGTGCAGAAGCAGTTGAAGTCGATACATTGCGAGGCCGAACTGCCAGCGCTGTTATCCTGCAAAACGTTGGCCGTGGTATCCGTCCGAGATTCATGGATGTTGATGTGAGAATTTCGGCCAGAGAGAACATTTGCGAGAACACAGTCAGCGGATACACAATGTGGTGACTGTATTGTTTCTCCGCAGACGGTCCGGCTTGCTACTGGTCTTTTTAACTCGTCGTGATGAACAGTGTCCGAAGATCTTATCCTTTGACTGCGAGCCTCACGAAGATACTGAGCCGAGGCAATATTTACGTGTGTTGATTCATCGCGACAAACCTCCTACCGAAAACAGCAGTCGAACGTAGCGCCCAAATCCGCTGATTGATCGATGTTCCTCGCAAAGGCGGCTCACTGGGAACTCGTCTTCGATGCTCAATAGTCGTTTGACCGTCTCTATGTCTCTTCGATGCAAAAATCTGATCAAAAAGATATAGGATACTCTTTGACAGCCAAATACATCCACGGAACAGCTTCCTAGCTGCAATCATGTTCTCTGCTACAGGGACTGATTGACTAGATCGTCGACTGGCTTTACAAAACGACCTGGAGTCACTATAGAACAGCTGTTTAGTTCTCAAGGACTGGCCCATGGTCGACCACCAGGCTCATGGTGCCATCTGACACAAGGACATACGTGATCAGCTGCACAGTTGCAAGTTGCGGACGCTTTTAGTACAGGAAAACAGGTCCGGCCGTTCGCTCATACAGTAACACATCTTTTGGAAAGATGATTGCAACGGGGTGCATAACATTCAACTGTCTGACCTGGAGTTCGGACACGGCGCCTCTCGCAACCCTCCTTGTGCGATGCATTCCGATTGTGCTTCAACAACTCATTTTTCCCGTTTTGCTCGTTTTGAGAGTATCAACAAGTCTCTTCCTGGTCTATGCAACCTAAAGCTCAAAGGATTCACCATTTTACCTACTGCTCCCATGAAACAAGCGTGTGCTGTGTCGAGGTGATTGGTCTCAAGTACCGTGTTGAATGAACTCTGACCGGATAGTCGATGTTTCAGTGCTCGCCGTGAGAAGTCATGGAATTCGCCTATCGTAGAATTCCAGACGGTATGTGCTCCTTCGATTTCGCGGAATTGGCGTAGTTCCTCAGCTGTTGTCCAAAGCTCACCACGCACTCTATGCGCCATGGCCTTGGTCTTTCGGCTGGAGTGGAGAACGCCTCAGAATCAGTTCCAGTGCACAAAGTCCGTAGCCGTCATATCTCACAGGACCGGTCGCGTCCTTCGAAGGCGTCAACTCGCTCACAAGTTGGCTGATTACATCCGCTTTGTACTGCTACTCAAATGCGCTGGACCTCTGCGACGTTGAACATAGTACACTGCACTCTCTATGGGGCACTCCAGAGAAGCTTCAGCAGAGACGTAGATGTTGATGGTATATGAGATCCGCAGGTGAGCTACGCCCGTTCTGCTGTTGATTCTGCTGAACATGGATATAGAACGCAACTGTGATTACGAAGATGAATTGTGGAACAAGCAAGTGGAAGCCACTTTGAGGTTCACGTATCGTAGTGCGTTACCATCAGGGAAGATCATGTTATGGCCAAATTAGCAAGGTTCAGCTCCGAAGCATCATATTCGAAGCATCATGCCTTCCGTTAAATCATTGCAAGCCACTCTTCCGCGACAATGAGGATAAGACCTTTGACTTATTGCATGAGCCGATCACGCGCGACCCTTTTTGCGACTTTTACAGAGTGGTCTTTCGACTGTACTCCGTATGCGGCCGTCAAGGCATCTTGTGCGTGAAATATCTGGTTGTTTACAAGGATTACCATTCTTCCTGAGCCCTGGCGTTTGTAAGACATTGTATGTGGCTTTCTGATTATTCTCACACAACTCGTGCACGGTATTAACAAATGTCTGATAGATTTCACTTTCCAATTCTTTTTGAAAACAGCCACCTGAGCGGTTGGCCATTTTCCCCTCTGCGACTTTGCCAACTCGTCCCTCGTGTTGCTTGCCCTCCTCTGGCGAATGTGCATGCCCAGCTAGTTTGCGTAATCATTCGTCCATATCCGCGAGCCGCATGGAACGTTTGTCGCAAAGCGGAGTCCCTTGCCGTCCTACAAGGCGCTCGAAGCTCCCATACACTTATTTCTGTTCCCGATAAGCTATGTTCAGCTCCTTCGCCGGCTTCCTTGTCCCGGGCGCACACGACCACAGACGCGTATCCCAACTGTATGCAGCCCGTCTCGTGCGGCCATCCTTTGGCCATTTCTGGCAGCGCAGGGAACATAACGCCCACTAGGCGCCGCACGTGCATCGAGGCAACCAATCAGAGGCGTCGCTCGCGGTCGTGCGACACGGTCAAGGCGCTCCCGAGTAAGATGGCCACGGACCAACGCACGTTGATATGCACACGACCAATCCTCGCAGGCACGACCGTCCGTGTAATTATCAAACTGCACAGAAATGACGGCGTTCCCCCGCCATCCTGCGTATTTATGCCATGGCCGGTTTCCGCATCAGTTTTGAGTCGTGTGCGCCCTCGAGCTGCCTTGTTCTTTATCTCCTCTGTGCTACATGACGAACAGCAAGTCAAACACACCCTCATATGCAGGCAGCTGCAACCCGCCTCGGCGCGCGAAGCGTCAGCGGGCTAATGCGATGGGCGTTGCGGACGTGACGGCGTCCGATAAGCAGTCCACCAGCAGCCGTCGGTCGCGGCCCCCTATCCTCCCCAAGGCTCACGCTGAAGAAATCAGCTCACCACAGGCCGAGATGTCTGGATCGGACGCTGAGGAGGAAGACGATTACGAGCCAGACGTAAGACCATCGGGTCCTCGGCGCCGGGGCCGCAAACCGGGAGTGCTCTCTCGTTCGGTACGAGAGTCACTTCGCAAGCTGAACCATTCGCGTATCGAGAAGGCGCGTCGAACGAAGATCAATGATGCTCTGTCGACGCTTAGTATGTTGGTCAACGAAGCCGAGAGACAGGAAGGCAAGGAGAACCAGGTGGAAGGTGTGGAAGAAAAGGAAGGCGGGAAGGAGGACGGGAAGCGTCCGAGGAAGGCCAGACCGGAAGAGAAGGAGTTCAAGCTTGATGTGCTCGTGAAGACGGTGACGTATATGCAGGAGCTCATCGAGCGGGTCAAGGTGCTAGAGTCCGGCTGTTACCCGAAGTGCTCCAATGAGGCTCCGCCGTCGTCATCGTCCGCGGGCATGAAGCGCAAGAGACCTGCGGAGGATGAAGAAGAAGGTGCAGATACAGGCGATCACAACGACGACAAGTTTACAGATGACGAGGACACGTACGCCGGAGATGACGAGAAGGGCGACGGCGAGGATGTCGAGTTGACGATGACCTCGCCTATGCTGCCTGCCGCGTCTTCTGCGTCTTCTCCGCCTCCTCGTCTCCCTTCCATCGCCTCCTGGCTCCCATACCCGTACGTCGACCCGAGCTGCATCGCTATTCTGTCCAAGCCTCCGGCATCCGCCACCACATCCCCCAACATTCAGCTCCCCTCACCGCCTCCGTCGGACAATCTCCGCCCGTCTACGATTACCCCTGTGGCCAACGTCCCTCCTCTCGTCCTCCCGGAACCAGCGCACCCCATCTTTCCATCCGCACCGTCGCGCATTGCTATCCCTATCAGCAGCATCACTTCGCCACTGGAGGATGCATCGGATGCGCGAGAACGCCGCGCAAGTGTCTCGTCCTCCCGCTCTTCAGGTTGGACGCCCGAAGACGAGTCTGCAGCGTCGTTGCTGCTGCAGATGAGCACGTCGCCTACGGGGTTAGTTCCGACATCCTCGGTATCGAAGGGGGCAGAGCTGTCAGCGAGATCTTCAACGAGCCCGAGTTGGGCGACGACGAGGCCGATCTTGCCCGTGCCTTTGCTGGCCGAGACGCCGAGTTCATTGCTTGGCTTGAGGAGGAGGTGATGTGGCTGGAATGCCCTTCTCCTCGTTCTGGGGGGATTGTTTGGTATGAAGCTCTCATCCTGTTCATTGGTGGATTGTGAGTCGGTATCTACATATCTTGTTTCTCATCTCTTAAGGTCTCGCCTCTCAGGTCGTCAGTCTTTGTGTGTCTTAACTTATTTTTTCTGTCACGATCGAAGCGTCAGATTATGTACGATTTCTACGGCTATGAATGTATGACTTGAATAGCACGCATATAGATTAGGATGCCTGAAGCTTCAGCTTCAGCCTGTGGGATGATCGAATACACAATGTACACATATAAGTTTAGGAGGACGGTGGCCCGTCTTTTTCCCTCATAGTCAGCATGTAGCCCGTAGCCGACATATCTCGATCATTTACTGAGACGACGAATCCATTGATGGTGACATCCTCGAGATGAGATCGCCACGTGTTCACTACACTGTTTCCCCAACGCCGCATCCTCTGATAGCCTCCAATTCGTCCCTCCCTTCTCAGCAGACGATTGAGGCTCATTTTCCTCCATTTCTTCGCTTTTGACATGTTCTCCGATGAGCTCAAGACGCTGAGGAGGTTGGGCTTTCGTCATGTCAGTAACGGTCTCTCCGAACACTCTGGTTGGGGAACTATCTGAAGGGCTCTTGCTTGTAAGGTGTTGCTCCAGGTCCTCAATTTCATGTCAGTGCTCGCGACAGGGTTCATGATGTGGAAGGGACTTGGTCTCTTTACCAACACGGAGTCACCCATCGTCGTCGTGCTCAGGTACGTTTTTGGCGCCATCTACCCCAACACGACGGTGGGAGCTCAGAACGCGCAGACTGAGAGTTTCTTTAACGCAGTGGATCTATGGAGCCCGCGTTCTACCGCGGGGATCTGTTGTTCTTGACGAACCCTCCTGATGAAAGATACAAGACGGGAGACATCACTGTGTACAAGATTCCGGGGGCGGATATCCCCATCGTGCATCGCGTACTGGAGACACACGATGTTGTATCGGCGAAAGCAGGGTGCGTGCGTAGATGATAGGTCGTATATGCGCGCGCTGAGTACATGTCAAGGTACGTTGCAGCAAGCCCTCTCGCTCAAAACCAGCTGCTCTTGACGAAAGGTGACAACAACGCCATTGACGACCTCGAGCTGTATCAAGGTCTGGAGTGGCTCGACCGGAGACATATTGTGGGGAAGGTCCGGGGGTGCGTTGTTCTACTCGTTTGCTTCATTCCTCTATCTGCTGACTGTTCCGAAAGCTTCCTCCCATACGTTGGCTATGTTACCATCGCTATGGTGTGTGCAAAAGTCTTCTAGTCCCTTCATACATCCTGTTTCCTATTGACTGTTCCCCATTGCAGAATGACTTTCCACAGCTGAAGTATGCTCTCCTCGGAGGACTAGGGCTACTAGCGCTCGTACAGCGCGAGTAGTCGCGTTGTCTCATCGCCTCGGACTTCTGTATTTCTGGTGTCTCGTGGAATATCTCAGCTCCTTGATATCTCTGAAGCGGTGATTGATAGATAATCAGCTCCTGATGTGAACTGTTCATCGACGGAAACACAAGTCAATCAAGCAACGTGCGTGACCGATCTGTCAAATGGTCGCGACGACGCGGCCAACGTCATCTTCATACGGTCGCCCTGCTCTATTCTTAGCCAGTTCTTATGTGAACGCAGAATTCCCTGCATCGATTTGTCGGCTGGACCTCGGAATGACTTGTGGAACAGACACTAGAAGTCCAATAGAAATCAATCGCATTGCACTCCCCAGTTTTATCAAATTTCATATTCATCTACTTCGCATAGTTTGGTGAGTGATTGTATACATCCGAAATACTAGCGATCGAGCTATTTACTGATCAGATTTATGAGCTTTGTCTTGTTCTGGCATCGACGAGCTCGGCTTTACCATATTGCGAACGAGGATCGTTCGCACTGATCTTTAATACATGTACTTGCTCCTGACGTCAATCTCGTGGAGGTCCAGTGGCTCGCACTCCTTAGAGTGCTTCGAGTTGACGCTTTGTTATCCTAGTCCGGACCAACGTTCGAGTGTCGGTGTCCCGCGATTCCTCCTTGGCGTGTACGTGAGACCAGAAGCAACCCACAAGGCTTCTTCCCAATACCCATGACAGCGCTTCCCTAGTCCCCTTCCCTAGCCACCTTCCCGCGTGATCCTCTTGCAGCCAACGCCAATGGAACAGCTGGTGTCGCGATTGCTAATGGTATGACACCCACGGTGCTTCTCGATATCAAGGTTTGCTCGAGGCACTCTGATAGAGGGTGTGAGGTGCAGGCGTGGATCGTCCTTCACTCTTGGGGCAAGGCTAGGTCAGTGACTAGACTATGTCAGTCGACAGCGTGCAAGCACTTGGGCGGTCGACCGGAGTGAAGGAGATCGAGCTAGAGAAGGAGGAGACCGAGTTGGTTTTGGAGGCAGGGAGCAGGACAGCCGAGGATGGGTTGGCCCCTGGCGGTAAGGCCGGGCTGCTGCAGAAGGTTACCAGGAAGATGAAGCGATGGGGGCTTGAGACGAATGGGTTCGTGTCAATGATCGGGTCCTCCATCGGTTGCTAACCCCAGATTATTGGGCTCCATGGCAGGATCCAGCCGGTGCCGCCGGAACAGAGAACAGACCGACGACTCTACCAGATGTTCTTCGTCTGGTTCTCGGCAAACCTGAATATCCTGACGTTTGCTCCCACTGGTTTGATGTTGTTATACCGATACTGACAACAGGTTCGTGGAAACATGCAGGATGACCACTGGCACTGCGGGACCCGCATATTACGGTTTGGGAATCCGGGATTCACTGCTCGTTATTCTGGTCGTTGATGTAGTGTGAGGGAACATGTTGCCGCCTTCCGTGTGTCTGTGCTGATACTTGGCTGTAGCGTGTGTGCGATCCCAGCATTCTTGTAAGTTGAAGCAAATCAAGGCATCAATACGTATAATTTTATATTTTCTGCAGTGCTGTCTTTGGCCCAAAGCTCGGCACCCGTGGGATGGTCGCTGCCCGGTTCTCGTGGGGGTGAGTCCCATTCGGAGAATAACGTCGCGAACAGACCTGCCTGATACTGGTTTAGGTACTACGGCGCACTGATCCCGAGCATCCTCGTCGTCGTGGATATCCAGGGATACCTCGTCCTCAACACAATCGTCGGCGGCCAGACTCTAGGCGCGATCTCCACACATTTGAATGCATCGCTCGGGATCGTGATCATTGGTATCGTCACTTTGATGGTCAGTTTTACCGATTACTCAGAGCTGTACTGCCAAAAACATCGTTTATATGATTGTTCAGGTCGTCTTTAGCGGCTATAAGGTGCTGCATTGGTAAGCCTCAGTTCTCCCCGTGGCCTCAAATGCTAAGTTGGCCCAACCAGGTACGAGATGTTTGTCTGGTTCCCGAACGTCGTCGCGTTCGTCGTGATGCTTGGTGTCAGCGGGAAGCACCTCATCGCCGCGCCGCTGTCTGGGCCGTCTCCCCCGACTGCCTCACAGATCATGACGTTCGGCGCAACTGTTGCTGCGAGCGTTGCGAACTGGTCTCCACTAATGGCTGATCAGGGCGTATATCATGATTGTAATGCGTCTGCGTGAGTATATGTTGCTGGTGGAGAGGTAATTCATGCTGATCATGGATATAGATGGAGGGTGTTCATGTACTCATATCTCGGCCTCCTCCTATCTTCTGTGCGTGTTCTCTGCCGACATTCTTCCGTATTGTGCATTGATACTAACTATGGCATTCACAGATGCCAGTACAGATGCTCGGAGCCGTTTGGACAGCCGGAGCCGACTTCGTGCCCGCCTGGAAAGCAGGCCTAGGGAATGGGAACGACATTGGCGGCCTCCTGGGTGCTGTGCTCCTCCCCATGGGCGGGTTCGGCAAGTTCCTGCTCGTACTACTCTCGTTGACGACCCCGAGCCAGTGCGCACCTGCCATGTACGCTATGCTGAACAGCTTCATGGCGCTGGCCCCAGTGCTTGCAAGGATCCCAAGGCCGTTACTCGCTATTGTGTCTACTGCGATGTGAGTGCATTTTGTCTGTCGTACAAGCCGCGATACGCGAACGAATGATCTGCGCAGAATGATCTCGGTGGGCATTGTGGGGTCAAGCCGCTTCTATTCGATATTCTCGGATATTCTAGGTACGTCGGGTCTGGCCTCTTTGAAATCGTGGAGTGCTTCCCCCCCTTATCGATCTCGATAGCCTTCGTCGGCTACTGGCTCGCGCCCTTCTGCTCGATCGTGCTCACCGAACATTTCGTCTTCCGTAAGAGCAGATATTCATCGTACGACGTCCTCGAGGCATGGAACAAACCCGACCATCCGAATCTGCCTCGCAGCTATGCCTCGTCGTTCACTTTTGCTGCAACGGTCGGGTTCATCGTGCTCTGCATGCAGAAGCAGTGGTGGACGGGACCCATCGCACGCACAGGAACCGGCGACGTGGGAATGCTACTCGGCTTCTTGTTCGGCGTGTTGGTGTACACGTGCACGAGGTGGGCAGAGAAGACGTGGGAGGCACGAGCAAGGGCAAGGAGCCCGAGATGAACGCAAGCGGATTGGACACGGCATATGTTCTCGCACTTCCATTCATATGAGACGCAGCTCCTGACGGAGCTAGACTGAGAGTATGGATCTGCGCATCTGCGGGTCTCGCACGTTCACAGTTCCCTTGACTGACTTGCCGGTGCACGGTATTGGCGATGAAGACGGTGTCGTGACCGCGTCAACAGTTGCTGACATACCGCTCCCGAGGCGCCCGACGCCTTTGCAGCGATCCCTTTGGCGTCGACCATGCAGTGGGCGTCCCCATCATCGCCGGGCATTTCAACATTTCTCCTGACTACCGCGGCTCCTCGGCTCCTTCGCCAACCAGAGCAAGCTCCATGCTCCTGGACTTCGGCGTCTTATTATTCATGGGCGCATGACGCGTGCCCAGGGGTCCGTCTGTTTCACAGGCTCCCGGTGCATACCGTCCCACAGGGACGTGCGTGCCCAGGTGGGAGGGTCCTGCCGCGGGCCGCGGCTCAGCACGTTCTCTCGACACGGAGGTGTGGATCCCTACCTGGTAAGTATGAGTGTTGACATCACGAAGAGTGGAGGCGATCTGCCCGCAGCGGTCGGATGTGGGCGTGCCAATATTGTTGTTAAGTGCCGTGCGAAGTGATGGTCGAGTCGTCCAACTGTCATGAGGTGTCAACATTTGCCGGGCCATCTGCAATAGGCCTATTGTCGGGAGATTTGCAGCCCGGTGTACTTCGTACGGTGCGGACGATTGTCTGCGTTCCACGCTAAGTTGCGCAAGGCGCTCCTTGATGCGGGAGCACTGTGCCTTTTACCGGCTTTTGTTCAAGACATAGAGTCTGTTGCGATAAGTCGCGAAGTCAATTGGTTCCTATTACGTGTCTGTGAGCTCAGACTCGAGCTAGAATTAGGGGGCCCGCACGTCTATTGAGTCGTCGTTAGAGTGGCCTATATGGTGCCCGGACACTTCGCAGGCAACTTCCTGCGCTAGATTTTGATTGACATGGGAAGGCATGTGTTGGAACCAGTCCATCGGCCCGGAGAAGAGGCGGGAGCGGTGGGCAGGATCCAGCATATCTGTCGAATGGCAGACCTCTGGGGCGCCCGTGGAGGGCGGGCATTACGCGGGGAGCAGAATGAAGCTTTCCATTCAATTGACGTAAAGAGAAGCTTGAACTGCAACGAAAAAAAACCTTTTTCGTAGCAGGAAATGGTGTTAGGGCTGGGATAAAACTTCGATACAAGCCTTTCTCGTCAAGTGATTGCATTTGGACAGCTCTTACAAGGTGAGTTTCATGTTCTCCTCCTTGTTGAAAAGACTCTACTGTCCTTGTTGCGATGGTTACTACTATAGGACACGGGCGGAATCGTGCTGTTCAGCCGGGATTCAATATCAATCGGAGAAATCATTTCAAACCCTTAGATCATCTTCATGAAGAAGTTGTGCGGCGGCTGAGACTGCTCAGCCACAAATTGTTACTCCTCCCCGGCATTCAAACAGGGCCAGCAGGCTGCTGGATCGCGATAGCGTTCTACGGCGCCCTGATCCTGATCGGCAGGTGTTGTGGAGCGTGCAGCACCACGAGGACGTCTCAATTTTGCTGAGTTTGTCGCGCACATGCTCGGTTATCCAGGGATAGCAGGGAAGACTCCGCTTCCAAGTTCCATGGCGATGTCGAGATACGTACGTACGTGTGCACGCCGGAAGTACCCGCATGCATGTCCACAAGCAGGCTTGGTTCGTGTGCGTGCATGAGCACGCGCTCGTGCCTCAGCATGGCCGCTCCCGCAATCACTCGCTTGACTGGCAGCATAACGTCATTCTCCATCCCAACGAGGTCTCGATGCTCTCCATTCCTCCTAAGCGCACGATCAAGGGAGCTGATGGCCATTTGAATCCGACTCGGGGCGCGTGCGCATCGCCATACGGCGAACAGCATCTTGACAGATGTTGCCGGCATCTGACCCCACAGTCCTTCGGGCATCCGGTGTCTTACGAAGAGGGGTGATGGAAAGGAATGAAATTCGCAGGGGCGATGTGCGCGCAGCGCAGTCACCGAGTACTTGCCCGAGCGCGGGTCCTGTGGAGTTGAAGTTGGGGGAGCTGTGCTAAGGGTGATGTGTCCATGCGTGTTGATGGTCCGCTGCCACGTATGGTGGCGCAGCACTAGTTAGCCGGCGGCCAGGAATAGCCGCGTGTAGAATTGAGTCGTGCCATATCATCATCTCATGATGTGCAGCATGCATTGAGGCGCATCAACATCTGGGGCAGTCGTCGCACCGGTCAATCTTATGGCTGGTCCGTTAGTATCAAACTTAGATCCGTGTTCAAAGGAGCATCTGCAGCCTGCACATCTTCAAACCAGTGCCACGAACCAGGATGCAGCGCTCAGCTAGCTCAGCGCCTGGATATCATCTTGATGTGTTCTCTTATGTGTGATGAGTAAGAAAAACGGACACAAAAATCCCATGCACGAACACGGTAGGTCTGGGGTCCCTTTACATGGTTGCTATACATTCATTCAGCCGGTCATGCTGGCTTATCGGGGTACGCAATATCGCGCAGGATCGCGCTAAATGCCGAGAACCACAGTCGCGGCTATCAAGTACACGTACGACAGAATGACCGGTCAGTCGCGAGAGATTGACCGGCGATTCAGTGGGGGAGGGAAGGACATGCCTAATACCAGTCATTTTTTCTCATAGCGCCACTGTTAAGTCCCGCCATGTAAGTTGTTAACGTGATGTTTCACGTACTGCAAGATCAGATGCAAGCTGAAGCGGTCCTTGATATGCTATGGCGAAAGATACGATGGTCTGTAGTTCTGTAGAATACCTGTGCAGCGGTTAGTACATCTTTGTTCGTGCAAATCAGGGTATCATACTGGGATTCTGTGATATTGAAAGCAGAAAATTGCACGAAGCCAAGCAGTGATCCTTTATGAGACTAAATCTTGGTGTTTATTTGCCTTGGCTAGTGTCGAGGCTGTATGAATATTGTACCCTCACCGGCCGTCTGACGCAACTTGACCAGTATTTGGCACCCTGCTCACCATCACATCGCTAAAATCTTTTGAAACTTGACCATCAGAAAGCTTACTATCTGATGAACGCTGTGAAAATTTGCGAGCGAAAGTGAAGCAAAGTTGAACAACCCGAGAGCGATCTACAGCAACGCGATCATCAGCCACCGTGCGGGAATTGAAATATTGACAGTCCGCTTCGGCATCACTGTCTTTGCAGCCACTTGTTGTATACGCTGTCCAGAGAGCGCAGTCTCGTGCGATAAGCATCGGCATTGGTAGTCCTCACACTTACTATGCTTCACACAGAATCTTTGCTGCAGCCCTTAGTTGAGGGAACAAGTGAACACGAGCGTAGCCCTGAAACGGGGGTCTTCACTGTGAGTAGTGATGGCATAGCAGGCTCACCATCATATTTTTATATATTGTCTATGATTTTTCACATAAGTGAAGCTTGTAGTGGTAACATCGCTACGAGAGCGGGATGAAAATGAGTGTGCACAGCCACATATGTGATGGTAAATGCATTCACTTCAACGCTCAATCGATGAACCATGAACGGCGAACAAGGTGGCCGCATTTGGTATTTGCATGCTACGTACGTATTAGTGGCAGTGACAAGCCTACGTGTCCGTTAGGTACATCGCTCAACCCGCAGTGGTGTCTCAATAGCGGCCATGCGCAGAGCACACGGATAAGGTTCAGAACAGTCTGGCCGTCAGGCCTTCAAGCTAGCTTCAGGGTGTGCGAGGCGCCGGTCTAATCGTTTCGCCCTAACGGAGAATCGTCAACACACGCAAATAATCGCCCGCCCCGCTCATGGCGGCCGTGGATGATGGGATGTGCTTCGCGCACAACAGACTCATCAGCTGGGCGAGGATGAACACCGCGGGTGGAGACTTTTGAGGGCAAATGAAGCACGATCAATATCGCTGAAATGCAGATGAAATCAGCGGCGTGCACTCACGCGCGGTATGTACGGCATGTCGCACATGAATGCGATCGAGCCCCAGGAGCATGGGAACCATCCGCTAGTGCGCTAGAACCCACTTAGACTTCAAGACACGCATGCAGAAGAGAAGGCCTCGACAGCTGGCAGCGCGCCATATAACGCGAAATTCCACGCCGAGGGTCGAGGACATCGGGAAGAGAGAAACCAAGTCCGCACAGGGACGAGGGCTCGCGGGAGCATCAGGTGATCGCTTAGGGATCTCTGCCGACAGCTCGCCGAGACAACCAGGGGCGCCTCCTCGCTCTTGGCCGGCGCCCGAATAGGGATGTGCGTGCGGGCGTGCCCGGGGTCCGCGTCCATATACAGACCGGGCAATCGACTAGCTAGCGCTATCCATTTCTCCAGACGCCTCCATATCCCTCCTTCCGCCTCCCTCCCTTCTTCCTCTCTCCCGCCCGTCGCGCCCAGCGCGCTGAACGTACTCGATTTGCTGCTGCACGAGTGACAAGTTTGCGACGCCCAGCATGGACATGACTTCGTCGCTCGAGAACAGTGACACCTTCCATGCGCATACCCCAGCTCATTCGATACCCTACCAACCGACCGCGTCGTCGTCCAGCGCGACCGGCCAGACGCACCAGCAGTCAATGCATGACCAATCCATCTCGCAGACTCACCGCCAGCCGTCGGCACAGCCAAAGATGTCCAACGGGCCGTGCGTGAATCGGCACCCTTGCTGCGTCGGCCGGTATTGATTATCTGGACATTGTTTCTTCCTTAGACATATACGCTCTAGGATCACCGTGGTGTGCGCAGAGGTGAGTTGTCGCTGCTCGACGTGGCTTTGACTTTGAGTGCCAGCCGCGCGTGTGCGCAGGAGCGTGTTGTGCGTGAGCGTGCTTCTTTCATTTACGGCGACGTTACGAAGGGGCCGGTAATTATTTTGCTGAGCGGACACTGCTGCCTGTCCGTCCATCGTTGCTGTGGTGACACACCAGCGCTCTCGATATCTGCAATTGCTTTATTCATGCTTTCCCCGGCATGTGCATTGTCGATTTGACCAGGAGCATTATGGTATGAGCCATCGATTATATGCTTGACTAACAATCTCAACGTCGACTTCCGCTTGTCGTAGCATGAGCAATTCACCGCGAAGGTCTTTGTATCATCCGCTCCTTAGTTTGGCTGCATTGGTGGTTTTGAGTCGAAGATGTGACTCGCTGATACGTCCTGCATACACCCACTTGTCTACCTGCCTATCGCTATACCCAGAAACGCGAGTCTGAACCGTTCGTCGAATTATTTCATTTTCTCTCACCTTCAGTATTGTCTTTGAACTGCTAACCTAACGGTGTCCTTGTTCTCCCAGTGCAAACGCCTGAAACTCAAATGCGACCGACGAACACCATGTAGTTCTTGTATAAAGCGCGATACCGTACAACGGTGCGTCTACTCTCAAGCGGCTGCAGAAAAGATCGACGTCCAGTCACTACACAACCGCGTCCTCCAGCTCGAGAGCGTCATCGCAAAAATACATGAAGCAAATCCCTCTGCCACAGTGTCCTCCGTGCTCTCCAATCTCCCGTCTCTTAAAGGAATCTTCGCCTCTTCCTCGTCAGGAGTTCCGCTATCGAGTTCAGCGAGTCTAGGTGCTGGCATGCAGGCATCTGGCAGTGTCAGCCAAGGCAGTGTAGTTGGTCATGCAACCACCGATCGTGCCTTGCTTGCCGTCGGCACAACAGGAAGCTCGGTAATCGTCAACGTGGAGGACGTTTCGAGCATCTGGATCGGCGAGTTAGAAGACCTCACCCATCCCGACCCTTTTACGGGTTCATCGGGCTCTTTCAGCACTGTGAGGGTAAAGCTCGAGCCGACACCGGTGTTAATGCCACCGCCGCTCTCAGGCTCGTTCGCATCTTCAACGAACCCCGGCGGCGGCAAAGAGACGCAAACAAGTCACTTTGTCCCGCCCATTCCATACGATACGTTCCTCCCGGAGAACCTGCCTTCGACGCATGTTACGGTAGGCAGTCTGTTCCCTGAGCTGCATGGGGCAGGCAAGACTGCACAGCCACCTCAAGTCACAGCCAAGCTGCTCGCCCATTTGCCCGCGAAGGAGCTGCGTCCGAAGTACATGCGAGCATTGGAGGAAACGATGATGCTTCATCCGTGCTTTAATGTGCGTCACTTTGCTCAGCGGGTTGATGCAATGTTCGCCTGGGGAGAGGCTGGCTCGGTTTCGCCGAGTGCGTTGAGTTTGACTGCGGCCAGCACAGATCCCGGCAGCCAGACCAAGGCTGCGCTGGCGCGGGAGGTGTTCTTTGGCCAGCCACCACCGCCGGTCGGGAAGGGCAAGGCAAATGCGAAGACGGGCGCGGGGCAGCAGCACGGGGCGGGCAATTCGCCAAAACCGACGTTGAGCTTCTTCGCGGCTTCGTGTGCGGCCTTCGCGCTGGGCGCGCTGGTGTGCAAGAGCAATAGCACGAGTGCCATTGCGAACCCGTCACAACCGCAAGAGTCGACAGACCGGCCATCAACAGCTTCGTCGTCGTCATCTTCGTCAGCATCACAAGCGCAAGCGCAGGTGAAGGAAGACGAGGCGGACCCCGCGGCGCTGTTCGCGTTGGCGGACCAGGCGCTGGGCCTGTTCGAGAAGACGTCGCTGTACGATCTGGACGCGGTGATCGCGATGATCCTGCAGATCCTGTACCACCTGCATGATGGGCAGATGAGCGTCGCGCAGGGTGTGTTCCCGCTGGTGAGTTGGTGTCGTCTCGGTTGCTTCTGCCGGCGTCATGGGATGGTTTTGTGATTGTGATGTGTGATGCGCTCGGGTGTCAGGACGGTGATGCTGATTGACTGATACTTGGTGCAGGTGGGGAAAATGATCAACGTTGCGCGCATGATGGGTCTTGCTATTGATCCCGACGAGTTCCCGGGAACGTACAACCTGTTTGAGGCTGAGACGAGGAGGAGGATTTGGTGGGATGTGTTTTACTATGACCTGTGCGTTGTGCGGCAGATAAGCTGTGCTTGTTGCTGACGCTCGATTTTCTTCAGGTTCATATCAGACTGTATGGGCCACCTTCCGCTCATTCCGGACAACTCGTTTACGACGCGGATGCCTGCGGATGTTGACGAGGAGCAGTTCACGCCCTCTTCGTTATCGTTACCCACCGCGTCAACCGGCGAAGGTGCTGAGAAGGGAACAGCATACTTCTCGCTGAAGTGCAGGTGAGAGAAGCTCTCGGTCTCGCCGGTGCTGGGAACGCGTGCTCACGAGAACCCATTCTCTTCCCTTGTGTCCGTGGCAGGCTCGCGCAGCTGGTTAAGAATGTCAAGAAGCACACGTTCAGGGATCCACTCTCAGGAGACCCTGCGGAGCTCTCGTTGGACCAGGCGGCCGCGTTCGAAACGGACGTGCAGACGTTCTTGGCAGAGCTCCCGCCCGCGTTCCGATTGGAGCTCGGCCACGATTGGTCGCAACCATGGACGCCGTCGCCGGGCGTGCCGCCGTTCTTGCAAGCGCAGAAGTGCGAGCTCGCGATTCTGGCGAACCGCCTGATCCTCAAGCTCTACCTGCCGTTTCTCAAGGAGGGCACGAGTGCGGGCAAGTCGTGTTCCCAGGCTGTGCTTGGCACGATCAATGCTGCGCATCTGATCATATATGCGTCCCGTATGCTGCATGTTGTGTGGCGGAATACGCGGCCTGCGGCGTTCGATTTTTATGACTTTGGGAGAACGCTGTTCGATGCGGCTGTTGTGTGTGCGCATGCGGTCATCCAGCAACCGACTACGCTCCTCGCTATGGAGGCTATGAAGAGCGTGTCGTCTTCGCTGGAGGTGATGAAGGAGCTTGGGGCGTCGAGAGTGGGCGTTGAGGGCGTTCGTGGGGAGGGCAACAGGAGCGACGCGATCAAGATCGTCGAGATGATGAAGCGGAAGGCAGAAGCTGCTCGAGGCTACCGTGTTGGAAGCACGCTCGCTGGGACGAAGCGCAAGCGCGAGCCTCTCGATGACGATAGGATGCAGAGCGGATTCCACCTACCGTTCGTGGGCGCCTCGGTATCATCTGTCAAGGCTGATCCGCCGAGGTCTTCGCCTTCAAAATCACTTGGTGGATTTGCTAAGGATATGTTTACCGTGGACGGTAGACCAAAGGGTGATATTAAGAAGTTGGCGAGGGACAAGGAGAAGGATAAAGACAAGGCTGCGAAACCGGCGCCGATCCGTGCTCGGCCGTCAGGGACGCCATCGACATCTCGGCCACGTACGGCGTCTGTGTCCAGCAATGCGCCGTCCATTGCGGCTAGCATCAGGCGGATGGAGAGTGCGACGCCTGGAGTGGTGCCCGCACCGCCTGCAGCTCACTCACAGCCTCTGCCTCCGCCGCCTCCTCTTCCGTCAGCATCGCCTCGGATTGCCGCTTATGATGCATACTCGTCCCTCCCGCCTCAGACTCCTGTCCATGAGCATATGCAGCAGGAGGAATATCCTATGCAGTATAACTCTGGTGACGACTCGAGCATGGACCGGAGGAGATTCAGCTCTCAATCGTTCGGTGATTCGCCCCAGGGAGCACCGATGTATGATCAAACGATGCGAGAAGCGTCGCTCTCGCATCCCAGTCCTGCGTCTGCATCGTATAGCACGGGACCGGCCACTCCTCATTATTACCAGTATGCTCCGCCGCCTGGCCCGCCTCCTGCCGGACCTCAGCCTGGGTACGATAGCACGACAGTAGGCCATCACAACGTACCGCCGATGGCTGCCCTCACTCATCCGGCACATGTCGAGCAGCAGCAGCAGGGAGGAGCTCCTGTGCCCATGACTTCCATGACGGATTCTCAGTACATGTCTTACGAGAAAACACATCCCGCGCCGCCATATGGCCCGCATGTTAGAGCGACCGATCAAACGAGACCGCTAGCCCAAGCGCACGACTATCAGCCTCAAGCTCACCCTCGCCCTCACCAACTGCACATCCCCGGCTCGCAGACATGGCTGCAACCCGATCCGAACGCTCACGCAGATTTGTGGGGCGATTATAAGTATATGTCTTAGACGTAACGTCGCTGGTTATGACCTTATCCTTATTCGTCTGTCCATACATTATGCTTCTCTTGTTCAGTGTATATTCTAGCGAATCTACGTGTACATGACTCTTATGGTTTCCTCTTGATTGTCACTCCTAATATCCCCCGTTGTTTTTGCTGGATGACACGATATACACACACCCGTTGCTTTCTGTTTTTGGTTGCGCGTGGCCGTCGCCGCGTCTGCTTGTCATCTTGGTCATGTTGTTCTTCTGCACATTCGTTTGCCTGCCATTCATCATCACGACACATGCATGCTTCTTGACATCCTATTCCATTTGTCGCGGAGACATCTCAAGTCTTGTATTCACAACTCATCTATAGACCGCCCGTGGCCTACCCCGCTCCTCATTCAGGGAAAATGCGTGAAATCCTTGCGCGGCCCCATGCCCGCTCGGTGACTCCGACAGTGGTGCATCGTGGTCGATATTGTGTTTATCCTTCTTGTACAGGATCTAACTTCCACCAGTGACCACGCGCTGGGACGAGATGAGTGCTCTCAGAACGGATCAAAAGCATTGCAGCGAACCCTACCTTGCTCAACTCGCACCAACGCTCGAGGCCATAGAGTGGGAAACCGTCGCGGTATCTCAGAACGCAGCCAGTTCGAGGCCTTCGGCGGGACGTGTGGAAAGTATGCGATCACGACATGTCGCAGGCTGGCCCATTTTGGCTGAGACAATAACTTGTCTATGCGGTCGCAAAGCAGCCGATCCAGCTCTGCTTGCCCGAACTTGCCACAAGAGCAGATCGTCACCTGACGGACGCGAGTGGGCGCGACCTCCGAGAGGGCATCGTAGATCCAGTCTCCTTTCGCACGGAATTCCAAATGTATGTACTCGAGCTGATCAGTCAAAGCTAGATTCAGTTTTTGTGCTGTGAGTACTTGAGTTCCTGATGTCAATAACTATTTCCACGGAGCTGGATGCGCACCATCTTCCACTTCGACAGCCTCATATCCTATTGCAAGCTGGCGAAGAGATGGCCCAACGGCTTCTAGTAATTGATTGATGAAAGCCATATCTTTCAAGTATACCTTGCGCAGATTGAGGCTGTAAAAGTCGTCAAGGGAAATGATCGTGAGCAGGCAAGCAACGAAGTCGGTCGACCACATCGGGAAAGAGAAGGCGATAAGGCGTAGCTTCAGTCGTCGCCCTGGATGGGCATATTGCGGCAAGTTCGAGGCCTCGTTGGACCATCTCACACTCGCGCAGATGAGGTCAGTCAGATTAGGTAGAGATGAGACAAAGCACACGAACACTGTTATCGATGGGAACATGATCGCCGTGAGTTCAAGCCTGGTGATGGTTGTAAATGCCGCCATCGTGGTGAGGAAGAGTTGGCTGAATATCCTCAGGTCTTTTGGTCGATATACGCGTAGATGTTCGACGCGTGTGAGTTTCCGCGCAAGCATCAAGGGGAAGCACCCGGCGAGCTTCCCGTCCTTCGACTCAATGTTTAGCTCCCGAATTCGATCATTGAGCTGTGGCTGTGCGGTAATGAGGCGCGAGAAGCGACGGAGCTCCTTCGCGGTTTGCAGGTCGATGCTGTATAGCAGGTTGCTCCTGCTCCGCGGTAGCCAGGCTCGGCAGGTCAGAGAGCAAGCAATCAATGTTCGTCTGTCAGGCCAAACGAAGCTGATGATGTGTTCGAAGACTTCTGTAGGAAAGGTTGGCATGCTCGCGTCTTGTCAACGGCCAATTGGTCAAAATCGCAGCACCTGGGTCCTGAAGTGTCTCATGGGATGAGCACAAGCGAGGAATATCGAGTGGTGAGGTACTACCTGCAGTTGGAAGAGGGCAGTCGACGAAGTACCTGCCGTTCACACATAGGACCGTCGAAGTTTATGGCATGTGGGGCAAAGGAGGCTTTTAATATCAGTAAATTATCGCATGGCATGCCGGCAGATGCCGTGACGGGCTCCGCACAGATCAATGCGCAACATAGAATTATGTGATTTTCTGAATATTGCAAACCTAAGCCGTAGAAGACGCAGAAGCCTTCGAAGTGCTCAGCATCCTAGTAGTACTCGTTGTCGCGTCAAGAAAGTGAACGACCGAATACACTTTCCTTCTTTGGATGCACACTTTGGGCGCTTCATCTCATCTTCGCGCCACAGTCACCGCTTGCACTCATGCACAAATGTCGCGAACTTAGTAGACTTCCCAAAGCTTCCAAGCTCAGGTCATTGAACGTACGGCTCTTGCTAGTCTCTGCTATTGATGTAGTGGGCCTGATGAGAATGGAATGCTATAGTTCAGGCGCACTACTCCTGGTACATACAAACCGTTGCTGTTCGGGGACTACTGCAACCTCACTGGCCCGGTCGATCCCACCCATCCCGCTGCGAAAACCCCGCAGAAGCTTCTTTGCCATTTGTTTCCGACTGCGAAAGCGAAGGGATTTGCTTTACGCGCGGTCCCCAAGGCGTTGCTTTGGAAGGTAACCATCCCATGGCCTGACCCACCGTATAGTCCGGCGCCAGCCCGTGGCCCTGGATCACCCAGGCTGAATGTATCGTTTGTGCGATTGATGAGCAAGTCGTTGGCAAAATCCTCTGTCGTACGATCAAAGGTCGGCTTGAAGATGAAGACGGCCATTTCATTGATCGTGACGCGTGGAGCAGACGTCGAAACGGACGAGAAAGGGAGGAAGAAGATAGTGTTCAAAGAGGGAGACATTGGAGACAAGTGGATCTTGTCGGGTGCGTTTCGCTACGTATTTGTCGGAGGTTCATGTTCTGATTTGCCCCGTGGTGCCTCATCTATTTAGAATGGACATATATCCATAGCCCGACCCTCGAGGTCTATCGCATGCCATACTATGATCTGATTCCTGCGCTACGCAAAACGCTCAAGGCTGTCAAGTTTCAAGCGGAAATTCTGGAGCGAACTGTGTGGGCTGGTCGCAAAAAGAAGCCGAGGAGAGAGGCCAGGCTGTCGCCGACATTCGTCTCGCAAGGACGGAAGCCCGATTTGTCTGGACTATCTGAATTCTTACCATCGAAAGCAGCTGCTACAAGAAAACGTCGCAACGACAAGAGCAACAGTCAGCGGCTGCCATCGCCGACATCCGTCTCGCAAGGACGAAAGTCAAATTTATTCGGACTATCTGAATCTGTATTATCAAAGGCAACTGCTATCACAAAACGTGGCAATGGCCAGAGCAACAGTCAACGGCCACCATCGCCGATGATATCAGGGAGCGAGTCTAGTGTGAGTTAGTTTTTCTTGTCCATCTAATGGTCTCATTTCTCATGATATTGGACGCATAGCCGTCTGTGCGCAAACACGAATCGGCAATGCCTCGCATCTTCTTCCCATCACAATTCAACTACGGTCCCGAGGCACCCAATCCCCTTGCTCGGTCAGCATCGCGTTCAGAGGAGCAGTCAAGAAATCGGGAAACCACCTCCTCACTCTCTCACCCTAGCTTACCGTCGACAAGCGCGGAGCCAGCGGAAGGCGAGAATCGGGAGTATTCACTGGCGAGCACCCGGGCGAAGTTGTTCAGCAAGAAGCCGGTGATTGCGCCTGCTGTGCGACCAATCAAAAGGGTTCCGAAGAAATGAAGACTGCGCTTGGTGTGGGAGTCAGCCATGTGTGCGAATGCTTTGTTCGGTAATGCTATGTTTGTGGTCTTTTCGAGGCTAATGGTCGACTTGATGGGTGTGTGGTTCTTTGCAATTGCATCGCCCCGCTTAAGACTGTACACGCGGTTCGATCTTCAATGCAAAATTCAATGCGATGGCCAACTTGCCTGAGCGCGTTTGCATCTTATGGCAGAATCTCCGTAACGTGCGTTGAAAATTGCTTCATGTTATGCCGTGCTGATGTTTATCTGTTAGGACGCACCACACATTGACGATCAAAGCCACGTCAAAGGTCACACAGCCTTTGGACAATCTCGGGGGCTATCGCCAAATTCCTCCGTCGCCACATTGCCAGTGGGATCGTGTCTCAGATCACATTCGGCGCCGCTTGAGCAGTGATTCCGCTCCGTGAACTTTGAAGCTAAGGCTGCGATTGAGATGCTCGTGGTAGGATAGCCTTTAGCCCAAATCTATGTCTCGTGAGAAAGGACGCCTTTGGAACGGGCCCGTCCACCGACTGAGGACGGGCATTCGTGCGCGTGTTCAGCGATATGAAGGGCCGGTGCATGCATCGCCTCGTGGGTTTAGGCGCACTCATGTCGGATTCTGGCCGGGGTTCCTGTGGGCTGGACGGATACAAATGCTTGTCAATCAGATGACGAGACGACCGCCTGGAATATAGGAGAAGGGACAGTGGATGGGGCATAAACAGGTGTATTGACAGTGTTATTACTCCCCTTTTTATAACGGCCACAGCTGGCTTAGATGGTATTACCGAGTACTCGGGGTTGTATTCTAGCTGCTACATACATCATGAAGAGCTCTTTCATCCTCCCTTCCCTATCATAAGATCACCAACTCACCCTCATCCATCTCCCCGATCCTGGCGGATTTATCGCAACTCGTCAAATGGCCGTCCTCCGTGCCATTCTCCCCGACGTGACTCCGATCGCCCCTCAAATGCTGCCAATCACAGATATTCACCGAGTGAGTGAATACAACATGATGGGACACGATGGCAGGCATGATTTTATAAGCTAGGCGGTAAAAGCATGAAGGGGGAATGTGTACATACCTCGGAAAAACACCGCTGCCGTCACCCATGGGCACACGACGACCGTGAACTGTGGCAACATCGCACGTCGCTCTGGACTGTTGCTCAGCACGCACTTGAGCTAGACGGTCCGGTGAACAGGGACCGTTCAGATCTCCTATAGGCTTGCCTTCTTACACAACCCGCACCGTCTGAATGTGGCTATTCAACGCAGCATTCACGAGACCTGCAGGTGGTCAGAATCACCTCCATCGAACAGCGCAGGACACGCACCGGTAATCTCGGTCTGAATGGGAGCGCAATTGATAGCTTCGCGCTCTCCATCTTCCGCAGCCCAGATGCCATATCTCGCGCAAAAGCGGCTCCCGATGTTGTTTTATTGCCCACCGGAAGACATGCTTGGAATATCCACACGAAATGTACGCACCTACAGCCATTGCAGATTTCTCAGCCCGTGAGCACAGCTCTGCGATAGCGACTATCAAGTACGGTTTGAGTCAGCATGATAACTTACGGTCGGTATGCCTACATTTGCGCGTTTGCGACCGTTGTGGCTTCCGGTGCCAGCCGTGGCTAGCAGGGCGTGGTGACGGGTAAGTGCAGCAAGCTTGCTTGGCCGGCTTGTGTTCGTTATTGCTTCGAGCAACCAGAGGTCAGTTCACAAGCTTCGACAGCATCAGAGCCGGTATCTCACAGTAAGATTGCCATATTTACGGGTAGCCATGCTTGCATCCTCTCAACGGTCGTATTGAGCGTGGATGCTCTGATGAGGGGAACTGCCCATCGAGAGGCACACTGCATGCATAGGAGATAACGCTCTAGCTCATATGTGAGAGCAGATTAGTGACAATGAGCGAGCATCAAGAATATCTTGGGCCTGACCTTACCAATATCCAGGTGAAATGTGAACGTCGAGGGAGGAACGTTGACGGTACAGGCTGACAGTTGGTGTACCCCTCGACGCGTCTTCTGCTTACTAAATTTGCGCTGTTTTGAGGTTCGACAGTCAGTGAATGGATGGACCGATCAGAAGCTGTCTGGCCCATCTAGACTTACCTCGAATGTCTCCCAGATTCCGATGCCCCATCACGAATCAAAGACAAGCAAGTTAAGCAAAAGCGGACCTGGTCAAGCTGTTGAACCTTCAGAATGCCCAGTCGCATGCGAGACATTGATTTCATATGCGCCGCATGAGTGCGAGTGTCCAGAAGATGACGCTAGAAGTGCGTTGATCTGGGAGTAAGTGGGCACAAGCAGTCGAGCGCGCAATGGTTGCATGGCACGAAGAAATGAGCCAATGTCGAGCCGCGAGCCAGAGAACATCCCGTCCTGCTCGCGCTCACGTGATGACATTGCCCGTCGAGCGCCTTTGTCTCGACGCGCCCTTGACGCGTCCCAACTCAGTCATACTCGCACTCTACCGGGCTCCTAGACCGTTAGGCATTACGGACATACCATCTACCTCTGAGACTGACTGGTGCAACACAGCAACACGCTCACTGGTCCGACGCTCTACATTTCTTGAACTTGGAGATCTCGCTTGCATGGTCAGGGCCACCGTGACAGACACAGATAAGCTGTCCCAGCAAGGATCTGAGCTTATACAATAGGGAGAGCATGGTATGGAGGAACAGGGAGGGAAAAGCTGAGAGGGAGGAAGAGGTGCGGGGTAAAAAGTGTTCACAGGAACGGGCGTGAACAAGGTGAGTCAGATCACTCTCAAATTTGTCATAGAGGGCGGCATTGCATGGTAGACCTCTCAGAGATGTTCTGGATTTGAATCCGACTCTCGTGGATGCATCCGCATCTCGTTCTGATGGGCTGCAGTAAAGTTCACATCAGAATATCGCTATTATATCTACCATGCCGTATCATCTTCTTTCTTTCTGGATGACTCTGCTCAGGTGCGTTGTCCGATATGATTCTCATTGATGCGAAAATCGCCGGCACAAATTGAATTAACAGCTCTTTGACTGGGTACCTATGCATCACCTGCTCGATGTTGTGCAAGGCTGGTCAGAGTGGCACAGGACACGAAGCTTGGCAGTACCCGTTTTGACATCCAGGCCGGCGTACAGCCGATCTGTGCAGGAGCAAGCTCAAGCATAGAGGGCCACCGCCACCATAGCGGGGTTCCAAATTCCAGGATAGGGTTTAATTTCAGTTGGCCGCACCCACGCCGACATTGCGAATCATCTCACAGCTCCGAGCTCCCTCCGAGGAACTTTTGTCGACCCAGTCAGCTCAGCTCGGTTCGTCGATTCTGGGCCCGTCGATGAGTGACGTGTGACAGGAAACGTTGCAGATCAGCGCGCGATCCATCAATCCGACGGCTGTCTTGTCGCGCGAAGGCAATCTCGTGGGTGCATTCCCCTTGATGCCCGGCCTTCTTGGTTCTCCAAGGTCTGATTATTAATATACGTATAACTTCGAATGACTTCTGGTGCATCTCAGGAGCCACAATTGGCATTCATTAACGAACTAGCCCCAGTCTGCACGGAGGAGGCCCAACCTCGGCACATTGCACTTATTCTCCTGCATGTACACTCACATTTGAACTGCCTTCTATTGACTCTCGTGAGACCGTTCTCGGGTCGTGGACCATTCGAGAAGCTCGTTGGAGCAGTACGCGGTAAGGCGCCGAGCGAATGCTCTACACTCGCAATGGTGATGGCTTGTGCTCGAATGAAACATCCGTATAATCGCATTCCTCACCGTGACCCATACTGTGTACCCTCTAGTCTTTCAAGTATCCGTCCTGTTTTTAAGTTTGCTCAGAGCATGCAGGTGAGCCCATTTAGTGACCTTCTCTCGCTGGCATTGGTCTGGCCCAAGGAATGTTGCAATTGCCAAATGCACGGCACCGGCAGCATTGCCTGCTGACTCTTCAGAAGACTTCCTGTGTGATACGGCATGCCTGGTGAGAAAAGCTTGAGACGGCGGGCATTATCTACCTCGCTCCTCGCATCTCCCCTCCCCTCCTCACATCTGCCTTCTCACCCCTCACATGCACGTCGTCGTCTCCTCCACCCTCGTTTTGCACTGGCCCTGAATGCCCGCCGTAGAGTCCACGCACCCCTCGCTCGCCGTGGCCATGTTCGGTGAGTCCTGCTCATGTCCCGTCGTTGCTGACCAATTTGTTTTCCGGTAATCGTGCGGCGTGTGCATAAGTAAGCCCGACCGCACCTCCTGCCTCGGTTTCGCACCGTCTCAAACTGTAAGTGCACACAACGATTGATCACCTGGCTTGCGCTCACGTCTCCTGATATATAGACACGTTCTCGCCGCCTGCAATATTTCAGCCCGTGAATCGAGCAACGATGAAGTAGCGGAGTCCTCGTTGAGAACGCCGGTCGCATTCTCCCGCGCTCGGTCAATAATTCACGATCGCCCGTCTCGATCGCCAGCGCACAACATTATCGACACCTTCATACTATCAGGCAGCGAAAAATATGTATAGGCAGTTTCTAACGGCTTTAGCGCGCTCGCGAGAAGACCGCTGCGAAAGTCGGCTTGCCAGCAGGAGACCACCGAATTCGCGAGATGTACCATTGCGGTGCCCGTGTCTGACGCCACCGCGGACGTGTTCCACTCACCACACTAACCGACGCGAGACCTTTCCCAGTCAGTACGCGTAGCGCCGACAGCTTCAACACAGTCGTCCAGGGCTGTTACGATGCTCGGCTTTCCACCCCATGGCCAATGCATTCGGGACATGTCCGTCGCCCGGCCCATCCTGTAGTCTTTACATGTCGAGGTCTGGCGCCTAGTTGGCATTTCCAGCCCGAGGTTGCTCTTGACTCGGATGCTGATGCGGATACGCCAACTGCAAGTTTCCGGCCTCGGCCCACCGCTTCTTTGCAAGATATGGTGTGCGTATCGCATACCCACTCTAGGCACAACCACTCACATGCACAGCTATTTTGCAGACAGCGCGTTGCCGTTGCAAGGATGCTTTCCCCGACGCCATCCTGATCGTCAGCTGCCCAGCGCATAGTCGCTACATTCAGGTCACGTCCCTCGCACGGTAGATTCTCGCAAGCCCGCGTTTGGCGCTAGTCATCAGCGTTCCCAGATCGCTCTGTCCGATGGATGCGATCTTTCCGAGGTAGCACGACCGCATCACGGCATTTGGGACTCGTCTAAATGAGCTATCTCATATATACGCCCCTCTCCGCTCGACCGCTGATGTGGACACGCTCACTGGCAGTTCTCCGGCTGCAGCCAGACTGCCGCTTTGCAAGACGCTCCCTCGCCGTCTTGTGGATATCGCGTGCCCACGTCTGGCGCAATCACCGACGCATTCGTGTCATCATTTGAGACGGAGCAGGTGCTGTGCTGCCCTCATGAGGCCCGCTTGCGATGACGAGGGTACGAGTCTCTCCCCGTGTCCGTCAACTCCGTCGACGGCTTCAACATGATCGC